AGTATTAAGTTCGAATATAAAAGAGAAATTAATAATTTATAAATTATTCTTATAATTATATGCATTATATTAAGTAAAATAATAGTAAAATAAAAGTATAAAATCGAAAATTTTATTTACCTTATTATAATATATAAAAAAAGAAATATTCATTAATCTTTATCTATTATTTTGACAACCTTATAACTTTTTTCTTTTAAAGTTTCAAATATTCTTTTTCATTTTTAACTTTCTTATTTTAAAACCCAATAAAGTATATAATTAAACTACCCTATATACTTTTAATATTATTATAGCTATAAAGAATCTAAAAATATTTTTTATAGAATTTTATTCTTACTACCGGAAGAGGAAAATAATTATTTATCTTATTTTAACTCAGAAAAAAAAATTCCCAAAGCAAAACCTTACCTACGTAAAAAAAACCGGTAATAATAAGAATCAAATTAACGACTTCAATAGCATAATATTAACGCATTTATTATTAAATTATAAGACCGTTAATAAAAATAATCATTTCTTTTATTTATTTACTCCCTTCCCCTCTCTTCTTTCTAAAATTTTCAATACCGTTATTTACAATGTATATGCGATATAAAAATTTTCAAAGACGCGAATTTGGAATAAATTATACGTAACAATTACGTATAATATATTACTAGAAAGGGAAAAGAACAGTTTTTTCAATCTTGACTATTTTGAGCAATATATATACGATACGAGCCTTATACGCCACGTTGAGCCACGCGCGCGTGGGTCGCGTATAGGTCTCGCCCGCGCAAGTGGGCCCAGGAGGTACGTCCCTTTTATATAGCCCTAATAATCGATACCCCTGTCTGGTAGTATCAAACGAACTTCTCTCCGATGGCCTCGACCCGACGGAAATGTAGCACGGCGATAAGTTTGTAACATCGAAGCTCGGGTCCGAATTGCTACCTACATGACACTTTACCATGTGCTACACGTCGAGATAGTGCCAACAGATTCACTGGTTCTCTACAACGCCGCAACCGTGTACTTATCCAGCCGCCTATCACACTTTGCGCTTCTTTCCTGTAAGGTACTTGTTTGCTGGGCAGTTGAGCACTCTATTCCTGCATCAGAAAGTGCAGAATACCATATTCTGTTCTCCCCTCCTCGTCTCAGATCCATCCATGGACTAGGACGAGGACCGGTGGCCCATCAAAAGCTGGGTTTCAAGGGGTTCTTGAAGGAGGAGGAGGAGAAGACCTCCATGGTGCATAGAGTCACGATAAGGAATCAACGAAGTCTCTTCCCGGCCTGTCAACCCTTACCCTGCTCCCATTCGTCGCCCTGAAATCTTTCAATTTGGGTACAGATGCATCAACAAGAAAGCTCACTTGCACCTACCACGCCTCGTCACGAATCCTGCCGAACCTAAATGCGGTTAAAAAGGCTTAGGTCGAGGCTTATTCCTATGCCGAAGGTTCCCTCTTGGTGTTTCCAAAAGATCGACAGGGCATATTGCTCCGGATATCAGTCTGGTGGTTCTGGCCTCCGAGCACATCGACCTTAGCCCGAGTCCTCACATATGTAGGGACAAGTTGTGTTGATGGTACAACTGATGTTCTATGCAACCCATATACTACGTATAATGCGTCAAGGTGTGTACGCCGTCATCTGGACCTCGACGACTCAATGGACGGGTATCGTCCCGGTAGCAGCCTTACGGTATGTATAAGCATACCAGACCTTGATTTTGAATGCAACATGTCACCCAATGAGCGTGTAGCTGGATGCGTGTGAGCTAGGTATAATGGTACTACCGCCAATACACAGGAACTACGTACGAACAAGACAACGAAGAAACCTGAGAATAGTTGTGCTTTCTGTTGGTAAACAAAAGGGGAAAGGGGGGGCAGATCCAACCTTAACAGTTCCCGTTGTCTCAGACAAAGATGCATGGCCGGAAACCATTCGACAGGAAGAACAAACGGCAGGCCTCATGATGGAAGTCGATGGTCAGGTAAGCCGTTGAAAAACTCGCATCCGGCAGCAACGCTTTGCAAGTGCTTATGGTGTACATCCAAATCCATATCAGTTACGGTACAGCCATCATCTTCCCTCAGACCCAGCTTGTCTGAAACACAAGTTGAAAACTAGTCGAAATCCCACAAAGAAAAGAACCAGTTCACCTAGGAAAACCCCCAAAGATTTGCTTCTTCTGTCAACATAGCATCCTCCTATAACTTTACTTCACCATATCGTCCATCCATCCAGACAACCATCCACCGAGCATGTGATACACAGTACGTATATAGCAACAAACCGGCCCAATAGAGTATCCTCGAACGAACAGGCCCATACAAGGAACTCAATGGGGCCTTCCATTTAGATGCCCCTGTTCCCCCTGCTTCTCTTTTTGCAAGTCCCGTGATGATCCCCCGCACGTGTGCGGCTGTTGGCACCTCCAGAAGGGAAGCAGCCGCGGAAAGCAACCACACAACAAACTTGTGAAGGAAGCAGACATCCGCCCCACCATCACCATCATCACCATCACCATCATCACCGCCGACTTTCTGTTGTTGGCACCAATGCTCAACCCTACCTCTAGACCACCGTCTAGGTAGTCAAGCAAATCCGGACACATGGGAGTTCACAGCTCCTGCTCTCCCTTTCCATCCCGGTTCTCCATGTCCACGTTTGAAACCACATGCATATGTAGATGTATACATATGCTATGATCACCATACACAAGTAGTAGTTTCGGCCGAGTTTACCATATGGGGGATGATGCTCATACCCGTTACATGGCACTAGGAATCCCGGGCAAGTTTTCCATGTTAGCAACCCCCACCCCTCCGGTATTCCTTTCCAAGTCAGGATCACAATTTACATATATCACATCTCATCATACACTCGTTCGGACGGCGGCAGCTGCCGCTTTGCTTCTTCCTTTACCGAATGTCTGGGGTACAGTACACTGGCAAGAAAACCTTTCTGGCTTTTCTTCCTGCCTCTCTCCGTGCCAGCTTTCTTGTCTATCAATATGTACCTTGACCTATCACTGTCAACAACGGGTTTGTCTCCGAGAAATCAAATGCTTGCTTATTACCCCATACCGCCCATTGTTCTCCTTGTCCGGCGTGGGGGTCGTCTCACATATGAGTGAGTGTAGGTAGGCTGGTATGCCCGCGCTTAGTCGGCTACCTACCTCTACATCATTATAACCTTTGGAAACATACACGCCATATGAACTATACAACATGGTGCCTACGTTTCTCATGCAAAAGAACACACTAACGGAGCATAGGTAACGAGAAACATAGGTGCTAAACAGATCGTCAGCCTTTAAAGACTTCACATCTACTCACTTCATTCGCTTCACTCCCCAAATACCTACCTTCACTTCAGCTTTCCATCCCGCTGCCCAGCATTTCCGTTCCCGTGATTTATCTTGCTTTCCTCGCTACCGACCTCTCGGGATGACTTCTCCCTTTTCGGGGATGTTTTCAGTTCTTACATCCTTACTATGCCACCTGCAAGCGCCTCGTTCCTGATTGAGTCACCATAGCCGAATCACATCCCGATCACTCGCTGTCACTTGTTGAGGCCTTTTGAGGGGAAACAACAGATATATCACGATATCTTTCCCCGTAAACATGCATACAATACCAGGTTTTACGTGTATACCGCTTCCGTCTCCCGCTGAAACTATTTGCCGTTGCCGTTGCCGTTGCGGCTCCGCTGCCACTGTTCCTGCCGCTACCGCTCTTGCTGCCGTTGTCAGTAGGTTGTCAGGTGGCGTTCGGAACTGGCGAGTCCGCTGCGGGATGACAATCGAATGTGATGGTGATATCGGAATGACCACCGACCCCAAGTCGTAACTTCCATGGAACTCGGCAAATTCATGGTCGTTGAACAGCTGGAAGGTGCGGTCGTGCGGATGGATGGATGGAGGGGTGAAAAAAAGGATCTACAACGTCACTTCCCTTATTGGACAAATTTCCTACCTCTTTTCCCTGCTTGATGCCCTGGCAGGCAGGCACGTCTAACACGCAGGTTGGGTTAGCAACAGAAAAAGGCTGGGTCTGGCCAGCCGATCATTCAACTTCCGAACTTCAACTTGGAACCATTCCGGGTGGGCAGTTTACGGTTCTGGCTCCGAATATTTATGCCTGCATTGTTATAGTCCGGCATGGATGGCCAAGAAATTGATGGGAAATCCAGATCCAACAGCCAGTTGTATGATTGCCCGAAAATGAAGACCGAGAGTCACGATTGTCGTCGATTGATCGATCGATCTCGTATCCATCCAAGTCGAAGCCTCTCCCGTTGCCCCGGTCTTATCACCTCACTTGTGACCGTTGCTTGTCAACCACTACTTACTTGCCCGTTCGAGTGTCAATCTGTCAATCTTACTACCTTACCTTACCCTACACCTGTAACTGTCCTGTGATGTTCGGTGATTTGCGAGTGATATGTAAATCACCCGCGCGCGTTCCTGCGGTAGTAGTGTACTTCGTACCGACCAACTTGTATCGGACTACGACGACAGAAATATGGTGGTTGATCAACGTTCTTTGTCATTGCCGTACATGAAGGAAGATGGTCTCTCTGCATGTCTCTTAGTCGATCATACAACCGGAAGATTCTGATAACTTCTGGTAATCTCTCACAGATGAGAGAAACGAAGAAACACGTTCTGTCTTACTCAGCATGAATACAAATTGGCACTGATAGTGAAGTATGATTCTGAGGTCGATAGTACTATTCGAGTGTTCATCGAGCGTTGGGGTTGAATTAGCCCACCATCATCACCAAATGCCGAGTAAGAATGTTAGAAATAAACTTTCGATTGAAAACCAGTATGGGAAATCCTATTTTGCCATCATACATAGAGGTAGAAACGCAAAAGCCAGCTGCTGATGAGACACACATCGGCCTCTGACCGTTGACTAAAAGATACCATAGAGTGCTTCGCCTTCTTCATGTATGTTGCTGTCCCTGATCCTCTTGACAGATTTTTCATTAGTACCTTAGCCATGATGACAGTTTGCATAAGGATTCTGAAAGCCGTGAAGACGGCGACGTCCACTAGGTTCAGCTCGTCCACCAGGTCTGGGTCCATTCTGCTTGCCAAACTGCCCCTGCTGCTGGGCGCCATTGTTGAAGCCTTGTGCACCTTGACCTGGCTGGTTACCCACGTTGTTGTTCGTGTTGTGGTTGTTGTGGTTGTTGTTGTTGACACCCGGCAGCTCGTTGTTGGTTTGGTTCTGGTTCTGGTCACCAAAGGCGCCGCCACCGTTTTGACCCTGACCGGCACCACCTCCCTGGCCGACGCCAGCAGGACCTTGGTGCGCGCCGCCGTAGCCGCCTCCGAGGCCGAAGCCACCGGGTCCAAAGCCACCGGGTCCGAGGGGACCGGGGAAGCCTTGCTGCCCCTGGTTGCCGAATTGCTGGTTGCCGAATTGCTGGTTGCCAAACTGCTGGTTACCCTGGTGTTGACCACCAAAGGCACCCTGCTGACCAGCACCAGCGCCTTCACGACCGGCACCCTGAGCACCAGCACCACCAGCTCCCTCACCACCAGCGCCCTGTCCACCCTGAGCCCCTTGAGCACCGGCACCACCAGCGCCTTGAGCGCCACCAGCACCCTGAGCACCTTGACCACCATTAGCACCCTGAGCACCGGCGCCCTGCTGGTTACCATGCTGCTGGTTGTTCAGCCCTTGATTATTGACGCCTTGCTGGTTGCCATTACCATTGCCGTTGCCATTGCCGCGAATCTGGTTCTGGTTGTTGCCCTGGTGTTGATTGTTGCTCAGACCTTGCTGGTTTTGGCCCCCCAAGCCGCCTTGGCCCTGGTTGTTTCCTTGTTGTTGGTTGTTGTTGTTGAAGCCTTGCTGTTTCTGGCCATTGTTGACGCCTTGATCCTGGTTGGGGTTGTTGCCATGGTTCCGGTTGTTGCCCTGGTGTTGGTTGTTGTTGTTGTTGTTGCCCTGTTGGTTTTGGCCATTGCAGAACACGGCCAGCCAGCAGGATCGCCACCACGCTGGTGCGGAGACAACTCAAAGACATGTTTGGTTTCTGACCAGGCACTTGCCGATACTCAAGTTGCTCGAGATGTTACAAGTCCACGTTGACTTGGGTAGTAAAGCAATCAAGAACGAGAGTGCAAGCAACACGAGTGATAAAACACCTTTTTATTTTGCCGGCACTGGCAGAGCAAACCTGGCACATAGAGATGGGCATATGATTCTCCCAAGTTCGACCACAGAGGCAAGGTGACGAAACGATCTGGAGGGGATTCCTGGTTCCAATGCTCCGTGGCCATGGCAGGACATAACGATGGCATAATACTCCACGGCGTGTGCGTGATAGGAGAAGATGCAGCTATTCACGTGAAGTGTACGGCACTACCCGTCGAGGTTGGTTGCTAGAAAATGTTAGCACCACGTTTGGGCAAGAAGCTGAGGACAGACGGGATGTATTTGAAAGGACAACAGCATTGCCTGCGCTTTTGTATGCCGATACCAAACAGCTCTACTTTGTTGGGACACCGATGCCCTCCACCCCTCCAAGGCGTACCTACTGCAGGAAGACAGATGGGGTGGCATGAAGTTGAAGTTGAAGGTTGAAGAAGCCCTGTTGCAGCCGAAGTTTTGTAAGTGGGAGCGTGCACAGACCAGACCTAAGTGGATAATTAAAACCTTGGTCGGACGGCCTACAAGCTGTCCTGTTGATCACAGACCTAATTATTTACGAGTGCTGCTCCTGCACGCGTCCTAAACAGCTAGGCTGTACCCAGGTACAAGTCCAATAACCTCAGACCCCTGGCTGCACCTGCACTGTTACCTGTAGCCCGTCTGGCAATACCAGAACCTCCACTGGAACTTCCCATTCCTCACAGCCTCGTCTTCATTGTCCGCCGCGTTTTCCAACCTCGCTTTCCATCTGCAGAGACCTAACCTTCTTCAACTTCAACTTGCACCGCTTTTTACCGCATTTTGAGATATTCGACTGCCAGCATTTCCCTTGCTGGATTTGGGATTTGCGACCAACAACCTTACTACAACTTTCGGCCGTGCCCTTCTGTCAACCCTCTCCGGCGCAATCGTATCAAAGACCTTCCACTTCTGCTTTCTAGCCTCGCCTTTCGCCCTTGAACCTCCGAAACCGTTAGCTATTTAGCCCACGCATCGCTTCACCTCTTTGCTGCCATGGCAAGCAAGAATTCGTCGGCGCCTGTCAAGGTTTCCGGCTCGGCTGCCAATTACACGCCTGCCACCTTGGATCCCGAGTTGCGATCGGCCATCAATTCGGTCTTGATCGAAGAGGGCCATGTCGGCAAGTACGTACTCTGTCCCCGTATCCCTTTGAAGATGAGCCCCGTTGACCCGGTCACCGTGTTCTTTCCCCGGAAATAGGATTCAAGACCACCTCTTACACTCGCTGCATGCCCACTCGTCGAACTGGCCTACGACCGTTCAGAACCACGCCCTCGCCCTCCTCCGCTCTGGCGAAATCAGTACCTTCCCCGCCCTTCTACGACGAGTCTTGGAAGATGTGCGCCACGATACAGCCAATGCTCCCTCCGGCGACGCCAACGGAGGCGATGTAAACGGCAAGAAGCTAGCCAACGGCGCCGACACTACCAACGGCAATGTGCCCACTGCGACCACGACAGCACCAAGCCTAGCGGTTCCGCAGGCCGTTATCAATGACGCGCTCAAAGTCACGCGCGAAAGCCTGGAGATGGTGTGTGAGATTGAGGCGAACGGGGCGACGTGACATGTTTGATTCCCCCCAAAACAAGAAATCTTGAACCAGGTCATACACACAAAGCACCCATCCAGTTTTGATTATCTTTATCGCACACAAATCCTCAGAATCCATGTCATTCCTGCGGCGATATACAAGAAAAGGGCCAGTACCGTTGCTGACCTCGGCTTTGGTATTTCGTTATAGGGGTCTGGCGCCGGCGCCAAAAGTAAGCAGCCAGTAGGGCTGAGAAATGATGGAAGCAATAAGCGGAGAAAACTGTCGTCAAGAGACGATCGAGTCTACTGTCAAGTTGACAGTCTTCCCAGTCATATCGAGGATGGTCACGGTCAGGGTGTTAACGGCGGGGAGGAGGAAGAGGAGGAAAGAGATGGTCGCAACCAAGGCGTTGCCTCAGATTCGACACTAGCAACGGCGGCCACAGAGGATGACCCGTCGATATCCGATGACGACCAACGGGAAATCATCAGAAGGCATCACCCAAGGGTAACCAACGCCCTACCGGATGCTCTTCGGAGAGCTGGCTTGTTGCCCCAGAGGTTTCATGATACTCGGCCTCAAGATCAGGGGCAGCACCAGGGCCAACACCAACATCCACGACAAACTCAACAATATCAAACCGCACGTCATCCCCTGCCTGGATCTCCAATCCGCACACATCCTCAACCACAGCTACAATCGGAACCTCAGCCTGGCGCATCACATACCGGACTGGGCAATGCGCAGGAAGCACTTCAGACTCAAGATACCGTAGGGGCAGCTGCCCAAGCAGACTCATCAGAGCAGCCGAGCTAAATGGGGCATAGCTACATACTTGGAACATGTAGCAAACACCGAGTATGGTCTAGGTGGCATGTACATAGCTGGGAAACTTCTGTGACCGGTCGCACTGACGAGCAGCCGGTGAATCCATAGCCTCGGTACATATATGGCACATACATTATTGCTTGGTGCTTGCTTAGTTCCATTACGTGAGCTCATTGAAGAACAACTTTTTAGAACCGGTTCTGACCAAAATTTTGGAACAAGACACATTCTTTAAGGGAAGTAAGGGGACATATGGGTGTGACGCCGTTTCCAACCTAAGAAAGGGGTGGGGGGCCGATAGGGTACAAAATATCGGGGCTCGCAATAATACCCACCTCGCTCTAGGGTCTTTATTTTGTACAAGAAGCCTCCAATTACTCTAGGGCGAATGGCGCTAATAAAGGACGAAAAGAAGGTAACACAGCTGTGTCATAGAGAATTTAACAATAAATCCACGAATTGGTTTGAGCTTGTTTGAGCTTGTTTGACAGTTATCTTAAGGATGGTCGTTTTTCTGTACAAACCACAACCCCGGGGCACGTACCCCTCGCTACCGGTGTTAGTCGGGTGACCCGCAGACTCGCCTAGAACCTCCAAAGAATCTCGACGGGCAAGTACACCACAATGGGCGGTCGAGCATAGGTGAGCTCGGGAAGCGCGGGCCAACAGTTTTCTACTTACCTTACTATTTGCACAGCAATGACCTCACTTAAGCTTATTTAACAGCTTCAACCTTCAGTTCACGTTAACCTATTCCGTTGTTTCCTACAGCACACACACCGTTCGGTGCATCACCTTGAGCTTGGCTTGATTCACCTTGGCTGTCTACAGCTTCTCACTCACCAGGGGCACTTACACAGACCGACCCTCAGTGATCACCACGCCACCTGCCCATATCTAGATACTGACCGACATAATCTCTCACCACACCTACCAACCTTCACGCCTCTTCCTTAACTCTCACACAAATAACAATCAATCATCATAAACTAGCCTGTCATCAATCAACTTCCCAAAGATGCCCATCTACGCCGGTGAAGACGGCTCACCACAGCTCTACACCCCCTCCTCGGCCTCCTACGACACCACCACCTTCCCACCCACCCCCATCCCTCCCCGCCCTCAAAGCCAACACAACCGGCAGCACGATGCGGAAAAGCATCCGCACGAGGTAGCCCCCGTTCCCATAATGGGAGGCAGGGCGCCTCAGTCGGAGCAGATCCGTTTCCCAAGCGCCAAGCCGACCGTGATTTTGTTTTTGAGGCATTGTGGGTGTCCTTGTAAGTTTTCTCTTCTTTCCCCTCCCCCCTCTCTCTTCCACTTACCTTGCCTTATCCTTTTCCCCCTTTCTAGTTTGTTTCCCTCCCTTTATCCCCTTTCCCTTTCCCACCTCTCACTAGGTACTTACACAAAAATCCAGTCGCAGAAAAAGCCTTCCGCATCCTCACCGCCCTCTCCGTCTCGCACCCCAACCTTCACTTCCTCGCCGTCTCGCACTCCTCCCCCCAAGACACCGACGCCTGGGTCATCGACGTCGGCGGCGAATGGGAAGCCGACGTGATCGTCGACGAGTCGCGCTTGCTCTACGCGAAATGGGGTTTGGGCACGACATCCACGTGGTACGCGTACAAGCCGACGGCGCTGTGGAATACGTACGTACTAGGCGTGGCCGAGGGGATTTGGGGACGGAAGGAGAAGCCGAGGGCGGCTAGCGTTGGGTCGAATTCTAGTGCTGATGGACATGGACATGGTGATGGGAAGGGGATGAGTGTGCATGAGAGGACGGGAGGGACGTATAGTTCGGGCAGTGTCTGGCAGATGGGAGGAGCGTTTGCGGTGGATAGGATGGGGTTTGTGAGGTGGGTGGGTGTCCCACAGGATGCGAGTGAGGTGCCGGATTTGAAGAGGGCGGTGGAGGTTTTGGAGGAGCAGTATGGAGGGCCGGGGCAGGGGAATGGTAGTGTGAAAGCGAAGAAGCATGGCAAGGCGTAGTATGAGATTGTTGTTTCTTCGCCGGTTGATGGGGTTTGAAAGTCTTTTGTTTTGGGTGGTTGGTGTTTGGTGTCTTGAATGGGTTTTCCTGTGGGTTTGGGCTGGCTTGTACATCTTGAAGGATGAAAGTTTTATGACGGCGTTTTCTAATATGAAATGAGTGAGTTTAGTCACTTCACGTCAAAAAGCAGAATGATGGGCCTGGTGGATGAAAATGAGTAGGGGTGCCAGGAAGCTGTAGTGACAGAAACCTCCAATTACGTTGTTCAATATCGTCTTGATTGATTGACTGGAGTTGTTCCGTGTTAAACCTCTACGATACCCCCGTCTCATCCATGCATGTGCATGCTTCTCTGTCCCATTCCATTTCCACGTCCCCCCGTTGCTTCCACATCTCCAATGTCCACAAGCGAAGTCCCGACCCTTAAGACTGAGACCAAACCACGCCAGAAATGCAGCCATGACAATGAAGACCACCCAAAACTCTTGCACCTCAAACCCCGTTCAACTAACAGCCAAATACTCCGTCTGAACATCCCACTCATACCCTAACCCCCGCAGCTTCCTCAGCAAAACCACCTTACTGCTACTCCTCCTCCTCGAACCCGTCCCCTCTTCCTTTCCGTCGTCACAGTCCGACATCAGCGCCGCCGTGTGCACCCGGAAGTGTTTGGGGACATCGTAGGGGGCGTCAGGACTGCGCATCCGTTGGGCTTGGGCTGGTGTTGGCGGTGAATGGCTGGGGCTGAAGGATATGCCGGACGATTGTTTCCGTGAGTGCGGCGAGTGTGGGTGTGTTGTAGTATATGAGGGGGCGTTTGCTGCCGTGATAGTGTTCCAGTTCAGTTGCTGTTGATGTTGGGTTTGCTGTTGGTTTTGAACCAAGGGAGTGGGTGGTTCGAGGAAGATGCTTGGTGTCGGGTATGTGCCGGTTGTTGTTGTTGTTGTTGTTGTTGTTGTTGTCCAGGCGGGTGAGGTTGCTGATAGTGTTGTTGGTGTTGATGTAGCCGCGGTCACTGCTGCCACTGCGGCTGATAATGTCATCGGAACTGTTACAGGCGTGTTGTTCACGTCCACGTCCATGTATATCGTGCCGTTTGACTCAGCGGCGGCATCCATGTCGTACGAAGACGCAGCAGAGTAGGAATAACCGCTGAGCGAGTGCACCGAATGCTGATCTTCAGCAAGCAGTAGGGATGGGTCGACTGGGAGATTGCTGAGGTCCAATTGGGCCAGGTCGACTGTTCCTTCGCCGACTGATCCTGACGAGGAATCGGCGTCGTTATACCCAAAGGGTGTGTCTTGAAGTTCGCTGGACCACATCTCACCAGGGGCGAGAGGGTACGAGAACGGCGAGCCCGTTGCGTCGGGTGGAGATGCCTGATGTGGTGGGGCATAATCGGAGTCGGGGGAGTGCAGATGCCTCTCCTCGAGCTTGATGGTGTAGTCAGCTATCGAAGCCATGATGTCGGCGCGCCAGACATTCTCGCGGCGGGCGGGGTTGCGACGGAGGAGGTCGAGGGCGGCGCGGCGGACTTCGGGGTGGCGGCATTTGATGGCGACGAAGAACAAGGGGGCTATGACGTGGGTTTCAAAAGTGAACATGGCCGAGAAGCGTCGTGCGTCTGTTAGTGAGGCCGCTGTTCCTGTTGCTGTCATTGTCCCGGCTTTGGTTGTCTGGTTTTCGCGTGTTGTAGGGCTGGAAAGAGTTTCCATGAAGGCGGATGCGCGGGGAATGATGGCGGAAAAGAATGAGATGTGGTCATCGAAGGCGGTTTCGTTGGTGCTCAGCGCTGTTGATATCCAGATGTGGATGGTTTTGGTATGTATTTCGATCAAGTCGACACATCCCGGCGGGAGAAGTTTTTGGTTTCTTGAGAGGAAGAGCGAGAATGCGACGTTAAACCTGGACAGCTTCCTCATCAAAAGATCCTGTTCTTCTTCCAGTGCCCGCAGTTCTTCTGGTGATACTTGTTGGTACTTTGCCGGCTTTGACTTCTTTGTAAACCTGAGACACTCCTCCATAAAGTCGTGTAGAGCGTACCGAACTTGGTCAATCGTTTCGAAGGTCGTCGGAACGTCGATCAACGTCTTCAAGGGCACTGGTATAGCAGTAGGATCGCCACCGATCATCATCAACGTTAGACTGATTCGCGTGTACATGGGAACAATGTGATTCCGTATGATCTCAAATTCGGGGTTCCCCCGCAGCGATGGCTTCCGTTCGAGCTGACTTAATATCTGGTGCCCTTGTTGTAAGTGGATAAGTGATTCGACATCCTTGAATTGCATAAACTCGACAAAGACGAAGAGGATGCAGGTGAGAAGTGGTACAAGGGGCCTTGAGTCGGCGTCTGGCATCCGGTCCAAAAGACAAGAAATGGCTTTGTTGTATTGGAATAGCGCAAATGACTGCTTGTCGGTAATGTCGACGTAGGGCGCCACCGCACCGCGTACCATTGCCTCGTGCAAGCTGCTAACAGCCAACACGGCGTGCTTCACTACTGGTTCGGATTCGCAGATCTGGAGCACAAGCACACGCCAAAAAGCACCGTCGAAGTCACCGGAAAGACAAGGTGCCGTGACGTCCTGGAAAAAGTGAAAGGAACGTTTTTCGTCGGAGGAGGCCCATTCGTAAAAGACAGATAGCGAGCCGCGAGGGTTGTTGGCACCGGTCTGGGACACGCCGCCGGACCTTCGGGGTCTCCTGCTGATCATGGTTTTTGCGTCCAAGTATCCATCGCATCTTCGACCGGTCTTTGTGCAACGGACACAAAACGGTTTTGCCTCATCGCACTTGACTTTGCGGATTCTATACGCGAGTGTCAGGTACAACTTCCAGTTGATTGAGGGCGTCAAGGGGAGATCCGGTTGTTGATGTACTCGTAAACCGTATTTTTTTTTGTGAGACTAGGCTGCTGGGGATTGGGAGCTCGGACTTACTTGCAGGTTAGACAGCCGGTTCTTACTTTCTTCGACCCTTTCCTTCCCGACTGAGCAGGCCGAGGTGTAGAAGATGATGTTCCTGAGGGGTCTGGACGGGGACCCATGATAGTCGTGGCCTCCCTGGTACCCTTAGCTCGGTGATAACTCATCCCTATTTGCTGTTGCATCTTGTCTGTGGAGGGTTGGTAGTAGGTCTAGCTCGGACTCAGAGATCGTTCATGAAATCCGAGCAGTACTGGTTCGGGTTCGGGAAGTTGACTAAGAGGAGAGAAGGGGCCAGGATAAAGTCCGCCTTCGTTCTGAAATAAGGAAAGACAGCGAGCCGAGATGTAAGGTGTGGAACATGAATGGGCGAGATATCAAGCAGACCGAGAGTAGGCTTCGTGGATCAAGGGTAGAAGGCCGAAGTGGTCATGCCCTCACATATAAACGAAAAGAATCTGAGGCGGTTGTAGCTGGCTAGGCGAGAGAGGATGTAATAAGCCCTGGGCTTGGGGCAGTATCCATCATAACTTGGTCCTATACTCCCCGCCTATGATGGGACCCCAACCATAGCCATGAGGGAGGTTTAAAATGGAAATGGGATGGGATGGGGAAGGGTATGATGCTGCCGGTAGCGTTGGTGCATGCCGCCTCACTGTCGAGCGAACCAGGACGGTACCCTTTTTTTGCCCCGTCCCTTGGTCGGATGGTATGATTCTGTGCTTGTCCCCTTGTCACCGCAAGGCGCCAATCGTATCAGCGAAGGGTAGCGGTAGCATTGGGACAGTACAAAGTACAAGGCTTGCCAAGCACGTGTGTTCTTTGAAGGTGTGGAGGATCTTCATGCTCTGCCATAGTTCTGGGCATGCTCAACTCGAATAGATGCCTTTCTCGTCTGTGCCCGTCTTGTCATACCACGAAACAGGGACCATACACACCAGAATACTGGCTCTCAGCCTTGTGACGACAGGTTCGGGCAGACGAAAAGGGAGTAGACGCGGTACAATGGCCAATGACCGTCTGTATGACAGCCACCTAGAGATGGTCTCATACGCCTCCTTGACTTCCACGATATGGACAAGCTGTGCTGGAAGAGAAAGAGAGGCAGAAGGATTTTGTGACAATCCAGAAGCCGCCAAGCCGGGGCAAGGAAACCTTCTTAGAGAAGCAGGCCGCGATGTCATGTTACACCGGCAAGCAGCACCAACAGCATCGAGGACCGACCCGCCATCATCTGAATCCCATTGTTCTCCATGGCCCATGCTCCTCAGCTTCCCCAGCTCCCCTGGCTTGCCGCATACCCAGCCGCCATTGAGCTCATCTCAACATAGCTAACCCCCTCACTGCCACTGCGTCGTATCTAAGGGGGACGGGAGTGGACGTGATCGATCCCAACTAGGAAATTATTAGCCGTCAAAATCAGGCACCCATTTAACGTCCCGTAGACTTGAGGCATAACGACGACACAATGGGGCAGTGAACGGGAGACGGTATCAATTCCACGCTTGGCGATAGGGAGAGAGGCTCGATCCTGGGAGTCATCTGGTTCGATGCTTGTTGCTGTCGAGGTTACATCTGATTGTCATGAGGGGTTGACATTTTGACAATCAATAACATCAAAGCAAGGGTTGCTGACTGCCGGGGGCTCGGGCAACAACGTGGTGTTAGCGCTTATGTTGCGATCTCTAGCAGCGGAGTTAGCGGCTATGCTGTTATCTCCAGGCGTCACTAACAATTAGCAACAACAGCTAATCGCAGCACCTAACAGCTGTCTCCATCCATGGAAATAGGGTATTGGGGAAACAGCAACTCACCTCAGTCAACGCAACTTCCCGTTATCAACTCCCAGTTTTCAACAACACCAGCAGTCCTCAAAATCAAGGTGATACCTTCCACTTCTTTCATAAGCAGGGTCCATAACACCGAAATGTTGACGAAGCAAGGTGGTACTACCGGGCCGTCCTACCGTAAGAGTCTTGTCGATAGCGTCCCCCCCTCATTGGTACCTCACACTATTGGTTGACCCCCCACTTCTTTCGTACATATGGTGAGATTCTTTTTAGCTTTTGTGACCTTTATCCTTTCCCATGCATTATTCCAAATACCCTGTTTGCCCTGCCACGATCTTCTGACAATCAACCACCAGTCAACATCTACCAACCTTCCACACAACTGTCGTGGACGTTGAGTACCGACTATCAAAGAGAAGAGACACAGCAACCAGGAAAGGCAGTTCTCCCATGTTCACCTCGAAAGGTTTCACGGTTACCACCCCCTCTCAAACCGACGAATGAAACAAAATACCATCTAGCAGGGCTGGAATGATAGAGTTGAGACAACCGGGATCTTATCCAATTCGTCCCGATGGACACTGGCCAGTATCTAAATGTCTCCCCCCTTCCAGCACCGTTGTTCATTAACTTCTCAACAGATGAGACCATGCAACCTTAAATGCACGGTTCTACTTGACTCCCCGGCAAAAGCCAAAGCTAATGCCGCCACTGGGTTCTATGGCTCTACCTGACCAAAGTACGCTTATCATGGTGGTATCGATTATCATGGTTACATGAGCCTCTCAGAATCAAGCTGTCCTACTGGGCAGCAGTATCACAACTCGCCTTCTTCTCGACAGTTTTGCGTCTAATCTGCGTCTAAACTGGCCGAGTGGTCACAGTGACGGCAGCAGTGTCACCTCAAAGCCCCCCTCCGGTGGATCGGCGCTGTTAGCCACACCGCCCTTCCGTCTTCCGTGTTCCGACCTCCGGGCCACTCCGTCTCCGAGCTTCATCTCCGTCACTTTCTTCATCGTCTCCGTTCGGCATCCACAGCAGTTCATGGCTTCTCTATGTCGAAAAAGGGCTGGCTGTCGATGGAACTCAAAATACCTCTCAGCTTGAGTTTAGAATTATTACACTCTGCTGTCACTGATATTTTTTGTCAACAAAGTGCCATATCACTGAGCACCATCTTCACTATCCGTGTAAGTCGGGTGACTTGGAAATATGATCGGATATAAGAGCCAAGCGGCCAGCAGTTTTCCTTATCTGCCTCGATGCACATAGGGCTGAGGCTGAGCCCAAGCAAAACATTTGTCAGATTTCAAGGGGAAAGAAAATAAACTACTCGCTAGGCCCGGCCTGGCCGCAGCTTTGTATGCACTTGCAAGTCCTATGGGGGCGTAACTCAAGTGTAGATGGTGTATAGGGCGCCTCATCAAGTGTCTCGAGGCTGAAAATGGTTGCCTCGTCTGTTTCGCCGTTACATCACAGCTTCCACCCTCTTTGACGGTCTATCATCCTACGCGTGGAACGGCAAATTTGATCAGTGGTTGAAATGTCTAGCAAGGCACAATTGGATGGGAATAGCTTCTCCGTTTGATTATCACAAGTGTGAGTTTCACCCCTTATGAGATCAAAAAACACTCGTACAGTTACGTGCCGGTGACCATCATTGCCCTCGACTGTTTATTTTGAGCAGGTTAAACTTTCTTCCACGACACTCGCTTGGGCACCATCCACTACGCCCTGCGCCACACCGCCAAAACCTGGTAGGAAACGATATTATTTCGCAGGTGGAATGGCGGGCTCTTCGACTCATTGGCAGAGTTGGCAGCGTAGCTTTGTATTCATGCGGCACCAGGCGAGAATAATAAGACTGGTCCAGTCCCGGTCCCACTTGTTTATAAGTGCGAGCACCTCGGACTTTTCTCTCTACTACCTACCCCTGCAACCACTCACGTTTCCCCAACCTAAATACAACCCATCTCCCACTTCCCACTATCTACTCGGCTACTGGACCGGGAGCATATGATATCGAGCCGACCGGAATAGACGCGGTAGGGCTGCCGTTGCCGAAAATGGTGAACATCCTTTTTAGTGTACCAGAAAAGCACCACACGCTACTTACCCGACGTTGGGATAGGGCAAAGCACATCAAGACACCCACTCAACGCCACGAAAACGTGCTTTTTTTGCATATCCCTCTTGGATTTAAGCGCGCGTCTGGGGAGAAGATGGTGTGGCAATGGGAGATGACGGGAAACTATGAAGTGATGCCGCACCCATTTCATAAAAAGCTTAATTTCTTCACTCGGGAGAGTTGAACAAGATCATCAGTTGTTATTTCCCGTCTGGATACGACTTTCGATGCCTCGAGGCAGCATGGTAAAATCCGCAGTGTCTGTGTCTCTGTCATCCTCGCTGAGAACATGAAGGACTTGTAAAAATAACAGGAGAGAGAGGCAGGACACTTCTGTGGCTTCAACTCAGCTGAATATCTGACAACCTACCTAGGACTGTTCTTAGTGGCATCCACATGAAAAGCAGACCAAGACTGTGTCTCTGGATATATCAGGCAGAGCAGTAAAAAAAATAAAGCCGTGCCACAGACATCCGTTCATGCATCATGTCCATTCCTTCCTCCCGTCTCTGGTACTCGATTGAACCCATCCAATCGCATCTAAAACTTAGCGAGGTAGAACAACTTTCTATCGTTTCTTCATTAGCTAGAATGAACTTCTGCCGCCCCTTCACCTTACTCATAATACGCCTTACCGTACCTTATCTACCTACTTTGCCTATCTTCTACTCTACCCCTGGGACAAAACATATCATACCATCGCTTACGTATTGCCGTTCTGGTTCGATGCCTGCTCACACACATATATATTATGTATATATATGCAAGATAAACTTTCCATCGATCTCTATGCACATACATCTTGGGTAAACTCAACCGGATCCCCTGCGCCACAACCGGGCGTTACTCCGTAGTCTGGACGAGGAAGGATTGATTCAGTACCTCTACGTACCTAGGTACACCATTTTATGTTGTTCCTGGTCCATTTGAGTCCTGTCAGTACATACCCCTAAGAGTCTGTTCCTCTTGTGCCTTTCCCCTTGCAATGTCCTTCCTCGCTGGTACACTTGCCACTTGGGATCACATAGGTCCCTATGATATCGGTTGACCAGGGGCAAGTATCATCATTCTGGTCATTCCAAAACGACAACGCTGTTACATTATCATATTGAAAATACTAATGATGCGCACCACCTCATCACTAGTTCCAGTATAGTCGCAGAAGGAAATATTGGATGGCCCGGTCAGGGATATCCTGGAGACATAGTCCCATCTTGTCACTCATACGGTTCAGTCCTCATTGCCCGAGTGTCCCATCTGAGACGCCGGTCTAGGCATAACCAAGCGAGCCAGACCGTTACCCGTGAAAGAGTGTGGGTATTGGTAAATTAGGCTTGACGACAGACTGCCTCAACGAGACACCCACGAGCATCGAACCTCACACGCTACTGCTACGGACCGGAGGTAGTTCCATCCCTTCAGTTATTGGTCCTTCTTCAAACCTCTCTAGATATGTATCTGCCTAGAACAGTGAATTTGGACGAGACCGGCGCTTATGGTGCCACCGACGTCTGCCGGGTGGTAACAGGCAGCAGAATTCCACTTCCGGGTCTACTTGAAAGCGGGAGAGGCTTGGTACCTTGCTTAGTTCCGAGGGGACGGAGATAAGGCCTGAAAACTCGCCCGGGCAGTGTCCTCCGCGGTGACTTGCAAATGTACCGGCACTTTCAGGGTTGGAAAGTTACCTTATGAAGTGACGAAGTGAGTAGTGGCAATGTGATTTCATGAAGGAAGGAAGAAGGGAATGGTGTGCGTTCCATGTACCGAACAAAAGTCCTGTAAGGCAATGGAATTATGTGAGTTTTCGGTTGACTTCATTACCCCGTCACTAACTCGAGATTTTTGCTGTACGTCCTGGACATGATACTTGGGACATGAGCTTCTCATATCAGTCAACAGCTTCTGAGCGTATTGCGCCTCCTTAGAAGTAGGCTTGCAGTATCTACATGCCCCTCTGAGCCTTCTCCATCCAGCTGAGTGCGGTTAGCATTGAATGTATACACGTCTTCCATATCGATGCCGCATCTAGTTGATGCTCTAATCTCAGATCTTATGACAGAGACTTGATAGGTACCCCGGGGTCATCTGCCTTGATCATGATGAGAGTCCTATCTTTAGCAAGAATGTCAGAACTCAATCAGGCTTCCAGGTACCGCGTGGCTGGGGCAGATATTTGGGGGGGGGGGACGCTAAACTGCCAGAAAGGCAAAAGGTCAGATCTAGTCGACTGAGGATGACTCTCATGCCTGATGAGCGAACCCCGGGAGCCGCCACACCTTGCTTGCGCCAACACGATGAGAGTAAATACCGTGAAGCCTGGAGGCAGGATGATATAGAGAGAAGTCCTGGTATTGACAGGCTGATTTTGAATGTTATTCTGTTGCCTGAGAGGAAATTGTCGACTCTGTCGGGCTCAGCCTCATTCTGGCTCAGCGCATGTCGTAGAGGTAGTTCATCGGATCCGGAACATAGAGGTATCGGACTTGGACCCTGAATGGTCAGCTGGGCGGCGTGCCGTAGCGTCTTCGGGGTTACAGCGGGGTAGGTAACACCCACGGTACTACGCTACAGGGGTACCGAGCTCCCTGGCTTCTAGTCCGGCCCTCTACCAGCCGAGCGCCGAGCACCCCGGGGAGAGACTCCGGGAGGTACTGGGTATCGGCTTGCCGGGGCAGAACCGTACGGCCGGCACCTCTTTAAACACAGACGTGCCCCTTACGGCCCCTGACGGCCCCGCTCTCGGTCGGGTCGAGGGACGTCGTTTGCTCTCCATGTTAACCTTGCCTTGGCCGCAAGAATCAAACGCCACTCGCTCGCACTAGTCAAAGCGGCATGCGGGTTCCTGCGACGTCCGGAACGGACTCATATCAGTGTTCAAACGGACTCCCTCAAATCTCGATAAGACAACAGCTGCACCTATCCAGCTTGCCGGCCTGTTATCCTGTCCTATTTCGTGTCGTGGTCTGTTGATAGCAGCACCTTTGACCTGTGGCATCACGGCATCTGTACAGGCCACGGTGGTGCATGCGAACAACACTGACCGCCTTGTTGTTCGTACTGCGGGGGAGGGGCAAATCAGTCCAAGCGTGTCATGAATCGAACTTGGAGAGACCTGACAGCCTGGCCATCTGGATATCGGTGCTACAGCATCCGAACCTCCCTTCACTGTAATATCGAACTGAAGAATGGAACGAACTCCAAGCCAACAAGATGAAGCTTTGATCTGTCAGCAGGTTCGGCAGCGGTAGAACGCATTCGAAGGTTCCGGCCGCACCGTTGCTTTGCCAGGTGTGTCGACCTGAAGATCCTCGGAGGGATGGCAGAATTGGCAGAAGAGGTGCCTGGAGCCCTGGAACAAGGTGGCAGAATCGAGGTGAATGGGCGAAAAGCACGGACCTTTGTCGCCCCAGAAAAGGCTCCGCTTGCACTTCGTCATCCAAATGGTCGCCTGGCGGGGCGGTTTGTCAGTCAGTGACACTGACAGTGGTGAATGAGGTGCTGTTGCTGTTGCCGCTCCCAGCTGCTGGCCACCAGCTGCTTGCCCCTGGTTGGCTGGCCTTGGAGGGAGCAAGCGGTGCCACTCGCCGGTGCAGCGAGTGGTGCTTGCTCGCTTTGGCTCGAACCGTTCTCCCAGGTTGTCCTCCCAATGAAACTTCCAAGTGAACCTGAACGTAAACGCAACCAACCTCCAACACCAAAACGCAAAGGCACTTCGTCCCTCCGACTGGTCCTTTTTTCCATCCCAACACCATTCACATTCACCTCGCCGTCCAGCCTCCAAGGATCCTTTTATCAGCGGGTCAAGAGGCTACGAATCTTATTTCTTCTCCGAAACCACTTCTTCCCGCTACATCCTCTCCGTGGATTAGCATCACCGTCCGCGATACCCAAACACCACATTTATTCTACTGATCCATCAACACAAACGTCAAGATGGCTCCCGACCCTAATCCCGACCACGCCGAGCACAAGAAGAAGGTCAACTTGATGTACGTGAAACAGCGACCCTGATCGCGGGAGCTCTCGAAGCCGTCGCGCCCCCCTCATCGCGAATGACGCCAAGCTGACTTGAAGCTAAATAGGGACGCTTCTGGTGCCGAGCACAAGGCCGTACGTTCAACCTCGCTTGCCCGCCAAAGACATCTCGAGAGCCGCTCGTGCTGACCGATAGAACAGGAAGATGATACTGCCACCGCTATTCTCAAGAAGAAGAAGAAGCCCAACCAGTTGATGTAGGTTGACGTTGACGATGCGGGGCACAGCGACATGAGCTAACACATATGCAGGGTTACTGACGCCGTCAACGATGATAACTCGATTATCGCCCTCTCCAACAACACCATGGAGCAGCTCCAGCTCTTCCGTGGTGATACCGTTCTCGTCCGCGGAAAGAAGAGAAAGGACACCGTCTTGATTGTCCTCGCCGATGACGACCTTGATGATGGCAGCGCCCGCCTCAACCGTGTTGTTCGCCACAACCTCCGTGTCAAGCACGGCGACATCATCACCATTCACCCTTGCCCCGATATCAAATATGTTAGTCTGAACCAGTCGCCTAGTCCTGGGATGCGCATTTTGCTGACACATACATTTCCTTGCAGGCCAAGCGTATCGCCGTCCTTCCTATCGCCGATACCGTCGAGGGCATCACCGGATCCCTCTTCGACGTCTTCCTTGCTCCCTACTTCCGCGAGGCCTACCGCCCTGTTAGGCAAGGCGATCTGTTTATTGTCCGCGGTGGTATGAGGCAAGTCGAGTTCAAGGTCGTCGAGGTGGACCCACCAGAGTATGGTATTGTCGCTCAGGATACCGTCATCCACTGCGAGGGCGAGCCCATCCAGCGTGACGAGGAGGAGAACAACCTCAACGAGGTCGGTTACGATGATATTGGTGGCTGCCGCAAGCAGATGGCACAGATCCGCGAGATGGTTGAGCTGCCCCTCAGGCATCCTCAGCTTTTCAAGTCCATTGGTATCAAGCCGCCCCGTGGTGTCCTGCTTTATGGGCCCCCTGGTACCGGTAAGACTCTGATGGCTCGCGCTGTTGCCAACGAGACTGGTGCCTTTTTCTTCTTGATCAACGGTCCTGAGATTATGTCTAAGATGGCCGGTGAATCTGAGTCGAACCTGCGCAAGGCCTTCGAGGAGGCTGAGAAGAACTCGCCCGCTATCATCTTCATCGATGAGATCGACTCTATCGCCCCCAAGCGTGACAAGACCAACGGCGAAGTTGAGCGCCGCGTCGTCTCCCAGCTTCTTACTCTCATGGATGGCATGAAGGCCCGTTCCAACGTTGTTGTTATGGCTGCCACCAACCGTCCCAACTCGATCGATCCCGCTCTTCGTCGTTTCGGCCGTTTCGATCGCGAGGTTGATATCGGCATTCCCGACCCTACCGGCCGTCTCGAGATTCTCCAGATCCACACCAAGAACATGAAGCTCGGCGATGACGTCGATCTTGAGCAGATTGCTGCTGAGACCCACGGTTACGTTGGTTCTGATATTGCTGCCCTCTGCTCCGAGGCTGCCATGCAGCAGATTCGTGAGAAGATGGACCTCATCGATCTGGACGAGGATACTATCGATGCCGAGGTCCTTGACTCTCTTGGTGTTACCCAGGAGAACTTCCGCTTCGCTCTCGGTGTCTCCAACCCCTCGGCTCTTCGCGAGGTTGCCGTTGTCGAGGTTCCCAACGTCCGTTGGGAGGATATCGGTGGTCTCGAGACCGTCAAGCAGGAGCTCAGGGAAAGTGTCCAGTACCCCGTCGACCACCCCGAAAAGTTCCTCAAGTTCGGTCTTTCGCCATCTCGCGGTGTTCTTTTCTACGGCCCTCCCGGTACCGGTAAGACAATGTTGGCCAAGGCTGTTGCCAACGAGTGCGCGGCCAACTTCATCTCCGTCAAGGGTCCCGAACTGCTTTCCATGTGGTTCGGTGAGTCTGAAAGCAACATCCGTGATATCTTCGACAAGGCTCGCGCTGCTGCTCCTTGCGTCGTCTTCCTCGACGAGTTGGATTCTATTGCCAAGGCCCGTGGTGGCTCTGTTGGTGATGCTGGTGGCGCCTCTGACCGTGTTGTTAACCAGCTTCTTACCGGTAAGTTGATTCTCCCTTGTTTCGTGCCACTCTGCTTTGCATACTAACCTCAGCTATAGAAATGGACGGCATGACCTCCAAGAAGAACGTTTTCGTTATTGGTGCTACCAACCGTCCCGAGCAGCTCGACCCCGCGCTCTGCCGTCCCGGCCGTCTCGACTCCCTCATCTACGTTCCCCTTCCCGATGAGGAGGGTCGTCTCGGTATTCTCAAGGCTCAGCTCCGCAAGACTCCCGTCGCTGCTGATGTTGACCTGAAATACATCGCCTCCAAGACCCACGGCTTCTCTGGTGCCGATCTTGGCTTCATTACCCAGCGTGCTGTCAAGATCGCCATCAAGGAGTCTATCACCGCCGATATCCAGCGCACTAAGGAGCGCGAGGCTGCTGGCGAGGATGTTGAGATGGAGGATGAGGTTGAGGACCCCGTTCCTGAGCTCACCAAGCGCCACTTCGAGGAGGCCATGTCGATGGCTCGTCGCTCCGTCAGTGACGTCGAGATCCGTCGCTATGAGGCTTTCTCCCAGCAGATGAAGAATGCTGGCCCGGGTGCCTTCTTCAAGTTCCCCGAGGGTGGTGTTGAGAGCAGTGGCAACGGCGGTGCTGGCAACTCGTTTGGTGATGCTGGCAACGATGATGATCTTTACAACTAGAGGGGGAGGGGTTCAAGACTCAGTATTAGAACAGTCTTCCGCTAGCCTTGGGGCTCTGCTTGTATGTTAATATGCGCTCAAAGGAAAGGAGTTGACGAGCTATTCCTTCAGAAAGTTGATTCACGGTGTGTTGGCATAGTCTCTTTTGCCTGGCCCATCCGAGGTCGGTTTATAGCAATGGGGCACGAAGGATATGACATTTCCACTTATCAGCGGTTACTCTTAGACAAATAGGAGGAGATCGAGATGGGAGAAGCCCGCGTCAAGTAGATGTGGTGTTTTATCACCATAGCGGACCCCAGCGAGTGTTTAGCACTCGGATTCGATGAAATTGAGAAAATCATTTAAGCAATGCCTTTGTTTCCTTCAACCTCGTTGTCTTTGTGTTTGACTTGGTTCTATCCATGCAGCTAGCTCTAGATGCAGTCTTGAACACAGGAACAGTGACCCTAAACTGATGTCGACGTGCAGCTCTTTTTCTACTCACTCCTCAGATTCCACCAAGTTTCTCAAACACACTCTCAACCGCCTTCCCAAGCCTATCCACGATCATCTCCAACTCCTCCTCCAAAATATCATACGCCGGCATAACCATAACATGATCCCCCCTCCCCTCTCCAGCACATCCCTGGCCATTATACACCAAAACCCCAAACTCCTTCATCGCCGTCCTATGCACCATCTGCGCTACCCCCAGTCCGACATCAAACGGCTCCTTGGTCTCTCTATCCTTCACAAACTCTACCCCCCAAAACAGTCCCCGCCCTCTGATATCGCCCACATTCGGATGTTTGCTTAGTCGCTGTCTAAGTAACCACCCCAGCACTTTTTCGTGTTCTCTCACTTTTGCAAGTAACCCCTCCCGCTCAATAACACCCACTTGGACTGCCAACGCCGCGGCCGCTACGAGAGGGTTGTTTTGGTAAGTATGGCCGTGCGTGAATACCCTTTTTTCTTGTTCCATGACTCCGGCGATTTTGTGACCGACGAGGAGGGCGGAACCGGGGGTGTAGCCGCCTGTGAAGCATTTACCGAGGGTTTGGAGGTCTGGGACTACCTCTCCCCCCTCCTCGCCGTTTTCTGGCCGTTCGATCGACTGCCACGCGTGTAAGGTGCCGGAACGTCCCATCCCACACATAACCTCATCAAAAACCAACAGCGCCCCATACCGCTCACATAACTTCTTAACACCCCTCATATACCCCGGTGGGGGAGGCACACAGCCCAAAGCAGCGCCGACGATGGGCTCCATGATGACTGCCGCTACTGTTTCTGGCCCTAGCCTCAAAAACATGGATTCCAGCTCGGCTAGTTTGCGGGAGACGTAAGCAGCGGTGGGTTCATCGACAGAAGAAAAAAGTTGGTCGCGGTAGGGGTTGCAAGCTGAAATAGGGTGGAAGTGAGACTCCAAAAGGATGCCGGAGGAGATGAAAGGTAAGCGACGGGAAAAGTGGTTGGAGGCGGAGAGGGAGCCGAGGGTGGTGCCGTGGTAGGAGGGGGTGCGGGTTATGAAGTTTGTTCTTTTAGTGGTAGAACCGCCGGTCCAAGAGTGGTGGAATTCGAGGGAGAGTTTGAGGGCTGCTTCTATTGCTTCGGAGCCTGGTAGAGGAGAGTTGATGAGTAATGACATGATATTTGGAGAACAAGCGGAGGTAGAAGGGGGGACTGGGGGAGACATACCAGAACACATCAAATAAACCTTCTTCATCATTCCCCCCGTGCTTTCAACCAGCCACTCACTCAACCTTTCAACAGGGTCCAGTTTGAAGTGAGCGTACGAGGCATAGGAGCACGAGGCCATCTGTTTGGTGATGGCTTTGATCACCTCTTTGCGCCCGTGGCCGATGCAAGCGACGCCGGCGCCGCCGCAGGCGTCGAGGATTTTTGCGCCCGTGGTGGTGATCCAGTAGTGGCCTTTTGCTTTGGCTAGTTGTGGGAGGGCTTCGTTGTCGTCATTGTTAGTGTCATCTTGGTGGTGGGGGTGTTGTTGTTGGCTCTTGCTTGTGGGAGGGGAAGGGGGAGAGTCATCGTTGCTGGAGACTTCGGAATCGGTGCCGGTTTCGTAGGCGGAGTCGAACAGTTCTGGTGTTGTTGTTTTCGGAGTTTGTTGGTCGGATATAGTTTTGATGGGTAATGGTTTTGAGGGAATGGTGTCGTTCACGGTGGTAAGAAGACACTGGTCCATCTTGTTGGTCAAGTCTGTGGTAAAGGATAGAGAAGTTCGTTTTGAGAAGAGAGGTGAGGGGCGTCGTGATGGGATGCTCATGGAAAGATGGCGGTTCCAAATGGAGGAGGGGGTTCAATGGCTTTAAATCATCCTGCTCACCACCGTGAGGGATCAACACTTAATTATCCCACATCGTGAAATGTACTTCTTCTAGTGAGAATGCTGTATGGTGTACCCTAGTGAGAATGCGTGCTGCCTGTCATCCTCATCCATACATCTCTTCTCCCGTAGTTGCATCTGTCTAACGGACCGGTGAACAAGATTATCCGGCTGTTGCGGTTCATTATGCTAGAGGCAGTGAAGTATCGAAGCATAACTACCAAAAAGAAAAGAGGGAAAGAACGAAGGCTTGGTCCTACACAGTCGGGACTCGGAAGAGTATCAGAAGCAAGGTCGTCCCTTCCGCGGATGGTGAACCCTTGGAGACTGACACGGTTTTCCGTCCATGACACTTCGGCCCTGATGGCTAATGGACGGGAGACTCCGATTTGGATCCCGTCCCGATTCGCGAGTTGAGTGAAGTCTGGCCGAACTGGCTAGACCGAGGAATGACAGGGAGGGTCAGTGACACTGAGCCATGAGAGGAAGAAGGATGATTCGTTGTTTCTACGGTGCATAGAGAGTCGGCTAAGCGAGGCATCAGCGGTAGAAGAAAATTAAGAGCGTTAGCCGTTCTGAGAGGGAAGGTATGACCTAGCGGAAGGCAAAAAGGCTCTACCTCTAGCCAACGTTAGACGGGAGGTTGCAGGATATACAATGTCGGTCTTTATGGATTAGGGAAGGAGCGAGTGGGAAGTTGTACCCGAGACAGGGATGTTCACTTGATCGATTGTAGATGATCAAGAAGTTTCACACAATTTGAGGTGGTCGGAGAGAAAGAAATCCTAGCAAACTGTCAAAGGAAGATTATCCTCATCACTACCAATTCTAAGCAACAGCACACATCATGTTACCTTGTTGAAACCGACCTTGAACATTCAGTCAACAACCTCGAATTCACGCCCAACCAACACCACTCCAGCACACACTCAATCATTAATAATGCCCTTTCTCTTCCAGCACTGTGCTCAAAGTACAAGTACCTTTCCCCCAGCATGTAACCTATCCAAACACCACGTGGTATACCGTTCGGCATGGATGGACAAACGTGGTTTGAACGACAAGCGAACACAAAGTTTGCTTTTCTTCAACTAGCCACTCAACTAGCCGCTTTTGCTGCCCAATTCCAGATTGGAACACTATACCAATTCATATGGCTACAATTAGTCGAATCATGTTGTCTGCCGAGCACGACTTCCGTCATTCATACTTCAACGTTGCCGTCCTCGCGTTGACCTCGACTCGGGCCTCAGAGGGTCTATAACTAACATCGGGCCGAAATTTTGTTTGAGAATGCCCTGCCCGAACCGAGGCCAACCCCGAGACTCGAACTAGAGCACAGCCAGAATGCTACAATGCTACTATACTTATCATACCGTTCTGTGTTTTCCAGCCAACTAACTGGTTGATCAGATTTCTTTTCGGAGTTTCTCCCGTTTTTTTTCAGGGACTGCATTCATTTGTTGTCACAAATTTTAAGCCACGGCGCATAAATATGTATACCTGACATTTGATATCCACGGTTATGTAGTGAACCCTTTTCGTTGAACTCACGTTGAGGACAGACAGGGTGCTCGTCCCGAAGCATCTAAGCAGTCGATTTAGAGATACCGGCCGGTTCCGCACCATGGAGCGGTAGACGGTGTTGATTCTGGTTGTCATGTATTCTTGTTCGATAATGTTGATAACCCCATTGTACAATGAGTTTCGTCAGGCGTAACTGCGTACAGAAGTGAACGATACAAACCAATCCACACTGAGTATCTCTTCTTCCGTAGTCATCAGATTGAGCTCGATCAACTACTACTGACAAATAAATGCCCGGCTCTGCTCAGTTACAACATAAATCCTTCGCTGATCTGGAAACCTCCGCGTGGAATGCGAGTGAGTATAAGGAGCACCACCAGAACCACCCATCTTAAGATCATCAAACCCTTAACCAAAGGGCATGCTATCCCTATCCGTGCGTGCGTGTGTGTGTGTGTGTGTGTGTGTGTGTCCCTCCTCATGGTGTCTGGTCTTCCTAGACACATCTGCCTGGTCTTCCTAATCCGCCTGCATTCACAATCTCTGAAAATAACAACCAGGACACAAGAAACAAAAGGCCTCTGGACCATGACGAAAGAAGAAAGAGAACGCAACTTTGGGATATCAATATCAAAGCCATTTAGACCACCACCCCGTCAGAAACACCGTTGAGTAGTAGTGAAGAGGGGAAAAGACAATGACCTCCGAGAAATGATCCTGAACTGAACTGAACTGAACTGACCCGACCCAACCCAACCCGACCCAGATTGATGGAAAAGATGAGGAACGTGGCACTTTGACCTTTTTTCCCTGAACTTTTGGCCTGAAACACCCTGTTCCCTCCCATTTGTGTTTTATACCTTCCGTACTCATATGACTACCCGCCTCCAGGCCCAGGAAAATACAACTTGAACATAAGAGGCAGAAGAAGAATGACAACAAAGAGAATAGTTTGCCCTGAAAGCAGGAAGCCATTGTGCCCTTCCTCGATATTGAAATTATCGAGTCCATCCATCCCTTATGGTATCACACAAGACACGAACTAAGGAATATAATACCCGGTAACGAATACCCTTAAAAATAAAAAAAAACTGGTTTAATGGTGATAAACTCATACGGCAAACGACAAGGAAGAACTGAAGAAGAAGAATGATGCAGAATACGTGAACAAAAGCCCACTTAGAACAATGATGCGTAAATGGCGCTAGCCACGTTCTTGTATATTTCGCGAAATCGGTGTTGTAGCTGCACCCTCGGCTACGTGCCCTTCTAAGAGCTCAGGGGCGCCATAGAGGGCACATCGCCGTTTTCAGCCGGCTGAATCTCCTTGCCACGACTGACAGGAGCATGATAACTACCGATGCTTTGGAATCCCCTAAGAACGTGAAGTTTAGTATATATGGCCAGACGAACCACTAGAGTTGAGAGTTGCACTTACTTTGTAAGATCAAAAGCCCGGTCCTCCTCCTCGGCAGGGCTCGGGGATTCTTCTACGCCGACGGTGGCGCCGCGGCTGGTCGTTCTCGTCGGGCTTGCACTCCCGGCAGGCGACTTACTCCGCGCCGGTGGCGGGGGGCTGCTGCTCTGCGATGGCAGGTTCCCGTGTGTCTTGGAGGGGCTGGCGTCGTACTGAGCAGGCTTTAGCGGCGTACTTGAAATATCGGCATATCTCCAGAACGGGGCGGGTGAGCTGGTCGGCATGTGTTGACTAGGCCGTTGGGCCGTGCTGGGGGGTACAAGCCGGGGATTAACTCGGTTTGGAGCCGGCGTAACGAGAGACGCACCATCTTCCTGCAGGTACGACGACCCCAACGTCGGCGAAGCAGGCGTATCCTCCACTATCCCCGATGTACTCATTGTCGCGGGCTTCCGGATCGTCGACAGCGGGCTAGCCTCCGTACCATCCTCCGCTTTGTCAGGGAGAGGTTTGCGCTGGGCGGCGCGCACAGGCGTTGATTGCGAGTCGCGGAGTGTTGGGTGCGGTTGTGGTTGGGGCGAGTCGGACGGCGAAATCTTCCGCTTACGAGACGACGTAGGCTCCTTGGCGGCCATGTCCTTCGGACCCTGCGTGATGTAATTCAGCCCACTAGGAGAAGCTGGGTTAGAGGTGCCTCTATGTCCACCACGACCACCTCGGTACGCATTGCGTATCATGTCGTCACGGGCGTCGGCAACAATCTGCCACTTCATGCCCTTGCCGGGCTCGTCTGTCGACCTTGCGACCTTCTCGAATGACTTATTCAACGAAAGATTATGTCGAATCGAGTTCTAGTAACAGGTATGTCAGCTATCCAAGTATGCGAGGGTACAGCAACAGCTGAGAAACGTACCTGCCAGCCACCAGCGGGTTGATGCCTATAGTATGAGTAGCGGTTCATGATGAACTGATAAATGCCGGAGAGATTGAGCTTCTGGTCTTCTGTGTTCATGATCGCCTGCGTGATCATTTGTGCATAGCTGAATTGCGGCTTGATGTGTTGATTTTCGTCGAGACTAAGATCAACCTCGTTGTTGGTCATGACAAGCGGGCCTGCCAAACCTTCATGAACCATCCTGTGCATCGGCGGCCGAGGAAGGTTAAGGGGAGGAGTGACGCCTCTCCGGTAGTCTGGAGGAGCTGGAGCCAATGCCTTTTGTGGTCCTTGATTCCGGGGGGCGGCCTTGCTAGTCGGAGACACGGCCTGAAAAGCATGCGATTCTCCTGCTGAGGGAAGGGGATGGCGAGCTTGGCGAGGAGAAGTCTGCGAGTCTGGGGGAACGATGCCGGCTCGCTCGAGATAGTCCCTCTTGATTTGAAGAGCACTGATATCGGCCGGCAGAACAAACATCATCTCCATGCCGCCAATCTCGATGACCTCGCCGCTTCTCAGAGGACCCTCGTCGCCCACTTTCCACGGAACGCCATCGACCTTGAGCGCATTGCGACCCTTGACGCGCAACCACCACTGCTCCTCTGTAGATTTGAAGTAAATGAGAGCATGCTGACGAGAAACCTGCTTGTTGGGGCCTAGGTCGATGTGTACAATTTTGCTGGGGTCTTCCTCCTGGCTCTGGCCGGCGGTAGTCTGTATAGGTTCGGAGGAGCGACCGATATTAACATTGAGGCTCGTGATGTAGTAGGTCCAGTCGAAGGCCGCGATTTTAGCAAAGGCCTGAACGCCCTGGCTCGACTCGTGGATGCTGTTGGAGTGGTCCTTGCTAGCCTGAACATTCTTGGGCATCTCGAGATACTGTATCACGCGTGCGACCACCTGGTCATCGTCGTTCATGTCTAGAGCTGACTGGTCGGCGACTAATGACGAGTCGGCCTCGTCGGCGAGATCGGTCGGCGCATCGTCATCCTGCAGCAAAGAAGAAAGGCCTGGTTAGTTTGGATCAGGTAGCTTATGGGGGTAGTCAAAGAAGCGCACGATGGCAACAAAGCGTGGCAAAGGAGAGGGGTGTGCGAGAGCAGGGTGCGCCTTACCTTCTTGCGACGCTTCGAGGGCCGTGAGGGCGACGACTCTCCAGTAACTGGATCGCTGAGATTTTGCTGGTCGGCAGTGTTGAAGCTCGCCGTGTGCTTCGGTGGTGAAGGCGACATCGTGGGTGGGAGAAAGCGCTAGCACATGCGCTTTGTGAGGTCTGATGGAGCTCGGGGAACGGAGGGGTTGAGGATGTTGTAAGTAAACAGAGCAGGTCAGGGGCCCGGGTGGTGGAAGTGGGTAGGCATCTACCAAGACCAACGTTCGGGTAGTGTAGCGGAGGGCGACGTTGGCAGACGTAATCAATATTGCCAGATCGGAGGGCGGCGCAGTGGCCGGATTGGTATGCGTGCGGTTGCGGGCGATGAAGGTGGTGAAGTGTGGACGAAGATCGATTGCGACAAATTTATTGAACTTCAAAGTTCCATCGATTACCAGTTCCCCAGTCCCCTGCGTTAATGGCAGATGCTGCAAGGGGCCGCCAAGCCTTCGAGGTTCCAATTACCAATGTCTGCGGGCCGGGCAGCCAGACAACGTCAACAAGCTTGTTGAAGACAATAGAAGGGGGGCCTCGGGATCGTCAAAGGGCGCTGTGAGACTGATGAATAGGAGCGCGTCGGTCTTCTTTCTTTCCTTCTTTGAAGCTTCAACTTTTGGCTGAATGCGTGAGTGGCCGTGGGGGGTTAAGAAGAAAGAAAGATATATGTTCTCGTGCCCTAAAAGTCAACGTTGAACACCTTGTAACTTGAGGGCCGTGGTCGAATGCGGGCGGTGCCTTGGGTAGGAGGGTAGTTAAGGTAGGTAGAGGTTTGTATTTGAAGACACCAGATCAAAAAGTGAATGATTTGTTTAATTGACCCGCCGACGCTTTCTCCGAATCCCAGGTTTTTCGCGTGCGCAATTGGGAGGCATGCGCAGAATGCGGATTGAAGCAGGCACAGGCCGGCCACGGGCCAATGACTGCGTCAGGTTGCTGGGATTTTAGCGGGGCGGGGTGGAGCATTCACGTGTTTGAAGCTTCCGTCCACTCTGTTCGTCATCACTCGCTTTCGAAAGCAACGCAACGCAACCTAACGCCGTTCGGTTCGGACCTCCTTCGATTTCCCCGTGATCCTATCATGATTTTTTTTTTGCAATAGAGAAGATGGAAAGCAACCAAATATGGCCTGCTTCACCATTGGCATCAAATGTGCTGCCCATGTTGGGTGAAATGTGCAAGCAAGGCCCGGTGCCATTTTCAGACACCGCAAACAAAGCAATCACCACGCATCCTTCGGTCGCTTGTCCGAAGGTTTGTTTACATCAATCAGGGGGATGACGAATGAAGCAACGATGGATGTCTTGGAACCTTTTTTGGGGTGTTCACATTGCGACTTCCCAGGGTGAAGGAAGATACACCGTATGATCACCCTTCTTCTGCACTGTGATTCTTCAGTCCTGTCTTTCCCCTTCCCGCAGCACTCCAATGGGCAAGTCAATTTGGCAGACGGGAATGGTTGGCGAATGGCTGGGACTTGGGAGTCTGGGGGCGGGGGCGGGTACCTGAGCACCTCCAGCCTCGATCAGATTTGTTTGGGGGTTGGCGGGGCTTGATGGGATGGAAGTTTGAGGTTGGGGCTTTTGGTTACGATTTGGAGAGGTTTTCATGATCCGAATTACACATTTCAGTTTACATCGGTATACACAATCATAGCCTTGGTCATGTTGGCTCTGAATAAAGAGAGATCAGACCCCAGTTACCTTCGAGCTGTCTTCGGTATACCTCTACCGCTGAAACGGTAATTCGGCACTGCACTCGAAAGCAGTGTGACCTCGCCCACGCCGCGCCGAGAACGACAGAAAAGGGGGAGGCGGACATGTCATCCATACACACTGTGCAAGTAAACAAACTTCAGTCTGTTTCTTTTCTTCTTTTCCTTCAACAATCCAGCCACCCCCTTCCTCACGAACCGTCTTGGATCAGCATGTTGGCTCTTGATTTCCAATGCATGCTGCCAACAGCTGCCCGATCCTCTCCAGTGACCTTGTACACTGTTTGATGTATCCTGTGAACGCTTCATCTGAAGCAACTTACCAACCAACTTAACTTTTCCCAAGTAGCGCAACTCCGAGCCGTGAATGATAAGTTCGAAGGTATGTGCATTTTGTTCAAGCCAACGGAACCGTTCTATATATAAAGGTTCTGTAAACGCACTCGGCGATTCAACTACTCGCTCATCCCATCATGAAAAAAAACATAGGAAATTCTAAAGAAAAAAAAGTGGGGTGTGTTCTGTATGCTTGCCTCCTCTTCTTGACCGCTTTATAAATGCTTCTAACGCACTGCCTTTCCCTTTTTATTTTTCCCTTTTGAAACTTTACTCTTCATATACAAGGATATCTCTATGACTTGCTGGACCGTTTTCCGCGTGGCCCCCCTTATTGCGTGTTAATACAGGTACATACAGAGTGCTTTTAAAAAGACGCCAACCAGCCAAGAGAATTCCAAAAAGGTCCCCACAAGCCCAGGAACGCCAGCCATATCCGGTACCTAAATTTTGTTTGATGATGATGGATAACAATGGATGATCATATACATCAAGTAACGGTTCAGTCAAAGAGTAATGACATGGCAGTCATGGTACCATGAATCACAGAGACATGACAGGGTCAACACGCTTAGGCGTTGCCGCCACGCTTCTTGGGGTTGCTGGGTCCCTTGGACTTCTTGCCGCCCTTCTTCTTCTCGCTGTTCTCAACAAACTTGACGAGCTCATCGATGTTGCGGTTGTCAACGCCGACAGCGCTGGGCACAACACTTCCGATACCAGCCGCGCCAGCGGTGGCGTTGCGAGGGCTGAAGCCGAGACCACCCTTCGCGCGGCGAGCCTGGAGCTCCTTGGTGGCCTTGGCGACCGACACGGCATTGTGGGTGAGCTGAGTGAGCCAGTGCTCGGCCTCCTTGGTGTTCTTGTCCTCAGGGCCCAGGAGGGTCTTGAAGATGTTGTAGCTCTCGCGCATGCGGTCGACGGCCTTCTTAGCGTCCTGGTCGAGGGCAAGGGCCTGAGCAAGCTGGAACAAGAGGGTGGCGGAGTGAACGGTCTGCTCGCCAAAGACCTTGTTGCACACACGGAGGGACTCCTCGAACCAGCGGCGAGACTCGTGGTAGGCCTTGATGCTCTGCAACATGACGGCATAGTTGTTCATGGTGGTGATCGTATCGGGATGGTCAGGTCCATAGATGACCTTCCAGAGATCAAGAGCATGTCTGGCGTAGAGAAGAGCCTCCTTGCTGTCACCACGCTGGTGGAGGAAGAGAGAGAGGTTGAGGTAGTTCAACACGGTCTCGGCAGAGTCAACGCCGACGGTACGCTCGGCAACGATGGCGGCCTTGCGGGACAGCTCAACAGCGGCATCCTTCTGGCCCAACTGGTAGTAGAGCTGCGAAAGAGTGTGGTACATCTGGGCAACCTCGGGGTGGACGAGACCATAGATCTGCTCATGCAGAGAGAGGGACTCGAGGAGAAGGTCCTCGCCGAGCTTCTTCTGGTTCTGGTAGATGGAGAGACGGCCGGCCTCGAGAGCCTCCTCGGCAAGGGCGCTACGGGGGGTAGAGTCCTTGACGATAGGGACAACGTTGACGAAGTCGTCAGGGCTGAAGGTGTGGGGCACGGTCACAACAGGAGCGGCAGCCACAGGGGAGGCCTCACGAGCGGCCTTCTTCTTCTTCTTCTTCTTGTTGCCATCCTCAACGGGGGCAGGAGCAGGGGCAGCAGGCTTCTCAACAACAGGCTCGACCTCGCCCTCGGTGGCAACGAAAGCGTACTTCTTGTTCTGAATCTGCAGACCGAGCTTCTGGGAAACCTCGCGGAGCATCTGGACGTGATGGAGCTGGTTGAACCAACCATCCTCCAGAGTGAATCTGAAGCGGTGGAGGATCTCCTGCTGCATAGCCTCCCTCAAACTTTCAGGAGTGACCTTCTCGAAGCTGTAGTCGGCATCGCTGAACACCTTGCGGAGCTCCTCATCAACCTCGGCGACAGGCGACGAGTTAAGACCGAAGCCCAAGAAGCAGTTGAGGAGGTGAGCCAAGCAGGCCGAAGTCAAAGGCAGAGGCAGGTACCTCAAGTACTTGGCGGCGACGTGCTTGAAAGCTCTGGCGATCATCTCACGAACGCAGAGCTCACGGAAGCACTCTACACGGGTACCCTCGCTGAGGGTAGCGAGCTTACCGAGGTAACGCATGTTGATACCGCGGCGGTGCAGAAGGCGGGTGAGCGAACGGCCATCCATGGGGAAGCTAATGTCGGACTCCTTAAGATCGTTCAGAAGGGCAGGGATGACCGAGTCACGGAGGTAGGTGCAGGCGTCACGGACGTCCTGCTCATCCTGGGCCATCTCAGCCTTCTCCTCCTCAGTCTGAGGAACCTGGCCGCTGAAAACATCGGGGTTCAAGGCAAACTTGAAGTTGCTGATATCGATGCGCTCATCCTCCTTGGCGGCCTCCTCATCCTTCTTCTCAGCGACCTCGGTGGACTCAGCAGGCTCCTCGGTCTTCTCAGTCTCCTCAGCCTTGGCCTCATCAGCCTTGGGCTCCTCAGACTTCTCGCCCTCCTCGGTCTTGGTCTCCTCGGTCTTGGCCTCCTCAGTGGCCTCCTCGCCCTCCTTCTTCTCCTCGGGGTTCTTGATGATGCCGCGCTTCAGGAGCTCGGCCTGGACGTACTCCCTGGTCTTCTGCTTGGCCAAAGCCTCAACAAGCTCGGGGCGGAGCACAGTCATGCGGTGAGGGTACTCAGCTCCCTCAGGTCCGCTCTCCTCCATCCAGGCAATATCCAGGGGAGTGATGCGGTACAGGTCCAAAACGTACTTGCGTCCATCAGTTCCGAGAAGACCCTTCATCTCAACACTGGCCTCAAGGTCGTGGCGCTTGTTCTCCTTGTCCCAAACGGCGTGCTTCTTGACGCGCAGGGCAGTGGCGAGCTTCTCGAAAGAAGGAGCGAAGCGCTCATCAGCGGCAACAATGTCCTTGCCGTCGACAGCACCGTAGTGGATCTGGTTCTCACCAGCCTCGGGCTGCTTGAAGATGCCAGGAACGATGCTCTGGCCGACAATGCGCTTACCGAGATAATCGATAACAACGGTGCCGGGAGTGTAGAGACCGTCAATGTCAAGCTGGTTCACGAGCTTGACACCAAGAACGTCCTTGCCAGTGGCAACACGCGCAGCCTCATCACCACCCTCGCTGGTGAAAGTGCCGACACCGTCAGCGCCGAAGGAGAAGAAGATGTTGTTGTAGACGAAGATCTGCGCATCCTTGTCCTCAGTAGGGTTGAGAGGGGCGACCTCGCCACGAGCGACAAGGACGCCACCGCGGGCAGCGGCATCAGTGTAGTCAGCAAAGAGCTTAGCGAGCAGGCGCTCCCTGAAGACGCGATCCTGGATGGTCTCCTTGGGAAGTTCCTTGGCAGACTGGAACTCCTCGTTCCAATCCCTCAGAGAGTCAACATTCTCAGCGCCGCCGAGCAGGTAGGTCTCCTGCGAGCGGGTGGGGTCGGCCTCGTGGGCAGTAAGGGAAGAGTTGTTGGAAGGAACCAACCACGGCGCAGATGGGAAGGTGTTGCCGACTTGGAACGTGGCCAAGGGGTCCTTTTGGCTAGAGAACTCCTGGAACTTCTTGAACGACTCCTCGAAAGAAGGAGAAAGCTTCTTGATAAGGGTGAAGAGAGAGTGGGAGGCGCAATCCTTGGGGGCCGGCTTGGGGAGAGGGTCGAACTTGGCGTTGCTGCACCTGTTGACGAAGAAGCCACCAGCATGGGCGGTAACGTGGTGCTGCTCACCCTCGTTGGTCTGGACGACGAGGTAGAGAAGGTGGCCCTTTTGCCTCCAGTAGGCAGGAGGGGGGTTCCAGGGGGATAGAGAGATGGACTTGATGGTCTTGGGGGCGGGGCCAGTCTCCTTGGGGAGCAGAATGGCGAGGTCAGCGGGAGCCTGGAAGTCGTACTCCTTGATCTCGGCCTCGGGGGCATCGGGGTTCTCGACCACAATATCGTCATGAACGGAAACGCCAGCAAGAACGCCGTGGACGGTATCGGTGCGGTCTCCGGAGGCGCCAATCAGTTCGCGAATGCGGATGAGGTGAATGCGGGCCTCCTTCTCAGTGTAGGGATCCTCGACAAGGTGTAGCTGGGCGCCGTTCTCGAGACCCTCGACGTCGGAAACCTGGATGAAGTCGTTGATCTTCTTGCCGTTGAACTCGAGGTGGAAGCAAGAGAACTCGATGGCGATGGGGTGCTCGATTATCGACTGGCGGATCTCATGGATCTGCTCCATAGGGGACACCTGTTGCGCCGTCTTAGAAGACTGGTTATTGGTGGTGATATGCGGTCATGGAACACATACCGGGATATCAAGTGTCTCGGTGGTGTGGGGGAGAACGATGGTAACGACGAAGGGCTGGTCCTCGAGGGCCTGCTCGGCGCCCTCCTCCGTCTGTTCCTGTTCTGTTGTGCCATTGACATCGGCCGGAGGCGTCTGGGTCTCGGGAACCTCGGGGACGGGGCTGCCTGTTGGGAGAGAAGGCTTGTGTTAGCGACGATGTACGGTGGCAGCAGTGACAGTGACAATGACGGCGGCAGGGTCTGGCAGATAGCATGTATGCAGCGGGTAGGTAGGTAGGCAGGTGTGTAGGTATGACAGGTCCAGGCTCGTCTCGTCTCAAGTTTAATATGTACAACGGGTGCTTGGGACTTGTTGTTTGGGGTTGGCTTCTTACCCTCGACAGCGGGAGTGGTTGCTTGGGATGCGTCCGCCATGATTGTGTGTCGATACCTTGTGGACTAGCGCAGCAAGGTGTAGTGGGAAACAAAAAGACGACAGGCTGAGGTATATGAAATGAGGTTGAAAGGAGGGGATGGGGACAGAGGCTCGGTTGGTCCTAGGCCTGGTCCTGGTCTCGGGATTCGAGGCACACAAAAAAAGAGTGGTTTAAAAGTGGAATTCTACAAGTCCCTTGAACCGGGCAAAAACAAATCAGAGAGTCCAATTGGGAGGTTTTTGGACAAGTTCAAGCCGCGAAAGTCGTGGAGAGGATGTCTCAAGTGTAAATATATTTCACGGTAACGCAGGCGTGTGAATGACTCTTTCCCTTCACCTTCGGCCTTCTTCAAATTCTGGGGGCGATCGGATGAGACATCGACTTTTTTTTTCTCGTCTCGGCCTATGATGCAGATTACTGCCGGGTCTAGCGGCCGGCAACAGCCCGTTACCAGGGCATGACTCGAGGCGGGCAAAGGCGGGCAGGCGGGTACCGGGGGTGGTACCTCTACCTCCACGCTGATGCTTCCTCTCCATTCCCCCGCCTTCAGCACTTTCCCTCCGATCGAGGGAGGGACGGGAGACACGCACACACGCCCTCGTACGCGACCACCCACTCACAGCGCTCACTGCCCTCCGATGCAGCTCGCGACGCTCCAGCCAGGGCGAAGACAGGAAGTCACTCCCGAGTCCCGACAACCGAAGCAGAGAGCGAAAGGTGGCCCGAGCTTCTGCGACGGGCGATTCCTGCTTCCACGCGCCCTGGTTGGCTGATTGCGACCAACTCCATCTTTGCACCTCCATCCAATTGCTCCGTCCCGCGAAAGACGCTAGTCCAAAGACGGTATTCAAGTAAACATCAATATCATTCCAGAACCGCGACCAAAAAGCAATCTCGAACACAGCATTCCAACAAACAGCAATACACCGACCAAACATGTATCAGCATTGAACAAAGGACTCGACGGTATTTTTGGCGTATGGCATCCTACAACAATATTTCCCCTTTATCGCTTCAGCTTAATCGCGAGCCTTTTGGTCGTTGCGATATTCGTCGCCAGCATCAAATTCACCACTTTAGCAATTGCTTAACATCATTTTCGCTTCATGGATTATTCCCCGCCAACCTCTCCGCAACCATCATGGCAGTCAACCAAGCGCAGACCACCACATCAAACCGGAACGGCACATGAACAAGCTCAGCCCTGGACAGCGACGAGATGTCACCGCCTACTTCGCCCTCTGCTCGCCCACCTCGGCGCTTTGAAGAAGGAGAAAGCGCGAAAGTCGGGCGTATCCGAGAGTACAGACGACGGAAACGGCCCATCGAACGGAAGTCCAAGTAAGCGACAAGGCCGAGGTGGTTCAAAACAGACAACGTATTCCGGCAAGACATCATCACGAGCGCACTTGACGACGCCTGAAAAACCCCGGCGACAACGGGCTGGCAGAAGGCCTGTTCAAGAAAATGCAGTGCCTACTCCCTACCTTAGGCATACTACGAACAACCATTTAGCATCGTCTCCAGCTCAGCCCGTTTTATTTGCTCCGGCAGAAAGCAGCTCAGCCAGCGACCATGGAGGAAGCGCAAAGTGTATTCACAGAGGATGTAAGGGAGGTCGATGCATGCTGGAGGCGTCGTTAAGGTGTCTTCGTGAAATGGTGGACCCAGAGATGTATTCAATATACGAGTCTGTATTCCGCGCGCTGGATGCCTTGCTCCGAGCTACCTGTCCTCCAGAGTCTCAACCCAGCGGTTCCTCCAAGTCCTTCCTCGCCATGTGCTTGCGGAGAATACCGGATTACATTACAGAGCTTGAATACTGGGAGAAAAAGGACGCCGAGGCAAACAAGACCAAGTCCGTCATACAAGAGTCCAAAGCGTCCTTCGACATATACTCGGAGCTCGAGTCGCTGGGTGCGCTCGGGGGCTGGAAACATCTTCGCATAGTTGTCCGAGCCCATGGCGTCAAAATTATCCAGGGCGCCATCAGGGACGGCTTGGTAGAGGATCGAGTGGCAACTACGCTCATCGGTCTCTGCTGCATGTACCTGCCGTTCGTCGAATCTCAGGATCTTATCAATGTTTTTATTTCGCGTCAGTACCCACCTCCAGATCCCTCCGTGCGTGACGGGCTTACGGTGAAAGCACCTGGGCTATTCCCGCTCTGGGCGTTTGGATTCGGCAATGGGAAGACTAAGCGCTTCATGCTTGGAAAACTGGCTGACCTCTTTGCCGATGGCTCTTTGCCGGCGGAGTGGATGCTTGTCGATGCCTTCAAGACCACGCGCCTTGATGCCATGGCGAAAATGTTCTATGGGGCTGGGCAAGACTGTGTTGATTTCCTTATTACCATGATCAACGTTCTTTCTCCGCTGATGTCAGAAGGAAGACAAAAGAAGAAACCTGCTCCGACTTCTTGTTCTTCCGCTGACATCGCGTCGCCCCAAATGGCAAGAGGAGTCCTGACTGGATTCATGGCAGCGCTGGTACATCAGGTGCTCCGTCACTTAGACGATCCTGACAGGGAAGAGGCCGCACTCACGCAGTCCCAGCGAGCGGTATTCGTCCACCGCGTGCGGTACATCTTCCGCACATACTTACTTCATGCTAGGAAGACGGCGGGCCTTCCATCCCCTGCTGTATATCTTATCAGCCTCTGCGACTTCCTCGCATTCGGTACCGAGTCCTCGGCCTCCACCATTGCTTCAACAGCATGGATAGGGGCAAAAAGCAGCCACCGCAATGACCGTCTGTCTCAACAATACTCGACCACGCTGGCAGTCCTGACCACGATAGTGCATACCTACAGTCGGGAAATTGGGGCGACCAGTGCTCACGCCTACATTCCCCAAGTTTGTGAAAAGATAAAACCGTTACAGGCTCCGGGCAATCTGCCTTACCATCCCTTCGAGAACATCGAAGTAGACGTCGCCTTCGCGGTGGCGTTTGAGACAAACGACCTCCAAGACCTCGCCTACGCTGAGAAGCTATGGGCCCAGAAGAAGTCGGTAAGCTGCCCCCACGCCATGATGAAGGCGAAGCCCTACTACGAAGAGCGCATCCGCCGCAGGAAGGAATCGGAGGGTAAGTCCTTTGCCGGGTTCAAGTGGGACGATGCTCTGAGCGAGTGGGTCACGGTAGACTCCCCTGAGCCGCCCGTGGGAGCAGGCGGAGGTCGAACGACGAGGAGGTCGACAGGGTGTCCACCTATAATGAAGGCCATTCAAAGGTATCCTCCTACTGCTGCGTCCGCATCAACATCCACGTCTGTGCCCAACCCAAGACAGACGCGCGGTACACGCCTGCTACGATCTAGCTCAGCTTCTACTGCAACACCTACCACAGTTGATACCACCGACGATAACATCGACGCGAACGATGACGACGACCTCGAAGACGACGACGCCAGCTCTGAAACAACTACCGCAACATCTCAAACCGACGCCGACGTCGCCTCAGACTCGGACTGGGATTCCGACTTTGAAACATCAAACGTCGTAGGCCCAAACGAAACATACCAGCAGATACCACCACCTCCTCCTCCAAGAACGCAACCCCAACTGCGGCGGCTAACCGGCAAGCGAAAACTAAATCCTCTCGAAACCGAGGTTGAGGACGAGGACACCGAACAAGAAGAGGACTCCAATGAGGATGACAACGACGACGACGACGACGACGACCTCTCCGCTCCTGAGCCGCCGCCGTCTAGAGTTACTGGGCGTCGTCGTCCGCTGGCTAAACGGCCTCGGACGAGGGCTTCATTGGCTGCTGTCACAGCTACTTCTAGTGCTAGTGCTAGTGCCAGCGGCAGTGCTAGCGGCAGCGGTAGTGGTAGCGGTACCAGTGGTGGGAGTACTACTGCTCGCCGGCGATCATCACTCAGGAGATCTGCCGGTAGTAGCAGCGGCAGTGGCAGGGCGGTTCACGGGGGAGAAGAGACATCCGAAGATGAACTTGGTTAGCTTTCGAAAAGGGACAGGATGTGTGTGGATTAATTCTCCATTTTTTTTTTTTTTTTGCTTTACGGTTGGTTTACTTTGCGGAACACGAGAGGTGTTTGGGGGTGTACACAGTCCGTCAAGGATGTGGGATGTTGGATTGCGATCTCCCCGATGAAGAAATAGGGGAAAGCAAGTAAGGAAGGATGGATACCCGATTGCTTTTGCTTAACATTAACATTGGCTGCTTGCTGGATGGATACTGCTCTAGGGCACACATTGACATAACTGGCTAGCTAGCTGCTTGACCTTTGTATAGACGATTTACTCTTGATAAGTAATGTTAGAGTAGATATTGTACTTATTTGAGTATACAAACCAAAAGATTATGGAATTTACTAGCACAGAATCACATCTTCTACCTCGCCTTGTCCTTGCCCATGTCACCTACTCAACTTCCCCCTACTGACGTTTTTCTACATCATTTTTTTCCTTCCTGGCTCCTGTCCCTGCACCACCCCCTCCCGTCGAGACAAGATGAACTTACACATATGAAACATCCCCCCCAACTGCGCTTCGCCTTGCCTTGCCCTTGCCCCTGGTTTACTCTAGTCTCCTCACAACGCACAGACACCGCCGCGCGTATACTTGCCTGAACTCTTCGCTTCGCTTGGGCTTGGGAGTTTGGGCCGGTTGGTTATCTGATGCTGATGCGGCTTGTGTGTGTATTGTATGTGTGTCCGGATCCTCCGTGTCGGTTGAGCTGGCCTGCTGGGTCTGTCGGCCTGCCGGGAAAGGCCGTCGGGTTCTTATCACATCAATCTACAGCGTATCTACCTGATACATACCTACCTACCCTCGAGCTACCCAGGCCTTGGGGGTTCACAAGCCCGAGTATGTACCTCACCCATCTACCCATCTTTCCCCGGTCCGCCCGGTATGTACTATACAAAATTGGGAGATCTCAGTCATACGCATATTATCCCATGTCTCAAGAACGGGTACCCGTCAGTCAGTCCGTCAGTCGTCAACCGAGAACCTGCTCTCTTCTTTTTAAAAAGACTTTAAAAGATGGTCCGTCGTGTCACGTGGTACGTACACAACCATTTATTAGGCAACCAAGGGGGGGGGGGGAGAAAACATTCCAAATTACCTATACTGCGAGCCTATGACGGTCTAGACTCCAAGAGAAGATCTAGCTAGGTACGTATTTTGTTTGACGCTGATCCCAGGAACAAGATTAGATTGCTGCTCTTGCTGGCTGCAAGATGGGACGATGGAGGTATGCGTGCTCGGCATACTCTACGGTGCTTAATTGAGCCTCTCGTGCCTCACTCAGTTCAGCGACCTCGCGGGTTCAGGCTCGGGTTTGGGCTCGGGGGTGCTTTCACAAACAACAGTAATGGTGTATGGGTTTCATCAAGTGTGTCGTTCAGTTTTGATGACGCCGCATGGCATGGTTGTTGTTGAGGCTCTATCTTTCCTTTTCCTCTGTCCATTGTTTCCATTGTTTGTGATCGGGAGAGAAAGTGATAGTGACAACTGACCCGGTGAAAATGGCAATGACGAGCGACCGAGGTTCGAACCGGGCCGTTTCGACGAGCCGCGCAGGCTAGACAAGCAAGGCCAGATGAGACGGGATGGGAGACGATCTTATCTACCGCCAGGGGTTCGTCTCAAACTCAAACTCCCAACTTGGCGATAAAATTTCGATGATGTTGATCCAAGAGGACAAGGACAAGGTTAGGTTTGATCAGGGTGGAAAATGGAAAGAGAAAAGTGTTTTATAAAACACTACTACCATAAGCCCACCAGTCCTGAGCTTGGATTTTCGGAGAGTGAAGTGACGGGAAGTGACCCTATGTATTGGCTATCCGGGGGTCTGTTTCGATACACGCTTGGCTTCGCAACGGCGGTACGAGCAAGACGGGGGAGGGAGATTACGAATACCTTCGACGACCTCGTGTAGAATTGGATGCTACTACTCGGCGGTTGAAGACCCTAGAGGCCACACGGCGATAACCTCCTCTTCGAGGTCTTGGGTTGCAAAGCAGATCCACAAAGATGCTCCGTTTCTCGTTCCCCGGCGAGCCCGGCAACCGGTAGACGAGCCCGGGATAAAAGGGGAGGAGGGTACGGGTTTCTTGGTAGCATTGGAGTCCATCAAGGTGGAAGCCTCTGGTCGCAACTGTGATTGTTTGGGATGCGTTACAGGGTTTGCCGCACATGGCCGTTGCTCGGCTGATGGATGTGTGGATGATATGCGTGTCAATGGGGAGGATGATGAGTATGTAAGATGTTTGCACAGCGTCGGTGATTCCTGCGAGAAAAGATTGTGTGGGCGGTGGCTTCTATCAAACCGAATTCTCTGCAGTTTGTCGGCAACGAGGTGTTGTTGTTCACTTGACAACCGGAGCAAAAGAGACGTGATGAGATGACACAGAGAACAACTGCCCGAGACCTGCTCGCTCCATGTGGAGATCTCGGCTCTTCCTTCCGTTGGCTGATGGTGATTTAGAGGTCATTTCAGCTGACGTGCGCTTGTTTGGGAACATGGCAGCTTCTGGCCGGGAGGGCTGATGGTTGGATTTTGGGATAACCTTGCGAAGGGGATCTCAGCGACCTCAGGGGGGCGTTGTAGAGGCTGTTTCAGATGTGGCCAATTGGCTCCGCAGAGTCCAGTGAAGTGGAAGCGCACGGGCCAACCCCACCTTTCTTCGGAGGGAGTTCCCGTTCGTCTCTTTTCCAGTTTTCTCTTTTTTTTTGCCGACCATCCAGACCGTCACATGTGGAAGAGTGTTTGTAACCCGGACGTCGTTATTTTCAGCGCTGTGACCCGGCGGTGGAGAGAGCATCACTCGCAGCACTGCAGCCGCCACAATGCAGGGACACCCGATCCCAAATTGTTAGGCCAGGAGGAGGCGAGGAGGGCTAGGTGGTCATAGCTTTGAATCCTGCCCGGCGTACTGTGTAGACTCCGCTGAATACGACAGACGACATGGATAACTCGGAGGCAGAACTGAAAAACTTCGGACGAGCCACTTCCGCGGCACCTCGTGGAGATGGACTGATCGTGGGGAATATTCCATGTGATTAGAAACACCAAACGGAGATCCTATGTGAGTTGTGACGGTAGTCTGGTTGAGTCTGGGGTTTTTAGGGCGGTAGTTGGCGGTACGTCAGAATGGATGCCGTTGGAATTCTCTAATCCACAACCACTTGCTGGATCGCAGTGACGGCGCTTTGTGACGGATGTGCATGCCACACGACATCTGATGTCTCCCCTTGCGTGGAGAGATCTGAATTACCTTGAGCACAGGCTGGAATGTCGTCAGCAGGAAGAAATAGAAACGCAGTTGCAACACTATTAGGAGGATCTGACCAACACCACTATTTCGCTATTTACTACCCCCATCGTTTGGAAGCTAGACACACATCCCGATGTGCATGAGAGGCGTCTGGCAAGTCCCGTTGTACGCCCTCGTTGTGACTCTGTTGATGCAGCGCATTAACCAGGGGCAACGACATAACCACAACCACAACATGCAGGAGTGAAAACACAAACGGAAACCACAAGACGCCTTCTTTTTGGTGGAGGGCCATGAAGAGGTACTTACAACTGGTACACAACCCGAGGCACACAGGCGCATGAATAAAAGGTACCTATGGTCAGGGATTGGACGAGGGCATGGCCCCCTCCCCTGGTCTCACCTTCCGCCAAGTCCATCTTCTCAAGTTCCATTTGGACGATCGCGCCGGCGATAAACCCACCCCACAAAACCCACTCTTGGAACCTACCACGCCTCGAGCACGCCTGCCAGTCACACCCTCCTTCTCGAACCCATCTGTGCCATTCTCTCTCATTTTACTGTGTATGCCCAGGAGACCCCCTTCTCACTTTTCCATCTCTTGTCATCCAATTTTCCTCCCTCCACTCCCTTCCCCAACTCCTGGGTTCCGTCATCTTTTTTTCATCCACAAAAGGCCCCATCCCTCGTGCCAGTCGCAACTTGACTGTCACCTGGCTGTCAACAATCTTGGCCTTTTTTTCTTCGCCCTCCTTCTTTTCGACCGTCACTCATCCATCATTCCTTCCTTGTCAGTGTTGATCGTTGACCGAACACGCCTACTTTCACTACGCGCCTTCGAAAGGATCCCTTCTTTCCAAATCTTACCCCGGAGGCTCAACCGTCAAACCGAACTCGGCAATAGAAACACTCACCAAACCCCAACCCGGTCACCCTTCTTCAACTCATCAGTCCCACGCTGGCGACCCAGGGACAGGACGTCACTATCATTAGACCTTCACTCGACACGCCCTTACGACACTCATATACCCGCGCTGGACTCGGGCAACCTTGGGGTCGTATATCAAACATTCATTCGTCAAGAGCCATATCGACCATCTAGACATCTACCTATGCTTTAGGACCGTTACACCAAAAAGACGCTCTCAGGTGTCAGTCACTTGTATCACAACATCAACAACAACTTCCGGAAACGAACAAAAAGAAAGGATAAACCAAAATGTCAGCTCAACCACAAGGAAACGCAACAGCGGGGGCTCAAGGGGCGCAGGCAGGAGCAGCTCAGCATGCTGCGGGGAGTAAAGCTGCTGCAGGTGGAGGTGGAGCTGCCGAAGGTCCGGATGAAGCCGCCATTATCAACGACATGCTCTCGGGATATCTACTTCTTGTCCTGGGGTGTATCTCCGTTGTTCTGATCATCTGGAGACTCAGCACAGGCCTCAGCAAATACGTACGACATGTTTCGTGCCTCACCAACGATACACAGAAATACTTTGCCAGGGCAGGCGCCAAGTGGACGTGGTTCAAGAAGAATATCCAGTACTCACCCATTCTCAGCAAGAGGCACAACCGCGAGTTCCAGCTCAGCTCGGCCATCAACGTTGGAACTCTCCCCACCCGCCTTCAACTCGTCTTCCTCCTCGGCTACTTCTCCACCAATGTCGCTTTCTGTGTTATGGGGATCGACTTTTCGAAGCCAGTGGGCGCGTCGGCCACTGTGTTCATCAATCGTACTGGAACCCTCGCTGTCGCCAACATGATCCCCCTGTTCCTCATGGCTGGCCGGAATAACCCCCTCATCAACCTTTTGGGTATCTCGTTCGATACGTTCAACCTCCTTCACCGATGGTTGGGCCGTATTGTGGCTGGGGAGGCTCTTGCTCACACCCTGGGCTACCTTTACCGTTCAGCTGCTTCCAAGGGCTGGGCTGTGGCTTTCCAGGGTATCTTCAAGAGCAACATGCTCATCTACGGTTTCGTGGTATGTAAACACTATATCTTGATGATTCGTATTTGAAGTACAGTAACTAACATCCCTCCTAGGCAACCGCTGCTTTTGTCACCATCGCCATTCAAGCGACCAGCGTTTTCAGGCACGCCTTTTACGAGATCTTCAAGATTTTGCACATCGCATTGGCCATTGCCTCCGTCGTCGGCTTGTACTACCATCTCGGACCGACGGGCTTACCGCAGATCAAGTACCTCTACCCTGTCATGGTCTTGTGGGCCTTTGACCGTACTGCTCGCTTCCTTCGGGTGGCGTACTACAACTTTGGATCTGGCGGCGGAAAGGCTCTGGTTGAGGCTCTCCCTGGCGGTGCCACGCGAGTCACTGTGACTGTGGCGCGCCCCTGGTTTTTCAAGCCCGGTCAACACGCTTATCTTTACTTGCCATCCGTCAGCCTCTGGCAATCTCACCCGTTTTCCGTCGCGTGGAGCGAAGAGGCGGACTCGCCCAACGGCGAAAAGCTTCCCATGGACCGCCGCGACGTCCTCGCCATGAAGAAGACGACCGTTTCTTTCATCATCCGTGGTCGCACGGGCATGACTGGCAACTTGTATGAAAAGGCTGCTTCATGCATCGACGGCAGGATGGTGACGAGGTGCCTTGTTGAGGGCCCCTATGGAGGCATGCACCAGATGCACTCGTACGGCACCGTCATGCTCTTTGCCGGCGGCGTTGGCATCACACAGGCGGTGCCTCACGTCCGTGATTTGGTTATTGCCTACAGCAATGGCATGGCGGCTACCCGCAAGATTATCTTGGTCTGGACTATCCAGAGCCCCGAGCATTTGGAGTGGATCCGCCCCTGGATGACCGAGGTCTTGGGTATGGAGAAGCGCCGTGAGGTGCTCCGTATCATGCTCTTCGTCAGCAGGCCGCGCTCGACAAAAGAGATTCACAGCCCAAGCTCAACAGTGCAGATGTTCCCGGGTAGGCCGAACATCGACATGCTACTAGCAAGGGAAATGGAGGACCAGGTGGGCCACATGGGCGTCTCGGTGTGTGGCCCTGGTGCGCTCAGTGACGAGGTTCGTCGCTCTGTCAGGAACAAGCAATACAACGGTGCTATTGATTTCGTCGAGGAGGCATTTTCTTGGTAAAATTAGAGGATTCCGTTGGAATTGGCATCAGGCAGAAGGCTTGAGGTTATGAGATATGAACTCACATTTATGCTATTTGAAGAAACTTGTTCAGCCCGTCTTGTTGTACATCTCATGGCTGGTCTCTGGGACAAGCTTTCATCGCGCGGACATTTTCCCATTTTGTCATACATCACTGTCATTTCCGCTTTGCGAAATGTACAATGAACATTCTTGTACATGAGGTTCCCATTCCCTCTTTTTTATCTGGGTGGTTGTGTCGGTAGGCAAAAGATAGCATAGCATTCACTTGTTTGAAATGACTATATCACAAGAAGACGTACCCAAAGTTATGATGCCGTGATCAATGCCTGTTCTAAATGATGGCAGTTCATTAGTTATCCCCTTTCGAGCCAAATGTAAACAAAGGTGATAACTGGGAAAAGGGGACGAAGCCCCTGCCAGTGACAAACACTACACTAACCATTGGATTTGCGTATATCAGTACGTGTGAATAATTTCCCATCGCTCCCATTTCTTGTCAAACGCAAAAATCTTTGTTTTTTCCAAGAAGTAGTGTTCGAATGCTTCGCTTGACGCCCAATTAATTTTTATATAGGAGTCACGAGGGCTTCGTTCAGTCCGGTAGTTATTCATAGGAATCCAAGATCAAGCTGCAGCTCACACCTTCAAACAATCGGAAACCTTCGATCTGAAGTGGACGATGATTTATGTACAGCATAGACATACAGTACGAGCACGTATCCGGCATGTTGTACGCATTCGCTGCATTATAGACAGTACAGCGGCCTGCTGCCAACCATAACAGACAAAGACTGGACTGTCTACGCCAGGCATGCTTGCCAGGTGTAGGTGGGAGGATCACCATACGACGGGACGCCGAGCGGGTGCTACCATCCATTCAACGAAAGGCAACCGCAACCGTACTGCATACCTCTAGCAGTGTCGTCACTTTGAAGCAAGTGCAGCCACATACACTGGCAGGTGACAGCATTCCCTACCTTCCCGAGTCATGCCTCCATTGCGGGCACTTAAACACGACTTTCCCAGCTTGCTCTTGCCTAAGGTATTCAGCTCTGGGTCGCACGGTTTCTCATCCTTCCTTCTCACCATCTCTTACAGGTCAACAGACCTGCCTATTTTGGACCTCATATCTGACAATTCGTTGCCCAAAAGTAAGTGACACCTTCCGTTCTGTGTGTTTGACAGACGGACTCTTTGTTTGGTCAACTCGTCCGGCTTACACATCGGTTGACAGAGCAACCAAAGTAAGCCAATCTAGGCTCCGCTCAACGACGTCAGTGGTCGTTTTATCACAAGGGTACCTCTACACTAGTTGTATACTACCTAACCGCAAACGTTCGTCCTCTTATCGCTCCGCTTGTTAGTCGTTGGCTTCGCCGCCGTCGGACAGACAACCCCGACAACAGCACCGTTCATCAGACCAAACCAATCGGTCGATCATTGATTACCATTCATCGTATTGATTCATCCCATCCGTCGTTTCGCATTCTTGTGAATTGCCCTTCCGTTTATCCCTTTTGCAACTGCTGCTCGCTCGCAAAGCAATAACGAACACTCATCATTTTGTATGTGAACTCTATAGATGATCGAAAGCGAACCCCGCGGCTTTGGCAGGAGAGCTGAGCGAATCGTACCGGAACTGGAAGTTCACCATCAGCAGCATCAACCTCAAGAGCAGAACGCCGAAGCCCAAGACCAGCAGCAGGTCCAGCAGCAACTTCAGCGACTCGACATCAGCGACAACACCGACGAAAGTAACAACGCCCGGGCAGCACCTGAGCCGGCGGCACCAGCATCAGCGGAGGAGGACGCCGGAGTCATCCGTGTCAGCGTCACCACTACGACCACCGTCAGCGAGGCGGCCTCAGGAGCGACACCCGCTTCCAACAGCAACAACAGCAACTTCACGAACTACAGGAACTACAGAAACTACAGGAACACCACCACAAACAACGCTGCCAACGATACTACCACCAACAACAACAGCAACATGGGTCTCGCCTACAACGTCTACCTCAACAGCGGCAAGATTTACGGATGCAGGAACTGCAAGACCCATTTAGCTAATCATGAGGATATTATCAGCCGTGTAAGTCACCTTCCCTTCCGTTCCCTTCCGTTCGGCCCTTTCTACCCTCTTTCCCATCTCTTCCCCTTCCCCTTCCCTTTTCCCCTTACACTCTCCCCCTTACCCGCTTATCTTCTTTCATTCCACTAACCCTTCCCTTCCCACCAAAAACAGAACTTTAGGGGCCAACACGGCAAAGCCTACCTCTTCAACTCGGTCGTCAACGTCGAGACGGGCGACGCCGGCGAGCGTAATATGACGACGGGCCGCCACGTCGTTCGGGACATCTACTGCCGCCAGTGCAAGGAGGTGGTGGGGTGGAAGTACGATAAAGCCTACGAGCCTAGCGAGAAGTACAAGGAGGGCAAGTTCATTTTGGAGGCTGAGTTGCTTGCCAATGTTAACTAGGTTCACCTGTCGGGATCTTGGGGTTCGATACATACTGGGTGAGGGTGATGAGGCGAGATGGATAGGAGGGGACTGGAGAGTCGGATGGTACAGGACGACAGACCGATGGATGAGATTACGATATGACACTACACGACTTTACATGATACGATACGGCAGGAATAACAGGACGACAGCGGAATGGACGACTACCTGCAACAGAACTACCTCTAGGGCAGGATCATGGCAGCGAGGCAGCAGGGCGCAGGCAGGGCGCAGGGCGAGCACAGTCAAGCTTATATGCACGGCCCGGAGTTTCAAGAGCTAAACGGAATATGCGCATCATGTACGGTAAGTAAGGGGTGGAGAAATTATTAGGGTTGTTATTGACTTTCGGTTGTAAATCAACACTTTCGAACACTTTCCCTCTCTCCAGGCTTGGTGAAACATGTTCGTGGTCTCAAGAAGTGAGAGTCCTAGAACGAGTAGAATGCGAGAGCGTTGAGCCTGTGCTTGAAGGACATGTGTGTTCGATCCATCTCTTTGTTGCAGGATGTCCCATCTGCTTTGTTATCTGCATGCACTCGAAACCATGACCCAGACCATCTTTCAGCCGAGACACAATCATCTCCATGTCTAACATAGCCAGATCATCAATGATCCACATGCTACCCCCAACTTCGCATCCGCAAGTCATAGACATGTCGCGGGAAGTAGAGTATCAACATGTCTTGTTCATTTGCCTGAAAGGTGATGTATGATACATCACCTGTATATGTGTATATATGCTATCGCTGCAGAAGTGAACCCCCATCGTGACCCTTTGTCATCTGTCCGAAACCAACCTATTGAACGCCTTACGTCCCTAACCTCACCCACCACCTGATATCGACCCTGACCATCGAGCAGCATGTCCTATGACAAGTGACACTAGTGATACCCGTCTTACCCAAACTGAGAAGTCAAACTAAATACCCAAAAAGACTACATAAAACCAGTACAGACTATGTCCCTGTTTACCGTTCATATAACACCGTGTATGAATGTTACAGTATCCCACCCTATAGTCCAGTTCACCTAGTTATGTTCAATAGGCTCCTCAGGCAACAACTCCTCCACCTGGCTGACGCGGAGGAATTCGAACGGCGGCTCGACGATGCCGTTGAACAGGAAAGTAAAGTAGACGAGCAGGCCGAAGCCGACGACTTGGAGCCACTTGAACGTCTCCCAGCCGAGGCCGAGCGAGACGATCCAGATGAAGAGCGTGCGGCACGTGTCGATGGTGGAGCGGGAGGTGGCGCTCACGCTGCGGGTTACGGAGAGACCGAAGAAGTTGAAGCCACTGTAAGAAGAAATCAGTGTTAGGGTGCTGTTCTGTTTGGAGAGGTTGGGGGGAGGAAAGGAGGGCATATGGACGTGAATGAAACTCACCCAATGCTAATCATAATCAAAATGCTCGAGATGAAGACAGACTTGTACTCCCAAAACTGCCTCCACCCCTCAACCATATCGAACGGTCCATACCGACCTGCCTCGGTCCGGCCAATGGCAAAGTGCAAGATCACCATGCCCAAGAGCGTGACCGTAAAGCCAAAGAGGCCCTCCCACCCGACAACACGGATTGGCTCGATCGTGGACCGCTCCAGGATGTACTCCTCCAGCACAAACTGCGTAGCAGTAAAGATCTGTGCGCCCGCAATCATCAACACGCCAATGATCACCTTGAGGGCGTCGGCGCCCACATCCGCAACCGCAGTCGCACTAGGATGTTTCTGATCCGGCTGAATCGCACCAGCCAGTCCCACGAGCGCCACGCCGACCATGACTCCCACCAGCGACAGCCACTGGAAGGCGTACAGCTTGCGGCGCAAGAAAACGACGCTGAAGACGCCGACGAAGAGCACCAGGGCGCCGCGCGTCATCTGGTAGATGGAGGCCGCCACGAGCAGCAGGCCGGCGTTCATGAGGGTGGTGCCGCAGATGTCGCAGATGGCGGGGAGCGAGAGCAGCACGACGCGCCAGCCGCGGAGGATCGAGGGGCCGTCGTACTTGGAAGATGCGGGCGAGTCGGTGAGAGGGGTGTGGGAGCGGATGCTGGCGTCGTCGGGGATGGTGGTATCCTCGTCATCGGCCGCCCGGTTGTTGATGCGCTCGTAGGTGGTGGATTTGGAAACGTAGCGGCTCCAGAGAGACATGATGCCTACGACGAGCCAACAGCCCATCTCGCCGACGAACATCTGGAGGGTCTGGATGACGGGCTGCTCGAAGTGCTTCCGCTTAAGCGGGTCGGGGTCGTCGCAGTTGCGAACGCATTGGTTGTCCTATACATACAACAACAAAGAACGGATCATGGTCAGCAATCGATCTATGATAGGGACATACAGTACTTTGAGCTGCAAGATTCCTTCCTTACCTGGTACTTGGTCAAGAGCGTATTGCACACTCCTGTAAGCAACATCATTCCCACCAGGAAGGGGATGATGGCCCGGGCGGGTATTATCGAAGTCATCGTGTCGGTGGCTCTCTCTCCCTTCAACTCAGGTTTGGTGAATTGTTGTGTCCGGGAGAAAGTTTGAACTGGCGAAGCTTAAGGAAGGAATGGAAAGGTCGAAGTCAACCTACGGACGGATGACCGGTTGACGGAGGGATGATCGGGGAGACGGGAGGTTGATCAAGTGATATGATGCCAGGACTGATAACGATATCGGTAACCTTCCCTCTTGGACGATCAGTGGCGCTAAAATATGCCGCTACTGCGCGTGCTGGCTAGCTGCCTCCTTCGGTTTGCTTGAGGTTGGGAATGATGCGATGCGGTTTCCGATAAACCTGATCGCGGTCGTGATGCGGTTCTGCGTGAACGTGTTTCTGTGAAACACTTGGATTGGTTCTATATGCTTGAAAAGAACACCTTCGTGGTTGGTCTTGAATTCCGAGAGAGTACGAGTCAATCCGTCCGTCCTTTTCTTTGTTTGTGGACGGTTGCCATGTCAGGGCGAACAGAAGGTCGGGTCGGGTGGGTGACAAACGTGGAGTGGAGCGGTGCGCTGGGAGGGTGCGGGTGCCAAGGCTGACGTCCTCAGCGGACATTTAGACTGCGGCACTTGCGGCACCCCAGATAAACGCCCGCCGATCATTTCCACAGCGGATATCCACAGGGCCTCAGTGGTGAAACGCCCGGGCGGAACAGAGGCGGGGACACGCCTTGAGGTTGGTCGCTGTGGCTTGAATAGGCCGGAAGAGGTCATCAAGGTGTTCTCCTCCGTGAATCTCGAATCTCAAGCCACAATGCCCCAACCCCTTGCTGCTTTACATGCTCAACTGACTATGTATGGTGCATCCAATAACAGAATGATTACGTAGGAATATCTACGTATATGATTGTCATGTGTTTGGGGCCGTGCTGAGGGCAGGGAATATTCGCGGACAGCCTGAAGAGAGAGAGACAGATCCAGATATTCACCGCCTCACTTTCTGACCTTGTTCATGCAGTGCCTGGAACTGTGAGATGCCCGTGGCGATCTCTGCTCGCGAGTTCCATATGGCTCTTCATACATATTACTAGCCGTAACTACCTATCGTGTTCTGTTTTCCATGTCATCTTCTCACAAAGAAGGGGTATCCCATACAACATAACAATGTTCCCTATCCTTTCCCAAACTCCCGTCATAACAACCTCCTGGGTTGCTGCGAAACTTATTCCTCCGAATAACGCCTGGTCCCAAAACCCAAATGCCGAATGCCTCTGCCAAGAACTCCCTATTTCTCAGGATCGCTTTGCTTCTTCTTCTTGGGCTTCTTGTCGCCGATGTTGTTGTAGTGCAAAATGCCCAACTCCTTATCCTGCGCCAGCTTCTGCAAATCTCGCTCACTGCAGGGAACACCTTCGATCCTCTTCACCTTTCTTCCCTCAAAGAACATAACCAGCCCACCGACCATAGCGATGATACAGCCGACAGCCACCAGAAATCCCGTTGACCAACTCGGGCGGTCATACCGGTTCATACCCCACATGATGCCACACAGACCGACCTGAGCCAAGGTATTGAGAACCATGCACCAGATCATAAAGTCCATCTTCCAAACCTTGGTGGCCGGCGCTCGAACGCCCGTCAAGGGAGCGTTGGGCATCTTCTCCTGCGGGATAGGAACGCACTGCTTGGGGACATCAGCCGGGAGGTTGTCCGGTCCGATATCCGGAGACAGCTCCTCCGTGCCCGGGAGACGGAACCAGCTGCGATGAATCCCAGCGAGCCTGAGGAGGCCTTCCTGCTGCCCCTTGATCCGGTACTTCATCAGAAGCCACAGATCCCGGAAGCGCCATGGCGCCAGTCCGAACGCAGTGACGCAGAACAGTCCCGTGAGGACTTGCGAGTCCCACTCAACCCATTTCCGCCTAGGCGAGTTGATGTCGTTGCATGTCGGATGGCACATGGCCGGCGCGGCGTTGCAGATCAGAAGGAATAGCATGCCACCCCAGGCTACCACGTTAAGACCGTAGAATGTCCAGAAGGCTCCCATCGGTGTCGTGAAGAACTTCCAGAACGAGGCGAGCCCTTGCTTTGTGGACTCCTGCCAGGAGTACTTGGGTGGGAAGTGGTAGCCATTGTCGAAAGGCCGTGTGTAATCTGTCTCTTCTGCGACGCGTTCTGCGGGCACTGCTAAGGTGACATCATCTGATGATAATCGAGCAGGCTTCATGGTGTCGGTTTGCTGTGAGACTTGGCGGCTTGCGAGTGACTGTCCTGATGTGACTGGTTTCAAGTTCTCCGTATTTCGGTCATTGTGAGGAGATAGATTGTCGTTGGGGTGGGTTAGGCCCTCGGCTGCGGCATGGTTGCTTTGAACCATCGCAACTTCTTTGAGGAAGTCGTTAATCGAAGGGAGCTGTTGGCGGCCGTGGTTATTGAAGCGTGGCGGGGGTTGATTAAGGATTATGTACTTGGTATTCGTAAATGGGCAAACAACTAATGCTTGGTTATAATGCAAACAGGTAGAAGGTAAGATGAGAAAGAAGATGGTAGGGGATGGATCGGAGACGGATTATATTCTACTGTCTCAAAGTAAACGAGAGACAGTCATTGTGAGCACGGTTGATGGGGAAGGAGGAGGATGAGGAAGGGGAAAAAATGAAGGGGCGGCCGAGAGGTCAAAGGGTCCGATAGCAATCGTCGTCACAGAACCAACTTGCACCCTTTCAAAGGGCACGGTAAGTACCTCCGGCTGCAACTGACGACACAGGAGGGTCACCTCACTTGCACAGGACGCACCGACTACCCGCGTCCATGCAACTGCTCAAGTGGCAGAAAAGGAAGCGAGGAAGTCGACACAACAAAACCGCCTGAGGTAACGGCGGCTGGGGGGCGAGTGACGGGCCAGACCTCAACCTTAACTGCCACTACGTAGCAGCCAGAGCCCAGGAACCTGCCGAGCAGACACTCAGCCCCGTCGTCACACCCATCCTCCAAAAACCCAGAAAGACCTGCCCAACAGAAATGTCTTGGACCCTCATTTCATTGGTGAACCTTTCCCGTTGTAATCTCGGCCTGCTCACTGGGAGCTGGTGGAACGAAGCTGGCTTGACGGGATCAAACACCGGCCGACGTAGCGGTGATGTCATGCCGCATGTGTCTGTAAAGCTTCAGATCACAGACTGACTCGGAAAAAGCGTTGGAATTTGTCGTGTCGACGGGAGGTGATGTGAAGATGATATGGGGACAACATCTGAATCATTCCATTCAGACAAAGTCCATGCTGTCGTATTTCGGCGGCCAGCGGCCTCATGTTCCAGGCTCGACTGATCTTCAGTGACCCACTGTCCCCACCGATAGGGGACCCTTGCTGATCGCGTCCCTTCAGGTTCAGGCTTCTTTGTGGGTGAGACCCACTGAAAATTGGAGTCGGAATCAACCCCGCCAACAGCCAAACAGACTCGGAAAAATGAACCGAGACTGGACATCTTCACAAGCTTCGACAACTTGACCTCTCACACAGTCGGTCAGTCACCCCAAACGCAAGACTGTCTAATTATCGCCAACATGTCGGTCGATCAACACCTCCAAGCTCTCACAAAGGTTGTGGTGAACAACCTGGAGAACCAACACGATTGGACCCAGGTCAAGATACACACCCAGGACAATCTCCCTCGACCTCTCCTCTACGGACTCCCGCCAAAGCGTCTCTATGTGCACCCCGATGAGCAGATCGAGATCATCAAGGCCGAGAAGGAGTTGAACGAGCGTATCCCCCAGGAGCCTGAGCTTGAATGGGTCCTACCACTTCACCTGGCTGAGAAGTGGTCCATCAGCGACTTCGCGGCCGTCTTTGATGCCATCACAGCCATCCCTCCCGGAGGTGAATCTGTGAACGCCAACGAGGATGCTCAGTGGCAGTTGTGGAGGGGCCCGAAGCGTGGCAAGCGCATCTTGCTCGCGACCGTCCAGGATGATTCAACTGTTACGTATTACTGGATGCACAACGGCCTCGTGAAGCCCAGACAGAACTGAGAGTTACCAGGCACAACAAAGTTCTACATCCGTCAGTGTAATGCGGTGGTGTCTGTCTGTGGAAGTACTTGTAGATGGCTAGGCTATCTGATCTGCTCCGGATACTCTACCCATGCGTATGACATCTACGGCCCGCAGAGAACATGCCTCCCTATCAAGGCGTGAAGATCACCTTCTGTACCTTCATGTTATCAAAGAGATCATATCCCTCGACAGCCTCGGCAAGGGGCATGATCTTGTCGTACATGAAGCTATATGCGACAGCTGGTCAGCATTTTGTATCAACATTTGTACGAAGCACATAGAGCGGGACTTACCTAAACTTGTGCTGGTTCCTAGCCATCACCTCCAACGCTTCCGGGAAGATGGACCGTACCGGGCACCGGCCCATCTGTACTCTCAGATTTTTGCTGTCACCGGATTAGCCAATCCATCCTCCATCATATCAGGATACAAAACGGGGAAAAACTCACTTATACCCATCATCACCCGTCCACGGCAAATCATAATGTCCCTGGACACCAATACTGCTAATCACCCCAAACGGCCTCAAAAGCTCATACGCCGTCTTAAGCGCCGACCTGTTGCCCACCACCTCAACCACCGCATCCGCGCCCCTCCCCTCCGTCACCTCCTTGACCCTCTTCACCATCCCATCCATGCCCAACCCACCCTTCTCAACGTCCGCAAAGTTCAACGGCTCCGCCCCCAACTCCTTTGCCAACGCCAACCTGCTCTCCACACAATCCACAGCAAACAGATGCTTAGGCTTATACTCCAACGCGCTCACAACCGCACACAGTCCCACGGGTCCACAACCCACCACCACCACCGTCGCCTCTTGGGGGTTCAAACCATGCATCAACCCAAACGCATTCTTGGCCCCAAAATACCCCGTGGGGAAAATATCCGCCATCAACACCAGCGCCCTCTCATCTTCGATTTCGGGGGGCGCCACGACCGCGGTCCCGTCGGCGAGGGGGATGCGGACGTACTCGGCTTGGCCGCCGTCGAGCCCGGGGGACCCGAACAACAGGGAAGAAGCGCAGCGGGATGAGAAGCCGTGGAGGCAGTAGAAGCAGGTGCCGCAGGAGATGGTGAAGGGGGCGACGACCTTGTCGCCTACTTTGATGGTGGTGACGGCGGAGCCGACGAGGTGGGCGACGCCGGTGAATTCGTGGCCCATGATGAAACCTGGGGTTGAGGACTCGCGGCCGCGGTAGGTGTGGAGTTCACTTTTGGGGGGTTTGTTTAGCTTTATGCCGGGAGGTTGTTAAATGGGGGTGTGGAAGTAGGTTGGTAGGTTGGTAGGTGGTAGGGTACGTGATGATGGGGTGTAGAGGAGTAGAGGTAGCTTGATTATACTGAGGCTTTATAAAAATGGAAAGAATAAAAGTAAAAGACCTACGAGCCACACAAAGCAGTCATCTGCACCTTGACAATGATGTCCCTGGGGTCTTGTACTGCTCATGTATAATACACTCTCGTCAGCTAACCTCACAACACAAAGACTCCTATGATGATTGATGTAGATGGTGGTTTGAGTTGCAGTCAGTCAGTCAGTCCCATCAACTTGAACAGAAACAACCCCCTTATGCCGACGACCAAGCTTGTGCTCGAGTTGGCAGGCAGCTCAAGTGATATACAACAAGATAACCACATCGTATGTATCCCCTTGAGTGAGTACTAGTAGAGCGTGACTGAGGAGAAAAGATAAAGAGAAAACCTACACTCAGGAATAGGCCTCTCCTGAACAGAAACCTTCTTAGGTCCCTCAAAGACCACGGCCTTCATTGTCTTCTTTGCTTCTGTCGACATTTTCCGTGTTTTTTGATTTCTTGGTATTCACAGGCCAAAATTGGTATGTTGATTTTCAGTATGCTTGTGTTTTGGTGGTGACTCCAGAAATTGTGTTGTAGAGGATAAACAATGGAGATGATGATGATGATATCTCACTGAGACTTTATACCCGCCAATATCCGATCGGCTCTATGAATGTTTAGTCCCGAGGTTAGATCTAGATATGTACACCACACCAGTGACCACAGTGACCACACCATTGACATGTACTTGGTAGACTTGGCTCCAGCGAGCGACCTCGGAGAATCGTAGAAGGCGGGGAAAATTCGGGGCTGTGAGGGCGGGGGTTGATTAGCACCGGCTTGAAGTGGAGTAGCGCGTGGCATTCAGATTTCGTCTTGTTTCGGCACCACGTAGGAGACGACGTCCAAGTTATTGATATTCAATAGGCTTAATACTAGATATATCACAAACTTCATCGCTAGCAATAAACCCGCCGCTTCCTTTTCCTATGTCAAAAGTCATGACTTCTCCAATGTCCAATGTTCCCAAAACGCCCCGTGACCGACCGTTGTATTTGTTCCCAATTGTCATTATCGTAAAAACTTCATGCGATGATGTCCCCTGATCCAAGTCAAGAACGCCAATTAGACAAAGACCACTTCAAAATTCGTTCTAGTAGTCATGTAGTCTTCCGTCTATAAACGTATTCAAAAAAGGGGAGTTGCGGTTCTACTCGTCGGCGATGGCGTCGCAAACCCCAAGCATGGTCATGCCCAGGAAAGCAAAGAATATGCTCATATTACGGTTATGGGTCAAACTCAAGCTCTCCGAAAACAGCTGCAGCGCCACGCTGGTCATGATACCCGCGGTGACAGCGAACAGGCATCCGTACGCCGTGCCGTTGATGGTGATGTTGCTGTGCTTGGCAACCTTAAACCAGAGCACTGCAACTCCGGCGCCCACTGGCTGACTGAGACCACCTAGCAGTGTGGCCCAGGCAATGGCCTTGAACCGGCTGTTCAGGGCCATGTACAGCGGCAGGGCCATGGAGAATCCCTCGGCAATGTTGTGAACGAACAGGGCCATAAAGACATTGAGTCCGAGTGAAGGGTTCACATGGTTGGTGGCGTAGGTAATGAAGCCCTCGGGGAACTTGTGCAGCGCAATGGCTATGACGGTCTGCAGGCCAATGGAGAGGAAGGCGTTCGTCGGTACATGATGGTGGTGTTGAGCCTCGATATCTTCCTCTACCGCTGAACAACAAGTGTCATCATGGTCATCTTCGTGATGATCGTGGTGTCCATCGTAGTCGGCATGATCTGCGTAACCGACAGACGAGTCTCTGGAAATTGTTCGACTCCGTACTTGGTATATGGGACCGTTGAGAGATTCCGGTACCTCGCCCGTACCCACGGAGCCTCCGGAGCGTATAACTGGGAAGGTGGCGAAACGTCCAGGCTGGTTAGAGCGTGTACCAATGTGTCTGAAGCACTCCTGCCCACAAGGATCCGTATATCCGAAACATGGGCCATCGCCATCGCAGTGAACCTTGGTGTCCTTAACAAATGATAGTACTCTGCTCGTCATCTGCCGTACGGATGGCCGTCTGCTTTGGATGCCAGTAGTGCTGCGGGCCTGCCTTCCAATGGCATGAGAATGACCAAGAGGATTAGGCCTGACTGGAGAATTCGGCTGCGCCTCGTGATCGGTTTCGGTTGGGAGGAGGGGAGTTGATTCGGTCGCATGTCCATTCGCTTCGACCATGGTTGGTGTTTCTGGAGATTCCGAGGATAGCGTCCTGACTGACTGTCCATGGGTGCGGCTCGCCCAAGGCGGCTGGTGATGATGATCATGCGCATTTGCGTGTGGGTTATGGGAATGAGAATGGTCGCACCCAACAACGTGGGAGGGTATAAATCGATGGAGGACTCGGGAGACGACCTGAATGCCGAAAAAGCCAGCGATGTAACAGCCCATGTTGATGAGGCCTGCGGTCTTCTCGTCCCGCCCGTCCTTAGTGAGGTATCGCAAAGCAGATGGAAGCAGGCTAAACAAGGCCGAAAACATCTGTACATCCAATAGTTAGCTCGCTATGTTCCTGTAATGTCGAGGAAAGCCACTAGAACCAGGTCTAAGGCATACTCACCATAACCCCGAAACTCAGACTCAACGAGCCTGATATGAAGACATTGCTCTCCTGTATACTAAACTTGCTCTTGATGTTGAAAAAGCGGATGGGGACATCGATGCAAATGATGGTTGATCCAAGCATGCATGCTAGGAATTGCTGGTCAGCTTGGATAAGGGACAATGGAAGGTGATGGATACGTACCCAAGCCGCTCACGGCGGTCATAATCCACCCTCGGGTGTCATTGTCGATCCCGGTTGTAAGCATTGTGGCAGACATTGGGTGGGAATCGGAGGTTGCCCGATTGTCGTTGGCGCCGCTCGTCTGCAGTCGGTTTCCGCAGTCTCTTCTACTCCCAGGACGGCGTGTATGGCATGGAGGGGAGACGGGGATCGATAACTCTGCTGGTCGGAGCTAGGAACAGTCGAGTAACTGTCAGGATCGTATATATATCGGTATTCGTCGAGGAGGACCAAGAAGGGGGAGTCGGCGTCAGCAGAAGTCGGATGGACGAGAGGGCGTCACCAGTTCGATAAAGATGGTGTTGGGATGGAAAAGGCGGCGAGGCAAGATCAGGCGTAGGCGGAAACTAGCAGGTCGTGTTTGAGAACCTCAACGGCCACACCCAAGCCCAGACAATGTATGACACAGGACAATCAATTGGAGCCTGCTCTTTGTCCCTGGGACGGTGGGTTTGTGTTTGGCTGAGATTGTTGATCCGGACCGGCGTTTGTAGATGGAAAACTCTATAAGAGATGGTGTGTGCTAGTATTGAGGACCTTGCTGGCTCACGGTAGCCGCCCCTGGATGGGCTGTTGGCGTTGTGAAGGTAAGCAGGTGATCAGATTGGATGGAAGAAAGTCAATCGGTCAGAATTTTTGTCAATCGCGGTAGGTACGTATGGAGTGCAGGTGTCTGGGGCGCCGAGTGCGGAGACGGGAAGCTACGCAGGGCGGATGCCGGTGGGAACTTGCAGCCTTGGAGCTGTTGTAGACTGCCGCGAGTTGATAAGTTGACAGGATCTGCTACAGCCGATGTTTGACGTCGAAGTCGATTGATTTGGAGATATCCAGGCTGAGGTTGTCAAGGCGAACAATTGCGGCTCTCGCAGGCTTTTAACAAGGACCGTCCGTTCGTGCTTGATAAGAAGCAGCGAAAGGGACAAGGATCATTGAGGGGAGCACTATCTCAATGCCATCATAGGTCCCCATCTTGGCATTGTTGACAACAAATCCCCACTTTGTTTCTCTTTTTATCCATTGTGAGTCTCAACAATTCGGCTTTCTAATAGGTGCTATTTGATCTAGTATCTTCTCTAGCCTCATGTTTCCAATATCGAGAAGAGTACTGGTCCATACATACCTCTACCAAACTATGATCCGTCGGAACGGTTGGCAAAATGGTCCATGTCAGGCACCATCACAAGTTATACCTCCAAGGGACTGGACAGCATTTGATCTCCATGTCTCTGCCTACCAGATGAAGAACCCGTTCACATAACGGCAAGTCCATGTGTTTGTGATGTGGTACCGTACAGTGTAGTGGTTGCCCGGTGGGCACCGAGGGCACGTGGGGTAAACGTTGGCCTCCCCACTCTCGTCGCCGTGTCACCAACCGGGGCCCGGAGCCGGGGTCACTGGGTCGGGTGTCCCTTGCTGCCCGAGATACCGCGGGAGCGCGAGTCGCAAAGTGGCGGGTCGCGGATCGTGGGAAATTTAAAAGTTTAACATCGGACCTCTTCACCTTTGCAACTCCTCAGTCCGAATCCCATCACCACCTCACCCACCTCAAGCCCACGACAAGTACCTTGCGCCGCAACACGACCGCAAGCAGGCCCATCGAGTCTACCTAGGAGGAGACCCCACGAGAGCTATTCACCATGTCGAAAGCTACCCTCGCCGTTATTGCCGCCGTGAGCGCCGCCGGTGGTGCCGCGGCCACCGCCGCCATGTTCTCCCTCAAAAGCGACAAGAAGGTCGACACCACCTCGCTGAACGCCCCCGTCCCCGTTGCCCCTCCTAAGCCGGGCCCGGTTCCTGCCAGCCAGGTCTTCAGCGGTGACAAGATCGTCGACCCCTCCGCCTTCTTCGAGTACGGCTTCCCGGGCCCCGTCGCCGACCTCGCGACCCGCCAAGGCTTCGTGTCCTCGTACGACCGCCGCACCAAGAACCCGCACTGGACGGTCGAGCACATCACGCCCGAGTCGCTATCCATGTCCAACGGCGACCGCAAGAAGTCGACCTTCGTCGAGGACGACGCGATCCCCGAAAAGTTCCGCGGCAAGCTCAAGGACTACTACCGCTCCGGCTTCGATCGCGGGCACCAGGTTCCCGCCGCCGACTGCAAGTGGTCGCAGGCCGCTATGGACGACACCTTTTACCTGTCCAACATGTGCCCGCAAGTCGGCGAGGGTTTCAACCGCGACTACTGGGCGCACTTTGAGGATTTCTGCCGTCGCTTGACGAAGCAGTACCCTTCCGTCCGCATCGTCACGGGTCCCCTGTACCTGCCCAAGCGCGACCCCCAAGATAACAAGTGGTACGTCAAGTACGAGATGATCGGCCAGCCGCCCAACGTGGCGGTGCCGACGCACTTTTACAAGGTCATCTTTGCCGAGGACGGCAAGAAGGGCGGAAACGTTGCGCTGGGAGCGTTTGTGCTGCCCAACGCCAAGATCCCCAACGATAAGCCGCTGCAGGACTTTGAGGTGCCCCTGGAGGCGGTCGAGAGGGCGAGCGGTCTCGAGTTTGCGCACCAGTTGCCGGTGCAGAGGCGGAAGAGGCTGTGTGCGGAGACGAACTGCTCCGTTCTGGTTAAGGACTATGCTGAGAGGCAGAAGTCTTTTGGCAAGAAGCAGTAAGGGGGGAATGCACGTAATATGGGGGAAGAGAAGGAGGGAGTTGGGTCGTAGCAAGCTCGGTGTTATTCAAGATACCCTCTTGTATATACCTCTACTTCTTTACGGGGCGGATTGGTGTTGGCTTCGAACTCGATAGATCGGATATGTTCGGGGTCGATGAGCAAGTATAGACGGGCATGTTTGTTCTTGTTGGAACCGTCGTCGGTTTGACAAAGGTTAAACAGGCCCTTCTGTACCTGTTCATCTACCCCGAACATATCCGATCTATCAAGCCAACACTAATCCGCCCGTAGCGGTGGCGGAGGTCCGGCATGCGGTTGATGATGGGGAACAGTGGAGAAGGCCGCTGTGAGGCTTTATACTTGCATATAGACGGGTTGTGCATAGCATCATACATGAGCATAGTTTAGCGTTTATAATTATACCCCATCGGGAGGGAGCAAGATCATTCACATTTTTCCTAAGCTACAGTGATATAAGCGTACAACTTCATAACATTGGAAAGGAGGAAAACATTGTGATGCACTTGGGACATCGGAAAGTCAGTGAACCCAGCAAGACCATATTTATCGCTATCAGCCTTGGATAACCAGGTAGCCTTATCATTACATCTACTCTCATGCCTTTGAATATTTCCCTTTTCCTATAGCTTCCTTCTTATGTCCCTTCAAGACACTCGCCACCCATGTTCTCCCAGCACATCCACCGCCCGTCATGTCCTCAGCAGCGCTAGATTGACCAAGACCATCGACCTGAATAACACAGCTGATAAAAGCCAAGTATTTCTAAAGCCAAGTATTTCTAAAGCCAAGTATTTCTAAAGCAAAATATGTCTCCTCCACAACCTCCTCCACAATCTCCCATTATCTTATGCGCGTATAATTGCCCTTGCTCTGCTCCATCCTCAGACTCTCTTCCTGACTAGGCAGCGGCGCACGTCTCCTGCCCGACGAGTCATACTGGTCGTTTCCACCATCAGGGTGAGTCACTCCTCCCGGGATCACAGCACCAGGAATCGGCGGCGGAGGCGCGAACCCAGGAGGGGGCATAGGGAAGCCCGCCGCGCCTGGGGGCGGAATGAGGCCAGGAGGCAGGATGCCGGGAGGGGGCATCGGTCCACCGCCAGCACCCGGCGGCGGCGGCGGTTGGATACCGGCCTTCTTCATCATCTCCGCGATCGCGCTGAAGTCGGGCGGGTTCTTCAGGTCCATGCCGGGAAGGGGCGGCGGGACGACACCAGCGGGTAGACCGGGCATGCCGGGGATAGGGAAGGGGAGAGGAGGCGGCACGCCGCCGGCACCGCCGACGCCGGGGATGACGGGTGGTGGCGGGATAAGGCCGCCGCCGCCAGGGCCAGAGCCAGGAACCTGCTGGAGAGGAAGGCCGGGGATGCTGGGGAAGGAAAGGCCGGGCATCATTCCGCCGCCGGCGCCGGGCTGCCCCTTGATGGGCATCTTCTGGTCCACCAGGCCGTCCATCTCGTCCTCCAGCTCCTGCTCCTCTTCGACTTGCCGCATGTGACGGCCGCCGCGGCGGTCCCAGGTGCCTTGGGCTTCGGCTGCTGCTTCGCCGATGTGATAGCGGTCGTTGAAGGACTCGGGTGCTTCGCCCGGTCTTGCGCGGGACCAGAAACGGGTGATGCGATCGTTGGATCCCGAGGCGAGGATGTGGCCGAGCGGGTGCCAGTCGAGCGACCAGATGGCGAAGTCGTGGGCGTAGGGGATCTTGTGGGCTGGGTAGATGGGTTGGGCAGGTGCGGAGGAAGGGTCGGCGCTGTCGTAAACTGCCGGAATCGGCATGACCGAGCCGTCGGGTGCAGTGTTCGGCTCGTCCAGTAGGTAGTGGAATAGCGAGCCGTCTGAGCCGCCGGTGCTTAGGAGATTGGAGTGGACTGGGTGCCACGTCAATGTCGAAATGTCCTTTTCGTGGCCCCTGAGGAGGGCGATGTCTCGCATCATTCGAAGGTCGAACACGCGAGCTGTCTGATCTCTGGCTGATGTTGCCAGACAGTTTCCTTGCACTCTCTCGAAGAGGGTTTTGGTGATGGTGTTCTTGTGCCCATGAAGCGTGGTCAGGCATCTACCTGTCCTGGGATCCCACAGCTTGACCAAATGATCTTTCGAACCAGAGACGATCAGGCCTCTGCTGGGATGCCAGTCGCAACTCTTGGCGTCCCAACCATGCCCAGTCAAGGTCATATCCGTTGAGCCGCCAGCAAAATCGAAAACTTTGAGTGTCTGATCATCTGAAGCCGTGACGAATTTGGTGTCGTTGGGGCTGAAGGCAAGGTCACGGATGGGGTCTGTATGGCCCCTGATGCTCTCGACATTGTTGAAGTTTGGCTGCCAATACTTGATGATACCGTCGTGATCCGCAGAAACGAGCCAGTCGTCACTGTGTGAATATACTAGAGCACGAATGGCAGAATCGTGGGCCTGCATGATCGTTTCGAAATTGAATCCTGTGCCGTTCCAGAGCGTAAACTCTCCACTGCTACTGGCAGTCAACAACCTTCGTCCTTCTGGGGTCCATCGTACAACATTAATAGGGTGCTTGATTTTGTTCAGGGAAGAGTGAAGATGCCGCGATGGTACGGAGTCTGCTGGGCTGGTGACTCGGGCGTATGGTGGCAGCATCTATGTCAGGTATTAGCATGCATCCGGTGGTTTCGTGGTTCGCATTTGTCCTCACATCAACGATATAACTCGGGCTGGGCCTTTCAACTTCACCAGCATATGATCCCCGGTATCTTGGTTGCCTGTGGCGCATGTAGTGAACTACTGAAGCACCATAGTCGGTGACGGGGCCTGAGTCTGGGGTCAGTTTCTTCATTGTCGAACGGCGTGTGAAAGACAGGTGCTATCGAGCTAGATGAGGGAAAGGATGCCACGGGGGCAGCCGGAGATGGTGATGTGAGATGATGGCGGTGGTGATTAGGAACGGGTGAACGAGAGGTGAGAATAAAATGAGTGTCAACGAGGTTGAGTGTATTGTCGTCGGTGATGTCCAGGCCATGGTCGGCAACAAAAGCTACGCCATTACGGAGCAAACGGATAACTGTTGTCACCTGGGACGCTATCGTGATTGATAGACAGAGCATTGTGATGAATGAGGCCTGGCCAACATGCGCTGTGTACATGGTATATTCACTAGAGGTAGAGTTTGGTTATGTCCGAAGCATGAACTTACGTCTGCCTCTATTTCGGGGTGGAAGGCCGTCGTGGCCTCCTCCCCCTCCATAGCCCTTGTCATGATCTCCCCTGGGCTCGTATGACATGATAATCAATCGACTGAATTCTGATGCTGACGCGCTTGGTGGTCGCGTTTGAGATGATGGCTTGTATCTCCTAAGCGCGTGTAATTCTCAGAACTTTTGTGAGGTTATCTAGATGTACATTAGCTGCATGCTCCACCCTGAACTTTCAAGGACGGAGAGACTCACTTCACTTGAAGCGCGGCTTCCTTCTTTGTTGGAGTTGTGTTAGTGGTTTGGTTGAACAGGCCGTGTGGTGAACCAGTCAGTGTTGAATGGAAGTCGGTAGGTGGTCCGTGCCCTTGGTGGTTTCGTTCAGGAATGACAGTGCATCAAACGCGGCCGGCATAGCGCACGGGCCAACCCTTCCGCTTGAGTCCACAGCGCCTGCCTCCAACGCAAGGCCCGGCGGGCGTGCGATCAGTGGGGCTGAATGTTTGGACCGCCCGTATTGAGATGTTCCCGTCTCAACCACAGCAGGGACACTTCAGGTCAGCACTGAATAACAGTTGTCTATCCGAGTTCACATTACGAAGTGTCAATGCTTCTGGGCATTGGATGAGCGATGTTTACCTTACCGTGGAGGTAGGTATACACAAGAGTTCCGATATCCACAAAGAAACCCTTCCCAGGTCCTGTTCTTCGTCGGTTAGTACAATAACAGACAGATATGATGGCACCGTGGGTGATCCTCTGCGAGTAGGTGCCTTGAGCCTATTCTCCTCACTTCAGAAGTTTAGTTTTTACCTCGTGGATTACATGTGTGGCTACTCGTCAGGTCTAGAAGCGACTCTGACCCTTTCCGCCAGGAAAGGGTTAGGGGGTTCAATTAGCAAAAATCAGGGCGATTAGCAAAAAAATTTAGATACTTACTCTACTACCCAAATGACTAGCAAATGGAGGTACTACTGTATTGTTATATAATTGTATGTAAGTTAGAAAGTTAGCTTTTTCAATTCTAATTACCGTATTGTATCGCCACATTTTCGTATAGTGTTTTGAGACTAAAATATCGTGATTCTTATTAAATATTATAATTACTCGTTATTATTATTATAATTATCGTAATTTTCGTCACTCTATTATTCCTCCTCCTCCTCTTCTCCCTCTTTATCTTCCTCTTCCTCTTCCTCCTCTTCCTCCTTATCTTCCTCCTCCTTATTAAATGAATTGAAGTAATAGAATTTGAGAGGTAAGTATAATTTTATTAATTTATTCTCTTTTTACTAGATCTTATACTTTTGTTAAATAATAGCTCGATTTATAGGGGTTGGAATTATATACGTATAAATTTACCTCCTTAATATTATTATCCTTGATTTTAATAATTTGATTGGCAGTTGGGTTAATACTAATAATAAATGTAGTAAGTACCTTCTTTACTAATATTTCCTTTTTAATATTATAAATCTAGGGAAGGGATAAGTTAATTTTTAGTAATTAATTATGAAGGAATTGTATATTATTAACTTTGTAACCTAATTATATTATAAATATTATAAGCGCTTTACTCTTTTTATCATTAAATTAATTCTAGCGTATTTTCTTAATTTCTTGATATTAAGTGAAAAGGTAATCTTTATCCTTTAATAATTCTAACGATTGTTTTATAATATTATTTTATTTAAAATGGTTCTTACTTTCTATTTTTAACTGTATTTTATTTATTTATTTATATTTTTTAGTCTTTTTTAAAATTACTAATCTATTTACGTAAAGTAATTCTTTTAACTTCTAGATTTTTCTTTTTAATCCGATCTTTTTTTAAATATAAGGAAATACAGTTATTATTGTCAATTATTAATCGAAAACGAATATTACTAATAATAATTAGATTAATTTTTATTACTATTTTATTAGATTTAGAATTAGCTTTCTTTTTGAAGGTGTTTTTAACTTCTTTCTTCTTCTTTCTTTTACTAACTTTTATACAAAATATTGCTACTAATAAAAGACTAGTTTATACTTTATCCCGCTTATATATTATATATTTAATTATTAGATTTAAGGGAGTTTTATTAAATTTTTAGTACGTTTAATACCCTTATCGATGTATATAGAATAATTTCTAATAACCAGTAAAGTAAAAGGAGGGATAATTACGTTAAACCAGTTACGTTTATTAGTTGGCTTCTTAAGAGGGGTTTTAAAACTATACGTTTTATATAAGGGGACTATAATATTGTATATTATAGGATTTGTTATAATAGTTATTATTTCTTTCTTTTTTATTATAAAAAGAGATAGTTATTTTTAATAGAGGAATATTCCTGCTAATTAGAATTATTTCTCTTATTTTTATAATTTTTATTAAGAACGATGTGCCTTCTTTTCTTAGAGATAACCATTAGGTTAATTATTAAAGTAAGAGGATTAGATAGTTTTAATAATATTATATTAGGGTTAATAGGGTAAAGGTTAGTTTGCTCCTAAGTAAATTTGATATTACTTCATTTAAATAAGTAATTACGTATATTATATAAATTATTAAGAAAGGTTAGTTTAGTATATTCAATATCTTTATATGTAATTTTCTTAAGTATATCCTTTTAATAATAGTATTTGTAAATTTGAAAGATGTTTATATTAAAAGGTTGTAAGAAGTATATGGAGTGAAGAGGAAGGAGGAAAAGAATAATGTTATTCTTATGGTAACGTTTATTAAATTTGATAGTATAGTGATTATTATAATTATTTAATAGGAATAATTGTTTCTTTTACTTATTGATAGGTATATTATGTTAATTCTAGTAATTAAATTAGTATAATGTAAGTTGGTCGTTGATATATCTTTTTAGCGATATAGATAGAATAGTATTGTTATAGAGGCAGTTATTAATGTAGTTTTTTATGATTTTGAGCTTAGAAAGGATAATAAATAGGGGAATAATTCGCCCAGCTGCTAATATATACTTAATAACGGTAATAAGCTTCCTAGTATTTAGGTTAGCGATTTAGATAATTGGGACTCTAATATAAATTTAGATTATATATAATTTAGTAAGATAGCCGATTTTATAATTAGATTCGTCCTTATTCTATTAATTATTTAGTATAATATTGTAATTTATAATATAATTATAACATTATTCGAAAACTTCTTTAATAGTTGTTTTAGATTGTGTTGCCTTTTTTATTTAAGTAAGGAATTTGGTGCGGGTTGTTTTGAATTCGTTGTAATAGTCTATATAATTTTTACTTTATTATCAGTTTACGTTATTGGGTTTTTTATTTATTTGTAAGATTTATTATATTGCTTTTTAAAGTTCGTAATTCGTTACTTCTATTCTTATATGAACGTTAGCTATTATTAATTGCAATTAACGTTAATTAAAGATCAAAAAGGTTGATTAATTAATGGAGAGACATATATTAATTTAAGTTAGTATAATAAGGTTTTTCTTTTTTATTAACTTTTGGTTAAAGTTACCGTTTTATAACCGTGGTAGTGCGTTGTTTATGTGGCTTCGTATTATATAATATAGTATGTTGTATACGGTGGCGGTAGTTTGGATATTTTTAAATTAATTTCGAATATATACGTTAGCGGCGAATTCAATTACTTTATTGACGTCCTTTTTGGGAATGCCTTTATTATAAAGTTTATGTTTAGTTTTCTTAACCATTTTTGGCGGTAGTATTGTATAGAGTTAGTTCGATTTAGTAGTTGGTTAGAATAAAGAGTCGATATTAAAATTAAAGAATAGAATAGAATGTGACTGCGATTAGTATATAGTATATATATTCGATATATAGTAATTTTGAAAAGTACGTACATTTTATTTATATATTAGAAGATCTTAAAACGCTACAGTTCTATTGTACTTTTATTTATATTATTAAAATAAGAGATATGAAAAAAATTAAATTATTATTAGATAAAGCAAAGAGAAGCGTATAATTTAGCATGTTTATATCTTAGATGTATGTATTGTGTGGTTAGAAATTAATATATAAATACCTTTACCTTGTTTAGTAATATATAGTTATACTGAGCTACCTTCATTTATTAGTAAATTTGTAAGTAGGTAATATATACTAAAATTTTGCTAATCGCCCTGATTTTTGCTAATTGAACCCCCTGACCCCATACTGTCGCATAGGGTTAGAGACGTTTCTAGTGCTGACGAGTACTGGCTGTCTCGCCAATTTATACAATGGATTATGGATGTTCATGAGGTCCGTGACCTCCAAAATTGGTAGCGCATCATCCCGGCCCTTGTGCTTTCACATGCGTCGAGGAAGCTTCGAACCTTCAATTTTTAGGGCTCCGTCCGTGGACTCCCTTCCGGCTCCCATCATTCCAACTCTCAAGTGGAAGGGACATCTTGAGTTACATTCGCGTCCCACTTCTTCAAGTGAGGATGCCCGAACAGGGGTCCATTGCATGGAACTTGAAATCTCGGAGCGTGGAGCTAGAACGACATCGACGGAGATTTTGTCTTGGGTCGTCGCTTCTGCTCGGGAGCCGAGAGTTAGAGTTCGAAGAGGTTGTACAACATGAGCTCCATTCAGCCAAGATAGCGGTAACCGTTGATATACGGAACCGGAACCCCTTTTTGGTCTTTGAGATAACACGAAGGAACGAAGCTCCATTTCTCCTTTATTTCGGGTTCTCTACTGAATTAACTGGAGGCCTTCTCGGATGGTCCAGTTACAACGCCCGGCCACCAATTTCGCGTGCTGCTATAGCTATCTCTGTGTACGCTACAAAGCTTCCAAGACCACACTCTAGCTGCCCTTCTTGTCTCTTGTACAACCTCAACCAACGGATTCATTCCACAGACTCCGTCCAAAAAGGTCCCCTTGCATAATATCATCATACCCTCGGCCTCCACCGTGTCATTCCGAGGCTTTGACCGTTCAGAAAAACTTGATGTTCGGGGCAGGGTCCGGCGGCGTGCCCCAACCAACATTGACAGTGACCCGTAGCTAAACTACGAGCAAGCGCCCAACCCGGCTCGGCTTGACCCGGAGATACACCCTTGACCCTTGCCACCTTCACACTGTTTCATGAATATACATCAACAACACCCCCCGTCCTCCTCTCACGATTTAACTCTCGAGAAACATAAAAAGGCATTTTTCACAAAGTCACCAGCTACTTCATCCCTTGCCGGCCTATGCTTGCAAGATGAGTAGTCCAACGGCCACGACGACGGGGCTTGACCCCGCTGTCCAAAACGACAACGTCATCCGTCGGGCTCATGGTCCAGAAAATGGCAACACTCCTAATAACAATAACAAGGCCAATGGCTCTGTTGACAGTGATAACGACACCAGGAAACAAGTGAAAAAGGCAATTCGGAGTAAATACCGCCATGTCGAGGCCGTTCACTCTCAGTCAAGGCCATCCTGTCTCAGCCATGACACAACTGAGAGCCCCAGCTTCCTGGGGTTCCGCAACCTGATGGTCATTGTTTTGGGTAAACATTGAGAACCTTGCTCCTTTTTATAGTTGAGACAGACATGTTGGCTAACGATATTTTCAGTTGTCGGTAACCTTCGTTTGATCATTGAGAACATTCAAAAGGTTGGCCATCTCCTACCTCACTTCGACCGGTCTGGCCTATCTGTTCTTTAAGAATCGGGATAGCTAACAACCCTTAACAGTACGGCGTCCTGATATGCATTGGCTGCCATGACTTCCGCAAATCCGACATCAACCTCGGCCTGCTTCTGTACTTCCTGATCCCCTGCCACCTCTTCATCGCCTACATCATCGAGCACTACGCCGCCGTCCAAGCCCGTGCCGAGCGCAATGTGGCCGCCTCCGAGCAAAACGGAAAGGAGCACCATCACCAAGACGGCACCAGCAGCCCAACCGAAGAACAGCACCGCAAATTCCAATCCACCTGGAAACTAGTCCGCCTCCTCCACGCCATCAACGTAACCACCGCCCTCGCCCTAACCTCGTACGTGGTCTACTACCACATCCACCACCCTTTGATCGGCACCCTAACGGAGGTGCACGCCATCGTGGTCTGGCTCAAGACGGCCTCGTACGCCTTCACCAACCGCGACCTGCGGCACGCGTACCTGCACCCTGCTCGCGGAGAGCTCGACGCCCTGCCGGAACTGTACGCGCAGTGTCCCTATCCGGAGAACATCACCATGGGCAACCTCTGCTACTTCTGGTGGGCTCCCACGCTGGTCTACCAGCCCGTGTACCCGCGCACTTCGAAAATCCGGTGGTCGTTCGTGGCCAAGCGGTGTGGAGAGGTAGTCTGTCTCAGCGTGTTCATCTGGTTCACGTCGGCGCAGTACGCGACGCCCGTGCTGCGTAACTCGCTGGACAAGATCGCCTCGCTCGATATTCCGAGCATTGTCGAGCGCCTGCTGAAGCTGTCGACCATTTCCTTGATCATCTGGCTGGCGGGGTTCTTTGCGCTGTTCCAGAGTTTCCTGAACGCGCTGGCTGAGGTGACGAGGTTTGCGGACCGCTCGTTTTACGACGAGTGGTGGAATAGCGAGAGTCTGGGCGTGTACTGGCGCACGTGGAACAAGCCGGTTTATCAGTACTTCAAGCGCCATGTGTACTCGCCGATGCGGTCGAGGGGGTGGAGTAATGGGACGGCGAGTTTGGCGGTGTTCTTTTTGTCAGCGGTGCTGCATGAGTTGTTGGTTGGTGTGCCTACGCATAACCTTATTGGTATGTCCCTTTTTTCCCCTTTCTTCTTCTTTCCCACTTCACAGACAAGCTGTATAAGACGAATTGTCTCTAATAACACAAATTACAGGCGTCGCTTTCCTCGGCATGTTCCTCCAGTTGCCGCTCATCGCGCTCACCAAGCCCTTGGAGAAGAAGACGTCTCCCAACGGCAAGCTGCTGGGTAACACAATCTTCTGGGTTTCCTTTACCATCTTTGGTCAACCGTTTGCCGCCCTCATGTACTTTTACGCGTGGCAGGCCAAGTATGGGAGTGTGAGCAAGATGGCTACTATGCAGCAGCTTGTCCAGCAAGGGCAGGGGACTTGCCCTCCCCTTGTGTAGTTGGGTGCTTCTGGATTTGTTGGATTGACGTTGGGGGAAAATATAGGCTTAATCAAAAGGACAGTGTAATGTGATGGACAGTTGTTGTTCTTGCATCTGTATGAGGTTCTTTGGTAGACCGATTGCTATAGCCACGGTGTTCGAGGGCGTTATCTCGGGGCTATGATGTTATTTTATAGCAAAGAAGGGAAAATATTACGCGGTGTCCAAATCTGGGCCTAGCACAGGCTTCCTTCTGGACTGGCGGAGCTGTTTGATTCTGATGAACTCTCTGGATCTATTCTTTCAACGTGTATATCAAGTAAAGAGACACCATGCGAAAAAAACAATGGCAGACCATAGTCTGGCTCCCTTTGAAGAGCACCACCCCTACACCAGATGCCCAAATCAGGGGACAAACGGAATCTTGGTCCCCACCCTCCTCCGATAATCCACATACTCTTGCCCAAAGAACTTGACCAAAAACTCCTCCTCATGTTTGATCCTCGAGCTAAAGAACTTCCACAACACCGCCGCGTAGGCCACAAAGCTAACGACGTTGCCCATAGCCATCTGCGTCCCCAACGCCCACCAAAAGAAGCCAAAGTAGCTCGGGTGCCTAAACTTCCCATATATCCCCGACGTCACCAGCACGTGCGCCGAGCTCCGCTGGCGCTGCACCAAGTGGTTGAAGCTCGGTCCCGCCTGCACCATGGCCACGCTGCGCACCACCTGGCCGATCGCCGTCAGGGCCAGACCGAGCAGACACAGCAGCGCACCGGTGCCGAACGGCGCCCACGCGCGGTTCGGCCAGAAGGTATTGGTCAGCAGACACTCGAGCGTCGCGACGCCGTGCGCGATGGCGTAGCCGGGCCAGTTGGCCGTGAGCAGGAAGGACTTGACGTCGGCGGCGCGCGTGTTATAGGCGGCTGTGGTCCAGAACTCGAGGAAGTGGAAGGTTGCGAGGGCGGCGAGGAAGAAGGGCAGGCGCCAGAGCGGGCTGGACGTGTAGAGAAGGGTGGCGCCGGTTGCGCCGACTCCGATGGTGACGGCGATGCCGAGGCAGAAGGAGCGCGTGGCGATGCCGGCTAGGGACTTGGGTTGGTAGGGGAAGTAGACTCGGTCGTTGACGAGGTTGGAGTTGGAGTTCGCGCTGGTTGGGCTGTCCATTGGGAGGGAGAGGTCAGCTTCTGAAGGCTCTTGAATAGCGGAATCGGTAGCGGCGGTGATGTTGATGTGGGTGGTTTGTCCGCGCGAATGCCGTCGGTTGTGGGCGGATGGACCGTCACTACGACCAGTAGCCAAGGGCGCCGACGACGAAGGGCTTGACGGGATTCCAGACATGGTAGACTAATCTGGTGATGTGGTGCAAAGGAGGGGGCAGAATGGGCAAGACGGCATGGCGACAGAGAAGTGGGAGGTAGCGAAGATACATATCATATGCTGGCGCCCGGGGACGGCAACGCCGCAACAGAGAACAATGGCAAGAAAACGAAACAATAGCATTTAGGGGAGACTTACCCATCTTGCGACCACTGCCGCACGTTGGATGAGGTTTCCATTCTTTCTGACGCCAGTCAATTGCAGGCTGCCGGGTGCGGAAGAGCTGAAGGTACGTATTCGTCGAGGTCGGGATGCGGTCGAGAAAACGATTCGCGATTCGGTCAAGGTTGAGGTGTTTGTAGTCGTAGATATTGTTGTTGCGCCCCCACCATTTCCTTTCGCATTGTCGTCTGACACGCCAACAGATTGCCCTCCCTTGCCTCAAAGGCCGAACAGCAACACAGAAAACAAAGTGGTGATGTTGGGTCGAGGATGCAGAGGTGGAATAATATCAGTAACAAATACCTATCAGGACCTCGGTGCAATTTGTCGGCCCCGGATGTTGTGCCCCGCCTTGAACCCGCTAACAGCGCTGCGTACAGGGGCCGGGGTGCTGTGAGCGTTATGACGCAACCTGGGTGCCCCTAGAACCCCGTATCGTCCGTGTTCCTGATCGCCATGTCCAGAAAAGGGGTGAAGTGGTCGGGTGGGTTCCATTCAATGAAAACATGCCGTTCCCTCCCGGAGCCGTCTTCACCTCAGCTCAACATTAGGCTCGGTGCCTGAATAGACGGTGGACGTATGCTGAGCACTTCCAGAAAGCACACAGCTTATCGACCTTGCAGAGAAGCCAGACGTCCCACTAAAGACCGCCCTGGATTCGGAAGGACGACAGAATCAAGATGAGCACGTTGACCCAGCCCCAGATGAAGGGGATCCACGTCGACATGGTGAATGCGCCCGCCTTGTAAGTAGCTCCCACTACTAACCCAACGAGACTTCCGGCCAGCAGAGCCTCGGCGCCAGCAACAGCAGCATAGAGCAAAGGGACCAGCCAGAGGAACTTCCAGTTGGATTTCTTCTTGCCGACTTGCATCATGAGGGCAATGCCAGCAGCACCGAGGTGGACAAGGCCAAAGATGATAAGGGTCCAGAGAAGAGTGAAGCGCCACATGTCCTCGAGGTCGTAGAGACTGTAGATGTCATGTTGAGGAGGCCAGTGGAGGGAAGGAAAGGGAGGAGTGACATAGCCAACCGGTTTAACGCGCCGGATGATACTGCAAGTATGGCTATTAGTGAAAATACACCATATTGGGGAACTAGTCAAGAGCCGTACGAGCGTGTTTCCATTGGAGATGGTGCCGTTTCCATTGAGCTGCAAAGATGTTGACTATTTCGTGGTGTGAAGTCTACTTGTCAGATTGATTGGTGTAAAGTTTGAAAAGTGGCTGGCTTGGTTGATACTGTCTAATGTGTGGTGATGTTTATGAATTTGGCTGCTTGTTGTCGTTGGCCGTGTAAGAAAAGTCCCGTTTGTAACCATTCGTTACTTGCAAAATTACAGATGTCAAGAACAGTGGCCGATTACGTTACGGTAAGGTACCTTAACTAACACCCGACTATTCAATATGGGGCATCCCCGTATCATCGAGTTAGCTGAAATGGGGGCAGGAAGATCGGGTCGGGTTCAGCTGGAGACGGGACTCACCTGCTGGAGCCCCAGAGAGCCTCCTCACTCCCTACCGCGTAGTTCCTCCTTACAGTACTACCTCGGCCCCGGCAAACAACGTCGGTCGCAACCTTTTGTCTTTAATGTTCTTTGCCAATTGACATGCCATGCGATTAGTTTTTATTACATACCGCCCCATTAATCTCTAATATCCGACGACGCATTGACAACGACGGCGACTGCGACAGCGACGACGACGACGAGCACGACGAGAGCGGCAGCGACCATCCACCAAGCACGCCATGTCGGTCGAACGACTTCTGACCAACGTCCTTCGGTTATACCAGGACGTCCACGACGATGATCGCACCGAACAGTTATACTCGACCACCACCACGCTGCTGACCCACCTCTCCAACCCGCTCAACATCACCGTCCTCACCTCACAGCTGCTCAATGCGCCAGCGATATGGGAGCGCGGCGATGGCATGAGGGCCTGCTACCGCGTCATCAGCATCTTCAACAGCGCTGCCACCCACGTCCGCAAAAAGGAGTTGGAGGCCGCGAAACTCTCCGAGCAAGCCAAACACAAGCAGCCGCCCCAGCCACTTCCACTCCAGACACACCCGGCACTGTCGCGAGCGTCACAGGGCCCGCCGCCAGGTTCGACGGGATCTCAGGCAGGACCACCGCCGGTGCCACAGGCGCCACGCACTGGTGGTGGTTTGTCGTGCGATGACTGGGTATCAGCCGTCCTCAAGGGTGCAGACGACAAGTCCAGCAGGTGGCAGCATCTGCTTGTCTTCTGCGGTGTTCTCCTTGGCATGACAAGTCAGAAAGATCCCAGGAACCGCCATGGCCTGAGCTACTCGATGCGCAATACCGTCGAGCAGGCCATCGTCACCGCCGTCAACCTTGCCCTCCGTCCCAATGAACAACCACACGGCCAACATCGCGAACCAGAGCCCCCTGCTCCCCCAGGCCCGATAGCGCTGGCCCTCACCTACGCTTTCCCGCTACTTTCCAAGTCCTCTCGCCTCGCGTTGGACTGTGATGCTATTGTGCCCGTTGCTCTGAATGGCATGACTGGAGCAGATGGCCTGCAAGACGGCCTGTTCCTCTGCACTATCGATGGAGATCTCAAGCAATCAGGAAACCACTTTACTTGGCAGGAGAGCTCCCCATCGGCTCTTCTTCTCCGCCAGCTGGAGCAAAAGCCTCTGGTTAATGGACTTGGACCTCTGTCAAAGGTCGTTGGATTTGCCATCGAACATGCGCGTGATGCCAACGTTGTCTTGCAGGCTCAGAATGATCTGCTCACGTTTACCCAAAGGCTCTTGCACGAGTGGGAGGCTAGCAAGCTCTCGGAAATCGAAATCTCCGAGGAGGAAGTGTTCCTCACCCAAGAGACTCTACAAGGTCCTTGGGTGGCTTTGTGGACGCTCTTGAGGAAGGTCATGTATGGCTCAGTTGCTGTGCTGCAGACCATTGTGGCTCGCAGTCTGCTCGATCCTCGGATGAGGAATGATACCATGGCACCCGTCGTGGCCAGCAAGACCCTCAAGGCCCTCCGCTACCTCTACTTCATTTCGTCTCGGAACGGAAGCGATGCCTTCCAGGTATACACCTTCACGTACCTTACGTCCGTTGACAACCTGGCGAGGTACTCGGACGCCTGTGCCGCCTTTCTACGCGATACGAAGCCACTTAACCCGGGCACCATTCCTCCACATCCCCTTCACAGAACCCTGGACTTGTTCTACCTGAACGTTGCCGAACACCTCCCCCTTAAGCTGACACCCGAGGACTGCGACTCGCTCATTGTGCAACCGGCCATGGCCTACCTGACTCACCACTCAACCCCCCTCTCGCCACGCATGCTCGAGTTGTTCGAGGCAGCACACAGCGCTGTCCTTTCGGTTCTCTCGTGCCCACACAACGCACCCGTCACCGTGAAGCTCGCCCCTTTCTATGCCGAGGCTCTGTTCTCGGCCTTCCCCACGTACATCTCACCGCGCCAGTTCCGCCTTGCTTTCAAGACCTTGATGCAGATCCTCTCTCCCCCGTACCCCATCTCGTCAACCCATCCGCAGCTGGCTGAGACACTTTTAGAGATGGTTCGTTTCCGCATAGGTGTCGCAAGCAAGGTGCCGTTGCCGCCTCCTGAGACCCACGTCCAGTCGGCCACTCCCGAGCTACCCGTGTCTGAGCAGAGTACCTTGGTGATGACCTTGATAGACTCTCTGCCGTTCCTCCACCTCAGGATCTTTGAGGATTGGCTAACGTTGGCCGCTCATGCTGTGAACCAGATCGAGGACGTGGCCATGAGGGAGGCTGCCAAGAGACGGTTCTGGGAGATTCTGGTCAGCGGAGAGATGGACGTCGAGAGATCGGCTATTGGTGTTGCATGGTGGGGGACAAAGGGAGGCAGGCAAGCGGTTCTCTACGGATCTCAAGGAGGACTTCCTGATGTGCCCATGATGAGTGGCGCCATTCAGAACAACATGGACCGAGCCAAGCTCTGATTCTTTCTTGCATATGGAATAATGACATCTTTCTCTCTCTACTTTCAGTAAAAAAAGCATGGAAGTTCTCTCTCAAAATAATACGTCGATACCCCCTTTATTTTTGCCAACCTGTAGTCTTTAGTCTTCTCGCTTGTCCGCCCCGCGTAGGGGCTTACGCGGCTGGCCGTAACACTTTGCTCAAGCTGATACGCCTTGTACTCTTTTCTTGTCCAACTGCTCTTCTCGCCTGGTTCTCGAACAAAAATCTCAAGTCGCAATTGCGTCAATGATGCCGTGGGAGCGTGGCACGCCCAGCTTCTTAGTCTAGTATGGCAGCGTCATCAGCAGACTAACCTGATGATCCTATCGTTTTCCAACTTTGAAAGCTCATGAGGCTGGATTGACCGCTTTGCTTGCATTGCAAACAACACAATGACCTTGGCCAATGTTCTCGTGAACAGAACAACAACAACCATTCGAGAGCGCGTATCTTGCCCACATAACATACGAGAGAGACTCACCGTCCCCCAAAGCCTGTTATGTACGGCGGTAGGTGGTACACCGACCGAGCCTTTCATTTCCCTTCCCCCCTCACCCTCCTCTCATCCAATTACGGGATCTGCAAAGATGATACAAGTTCAAGCGTTGTACCTCCTAGAAGGCGCAAAACAACCAACGCAATTCTCTGTTTCAGTCTCGCTCTTTTGTTCGTTCTCTCTTTTTCTTCCTTTTCCCCTGCCCGGCATCCCACCACCCCACATGATCGGGGAACGGGGATCGGACAGTTTTTTTTTTTCGATCATAACATCGAGGCGAGGCGAGAGGCCATGAGGGAACCACATGGTTTGTTGTTTCTGACCGGTTGTTGTGTCCGCGCGTCAGTCAACATTGTCTCAGATTTTTTCTTGAATATGGATGGCGAGGGGAGGAGGAGGAAAGCGGGAAAGCAAAAAAAAAGGGCAATAAAAAGGAAAAGGAGATTACGCAGGCTTTTTGGTTATACACTGGGGCTACTACCGTACACGACAGCTCTTTTTGTCGGACTTGAGGATTTGGGGGGGGGAAGGCGGTCGGATGGGAGATGACCGAGAAGGAAGAAGCATCTTTTTCTTGCAGAAAGACAAACAGACAGACAGACAGACAGACAGACAGACCTACGATGAGCCAAATCCGCTACATTGATTGATTGATTGATTGGCAAGGCGAAAACAAAGGCGAGTGAGTGGATGGGGGAACACTTGGAGCTTGAGCTTGAGCTCCGTACTCCAGAGTCCAGACACTGAAAGTGTGGGACAAGTTACCTCTACCTTGGGTATGTTGAGGTAATCGGAGACACTTCGGCAAGGACTTCAACGGCGGCGGTATGGTCGCGAGTGGGGAGTGGGAAGGGAGGCTGATGGTCATGGATGATGATGGTATGAGACGATTTCGACGTGGCCGAGAAACTTGGTGGGCGGTAAACGACTCGTGGAAGGGCAAAGCGGGAAGAGATGGGTATGATTGTGTCGTTTCAAGGAGTGAGGGAATGGTTGCGGTGGTGTTGCGCGGGATCCGTTCTTTTGTGTACAGTGGGGAAAGAACTTGCTTGGTTGTTGATGAAGGGCGTTCGAAGAGACGAAAGTTACTCGGCAACTTTTCTTGGATGGGAAGAGGAAAAGGAAGGAAGGAAGAGAGAACCCAAAGGACGGGAATTTGGGTTAGGAAGAAAAAAAAAGTATAAGTATGAGGGCATCGCCGAGTTGGAAGAGAAAAAAAGATCTAGAAGAAGAGCATCGAGAGTCCTTTGTCCTCATCTGCCTGATAACTCTATATTACTTTACTACAATCACCACTCAACCACTTCTCCAACCCAACTCCCACCTCAATCACCATGTCGTCTTACGAGAACGTACGTTGCCCTTCTCTTTTCACCCAAACCTCACCTCCATGGTCATGATCACAAAAGACACATCTTTGCTAAGCCTCACTTCTGTCTTTTTCCTCCCACCAACAGACTCGCGAGGAGACATTCGTGAGGAGGCCCTCATCTCATACACATCACCATCATCATCATCATCATCATCATCATCATCATCCTCATCATTCTACCCGCTCCAATTCCTCACCAACTCCCACAAGCTTGTCTTCTACTACATATGCATACGTCTCATCCTCATCCTCATCACCCTCACAGAACACACAGAACCTCAACCACATCATAATCTACCGCACCAGACACCCCTTCCTAACCACCACCGCCACTTCTTCTTCTTCTCCTTCTGACAACCAACAGACCTCCGGCCAAGACACCACCACCGGCGGGACTACCTTCCCCGGTGACGAGCAGGTCCCCAAGGATCAAACCACCACCGACACCTCGAAGAAGGACGAGTCGTCCTCCAAGGACTCCAAGGACGAGTCCTCGAAGGACCAGAAGCCCGAGGAGACGGAGGCTTCGACTACTACTGCTTATAGCAAGAAGAAGTACCAGTCTGGTTAAAGGATTGGGCACCGTCTTCTGGAGGGGGAGGTTGATGGGGTTGGTATGTTACTTCTTTTACTCGGATTATGTATGAGAGGAAGGGGAATGTGGGAAAAGTTGGGATGATAACTGACTGACTGACTGACTGACTGGTTATGAACCATCCAGATGGCTACCACAGCCACGACCACGACCATGTAGACATGGATACCGATACCCTGTGGTGTGGTTGATGGGTTGGGAAGGGAATGGATGTGTTGATTAGAGTGGTGTGAACGTATACCCGAGACAAGACAAGACGAACAACACTGATGAAGGAAGGATGGGCAAAGAAAGAAAGAAAGGGATTACGATCGTTTGCAAGTGTTGGGATTTTTTCTTCGAACTTGTTTGGTTAGCTTGTTGTTGTCGGATAGATACCTCGCCGGAGCTTGAGTGAGGAGCTTTGATCAACTATACGACTTGGAGCTGGCTGGGCATGAATAAATCACCATGGTTGCTGTCCCCTAATGTCAGTACATCGGTTGTGAAGCTTTGAGTGAGCTAAATTTGCTTTATTCTCTTTTGATAAGCAAACGCTACAGAACCGTGTATGATGATATATGTGGAAGAAAGCGAAGCTGGCCGCGACCTGTATGTCTATTCCGTTCAAACGCCGTAACCGTAAACCATATCTTGTTCCTCCATGTAGTCTACACGTTGTCAAAGCCACATAACAAAAGGGTATCAATATTTCCGTGAACCTTCCCACCTAGCATCTCCTATTTTGTTTCCTTGACGATAACATCAAATAGATGACAAGTCTCCCGCTCTTGACCATTTACTGGTCTCGCCGTGTGTCCTACGCTCTGGCAAGCTGCGGGTCCGAACCCTCACCATCCTGGCCCATCAACAGCTGCATATCGGCAGCCCAATCTTCGAAGACAGGAGGCTGTTGCTGAAGTGAAAACGGATCTGCCTGATCGCCAAGCCAGAAAGGCACAGCGCCGAAGCTTCCGCCATCAGTAACTGGAACATGCGTGAATTGCTCCATTTGAGGGGAAGGGGCAGCGCCAGAGGAGGTGAGTGCGGAGTGGACATCTCCTTGCTGAAGTTGGGGTTCAAGACTAGGATCGATAGCATATCCCAGGTCGTCGACGCCAAAGTTGGCAGCACTCGGGAATGGTACCGTGGCTGCCTGTTCCTCGGCCGCGTGCAATTGAGGTAGCAGCAGCAGCTGTTGTTGCTCTTCTTTGATACCATTGCCGCCATGATCATGCTGGATATGTCTATCCAGATCAGCATGACGGATGAAGCGAGCGGCGCATCCGTACACAGAGCAAGCAAGGTCACGACTGTCCAGCAAAGCCTGTTGAGCTTGCTGAGATTGGGCGACCATTGAAGGGACGGGATACAGCTTGGGTGGACGCTTCTTCCCAAGATGAACATGAAGAACATGCTCCTCCAGCTTCACCCTGGTTGTAAATCCCTGGCCACAACCCTCTTCCGCGAAGTTCCAGTCCGCAATCTCCGGAAGTTTGGCGTCGTAAGTATCGGTTTGTCCGCAGACGAAACGATGGCCTTCGTGGGCCGACTTGATGTGCGTGTTGAGATTGGAGACACGTGTGAACTTCTTGTCACAGCCCTCCCATGTACAAGCGATGGTCTTCCGATCCTCAACCGTCTTGGCTGAGTGGTAGAGCTCAACGTGGCGCATCATGTCGTTTTGTGTACCGCATCTGACACCGCAGAAGGCGCAGTTGTTGTGCTCCTTCTTCATATGAGCTTGAAGCAGCAGCATAGTGGTAAATCCAACACGGCGACCTCCATTGTCATCACCCTCTGCTTCGGCGTTGCATTCGTCGCACCAAAATTTGAGATCACCGTGCTCGCGCTCTACGTGCCTCCTCAAGGCACTTGCAGTGTCGAAGCCGGCGTCGCATCCGTCGTTACCGCATGGGTACGCCGACTGGCCTATATGGGCCGTTCGGATGTGTCTCTGGAGCGTTTGGTGCTTTCGGAAGCTCTGGACACAGTCCCCATAGCCGCGGCAGCGGTAGCGGTCGGCGCCCTCGTGGACGAGAGCATGGCGGCGAAGTCGTGTGTTGGTCACGAAGGACTTTCCGCAACCGGGTTCGGGGCAAGTGTACTTTCGATCGTTGGTATGGGAACCCTTGATGTGCTGGGACAGGTGCTTCTCTTCGAGGTAGTCTTTGTCGCAGTCATCGTAGGGGCACTTGAACGGGCGATCGTTGGTGTGGGAACGGAGGTGAGCAGCAAGACGAGCAGGGCGGTTGAAGGTCTTGGTGCAACCGGCGAATGTGCACCTGATGGTCTTGAGGTCGGAGGGGAAGCGGCGCGAAGCACGAGTCGTGGTAGTGTTGATACTAGTTGCTGCTACCGTAGTCGTCGGGTCGGCGTGGGTGAGGGAAGTATTGGCGACCGAGGCGACAGAGGCCGAGTCAGGGTCGAGTTCGGGGCTGTCGTTGCCATCCATAAGAAGTGGTGATTGCGATTGCGAGGGCAAGGCCGGTGCCTCTAGCTGTTCCTCTAGGGAGTGTTCCTTCTTCTGCTGCTGGACCCAATCAGTAGCTCTTTTCTTGGACTGGACTTGAGCATGGTCGGAGCCGTCATGGCCATCAGGGCCCTCGTCGTCATGTTTTCGCTTCATTTTGGGGCCTGGAGTAGCAGCACTGGTCGCCGTGGCCTGCTACCCTGGACGTTGTTGCAAGCTCCGGGTTGAAGCTCCAACATTGGAGAGAGAGCTCCGAGGTTTGGAGGAATTCGCTTGAATTGATTTTTTACAAGTTCACATTTCCGGTTGTGACGGAACCTTTGCATTGCACCTGCCGATTGGACTTTTCGTCTGGGGTGGGTGTCCCTGCCGCTTCAAAAAGTTTATCTGACGTTTTCCGCAGATTCCAGTACCGGCAGGCAATTTTACGAGCAATTCGGGAGGATGCCCCATTGGCCCCACCCCCATGTCCTTTCAAGTTCCATGTCTTGGCGCGGTTCAGCCTTGCATAACTACCGGCCCCACTCGAATTTTCTGTCGTCCTTTGTCAGCCCTTCGCCTTCCCTCACCACCCTGCTGCGCATTCACGGTCGCCAAACACGTCCAAACCTCGACATCCGCGCGTCTTGGGTGATCCCGTTTCGCCCACATAATTGTGCAGCTGCAGCCCATATCTTATCATCCTTAACACCAATCAACTTCAGAACAAACACAACAACAATGTCCGACTACGGTGACCACGGTGACGATGATCGCGAGCCTATGTAGGTTTTCCAACGCCACCTACCCAGTTACTGGCATCAACCTCTACACACACACGAGACCGCAGCTCATGCGCAGAGCAAGAGATGCTAACACGTATCCGCCAGCGACGAGCCCGCCTTCGATGAGGACCCGGATGAGTACTACGAGCCCGAACCCGAGCCCGCGGACGACGACGTAGCGGGCAGACCCGGCGATGAAGTCGACGAAGCAGAGAATGACAATAACATTGTCACGTCGGGTGACCCTAACGCGGCCGCCAACGCTGGCAAGGGCAATGAGAAATCCCATAAGGACAAGAAGATCCCCAACGACCAGCGTTCCACGACGCCCTACATGACCAAGTACGAGAAGGCTCGTATCCTCGGCACACGCGCTCTGCAGATCAGGTGGGTTTCCAAATCGGTGGCGCTTGGAAGACTGTAGGGATGGACTTGGGCTGACAGGGAATTGCGCTTTGTAGCATGAACGCGCCAGTGCTGGTTGATCTCGAGGGCGAGACGGATCCTCTTCAGATCGCCATTAAGGAGCTGCGCGAGAAGAAGATCCCTCTGATTGTCCGTCGCTACATGCCTGATGGATAGTAAGTCACCTTTTTCCTCGGCACCTGGCTGAAGCACCTGCTAACGTCCCTATGTAGCTACGAGGACTGGACCTGCGAGGAGCTCCTGCAGTAAACGGAAACCTACAAGACCCGTCATGGGATAATAGGGGCGACCCAGTCTTTGGTCAGAAAATACACAAAATTGCATTAGCGAGGGCGTTCAGGTTGAAATTTTACACATCATATTTTGAACATTTTGGGAGGGTTGGACTCGATCCAAGGGGCAACAAGAAGAGCACAACGTGTTCCTCGAGTTGAATAAAAGGCCCATTCAAAACTTCACGTGCGTCTGATCAGTCATTGTCCTGTACGTTCAAGTGCTATTGTTGAATAGGCCTGGGCATATGAGGTATCAAGAGCCATGTTTCCTCCAGACTTCTCACGCTGATATCTGATTAGATTTCGCGTTGCTACTCGATAGCGAATGTTCAAATTAATTATGTATGTCAATTATACAGAACAGGGGTAGAGTGAACACCCATACAAAATTATGGACTTGAGAATCGAAGTAATGTCCCTCGCATATTCAGAAAACAGCCCCATTATCAACACCTCTCCAAACCTTCCCTTCCTTCCCCCTTTCACATCACAACTCATACAACCCACACGCTCACCAAGGCCCCGTCCCCCAATCCTTACACTTCGCCCCCGCATCCCTCCCCCAATTAGCCTGCCAACAATCCCCATACTGCTCCTTGCACTTTTGCACCGCCCCCGCATACGAAGTCGAATCGTCCTTGCCGTACTTCCCTTCCTTGCACCCCTTGGCGTACACATCCACACAATCATCGTACTGCTCCTGGCACGCGTCCAGACAGGCCGTCGAGAACGACGAGCGAGCGTACGACTTGCATTTGCTGGAATCCGAGTCCGTGTACAGCTTGAAGGGGTGACCCGAGGCAAAGGAGGAGAGGAGGTCGTTGCAGGTTACCACGGGGAGAGGAATTCCGCCTACTGGGGGTTTGTTGGAGGAAGGGGACTTGCAGAGTGAGGTGGAGGTTGGGATTGGGCATTTGGTGCTGCTGGTGGTGGTGGTGCTGCTGGTTGTCGTTGTCGTTGCCGGTTTGGTGGAAGTAGATGTTGGCTTGCCAGTGCTAACAGGGAGACAAGGAACCGTGATCACCGTCGTTGTCGGAACACCACCAGGTCCGGGAAGGGAGGGGGGCGATGACGAAGGCGGCTTGTGATTCCAGAAATCCTTCTTGGAGCAGACGCCGCCGGACTTTCCTCCTCCTCCTGATCCCTTGCAGTAGACACTGAGGGCGGAGCACCACTCGGCAAAACCGAAGCAGTCGAGCGCACCAGGCCACCCGGCTTGCTTGAAGCAGGCGGATACTTGGAGGAAGCAGTTGGCGTGGCTGGGGAAGCAGGACTGGGGGGAGTCCCATTCGGGAAGAGGGGAGGAACACCACTTGCCGCACTTGTACTCGCAGGTGGGCGGGAGGGTGACGGTTTCTTTGCAGATGGAGGAGGTGGTGGTTGTGGTGGCTGTGGTGGAGACGGTTGTGGAAATAGTAGTAGGCGGTGGTGAGGTGGTGGTGGCTAGAGTGGTGGAAGTGGTGGTGGTGGTTGAGCTGAGGGTATAAGAAGTAGTAGTGGAAGAGGGTATATCAGAAGTTGCCGTGGTCGAGCTGGTCACGCCTGGGGTAGACGAGGAAGAAGCAACTGAAGTCGTTGATGATGAGGATGCTGGGACGGAAGAGCTGCTGCTGCTTCCTGGGGGAGGTGGCACATATCCACAGGGCTCGAGGGACTGAAGCTCGTTGGCGACGTAGAGGTTGAGACGAGCACGACCGCCGCAAGTCTGCGTGGAGTTTCCATTGCAAGGAATGTCACACTCGCTATCAGGGGCGGAGAAGGTCCCGTTGCCTATGACAACACCACACCAACACTCGCCTAAGGGCACCAGCAGTTAGCATCCGGCGTTTCTCGTTCACACAACGTTCAAGTACAGCTTGCTACATACCGCCAAACTCAGTCCCAGCAAACGGATACCCGCCATCACGACAAGCTTGCAAGCACTTCTCAGTCGTCAATGTGGCCCCATCAAGCTGATCCTGGGGATAAGCCAGCGCCCTTCCGTACGCGGAATCATCAGTCCAGCATCCAAGATGATCATAATCCGCAATGGTGACCTCATCAACCGGCAAGAAAGTGGGATCCTGGTAGATGGAGATGATATCAGTGCCTCCGCAGACCTGCGAGGAGTTACCGGTGCAGGGGTAGTTGCACTGCTCCTCGTCCAGCTGCTGGCCGTTGACGGTTTCGCCGCAGTAGCACACGCCGTAGTACTCCAGACCGGCGTAGCGGAAGCCGTTGCCCTTGCAGACGGAGACGCATTTCTCGATGGTCATGTTTTGCTGGTCGAGCTGGCTACGCAGGCTGAGAGCGTGAGGGTTGCCGGTGTCGGCGTAGCAGCCGGAGTAGATGAAGGGTTGGAAGGGGTCCAGGCAGGGAGGCAGTTCGATGGTTGTTGCGCGGACGCCATCGCGAAATAGAGCGAGGGCTGCTAATGCTGCAGCTCGGAGGGTGAGGGAAGTCATGGTGAGGACGATATGGAGCTGTGAAAAGCCCTCGGGATGGTTGAAAGAACGTCGGATGCTGAGCAGCAAGAGGCAGGTTGATGAAGCCGGATGGCCATCTTATATGCTCACCACGACGATGAAGTGGTCACGATCCAAAGCAAGCAATGCGAGATACATTCTACAAGTCTCTCAGAAGCAGATATCGAAGTGGGCTCACCGGCGTCCAGTCTGGAATCAACACAACAACGCCACATCACGTTGAACGTCCGGTCACTGAAGCCTTGCGGGCTTGAAAACGGAAAGAGTAGTGCTATCCAATCTCTTTACTCTTCCGGCAAAAGAGAAGAATTCGGTGCATGTGAAGACTCTACAACATACTATCTTCTGCCATGGTACCTACCTGCAGCTTTACCGAGAAGGTGACTTTTACGAGGGACATCGGTGAAGCTGAGTACGAGAACCACAAGGTAGCCAGCTGAAAAAATATATATCAAGCCCTCCTCGTGTTGGACTCGGGTGTAAGCCCATGGCGTTGACCATCACACTTTCACATCATAGGAGGTGGTGTTTTTGTTTTCGTGGATTTGGTTAGCTAATCTCAATCTGCGAATCTTTCCCTCTCTTGGATTTGGGGCTTTTGGATGTGGTCCATGGTTCCGGTAACCATCACCTTCACCTTCGGGCTTCAGCTGAGAACGGGAGCGGGGGAACACGGGACAGGACGTGATCTGATCTGATCTGATCTGATGCTCTTCAGCTTTCTGTTGTAGGGGTAGTATTATTGAGGGCTTACAAGTCTACCGAGAGGGTCCAGGCCATACCTCTGCATCTTCAATGTGACTTTGTACGAAAGAAGAAAGTCAGGATGTTATCGTAGGGAAGCTGAGGACGGGGCCTGAGGAGGAGGAGCTGCGATAACTGATAAGGTTTTGGGTGAACGTCCTGCCCCTGTATCTTGCAGTTTTTAGGGAACGGGTACCTGCATTCGCTCCATCTAAGGTACCCCACAGCGCCAGTCTGGACCCTGCAGCAGCTGACTTCTTGCTTCTCAACTTTGTTCCTTGCCGCCTTTCACTTCTCATTCTTGTCTTTGTCTCTCTATACTTAGTCCAGGGGCCATCAACGGCCACAACAGTCAAGAAATATTGCGCAAGAGTCATTGGGAGAGAGGAACAAGAAGCCAGCCATCTGTCATCGATGGTGTCCTGATCTCGCCATATCACGGCCCCCTTGCTTGGAGATCTCTCTCGATGCTGAAGCTACCATTACATGCTTACCTCTCTCGAGGACGGGAGCTATGGTACGGTAACTACAATAGTTTTAAAGTCTGCTTCAGCAGCCTGACAACATGTAGTCCAATCTGGACATCTGCAACGGTTCGATAGGGCCGAGGGGCCAAGAGAAAACTACATGGAGATGAGGCTGTGCCCATCACCTGCTGGGTTGGAGGACTTTCTTACACATTGCTCAGTGTGTTCTCGAAGAAGGAGACATCGATTTGGAGTCTAAGCGTTGTGGCGAGGATATACGTTCTTCCGTGGACGTCTTGTAATTCCGCAAGAATTACTGGTTGAGGCATGACAAACTCAAGGTGTTGTCACGAGACTAAGCTGAGGTGTACTGATGTTGAGACATACGTTAAAATGGTATTGCGCCTCTCTTCATATTTCTCTCGGGGAAACGAAGAAGAAGCATGTTGGAACCCGAACAATAAGACCAGAAAAACCCACCATATCTTGATGCAAATGTCAATCTAACTGCACGCCCGCTTCATCACCGTTGTACAAGTCTTTTTTTCCCCCGTGGTCATCCGTGGCACATGAAACTCCTTCGAATTTCCACGACGGTAACCGCTTTTTCCAAAAGGGAGACATCAGACGATCCAAATCCAGCTATTGCTTGCCCGAATCAGATCAGTCACAAGTTTGGCCCATAACAAGGCACCGTTGAGAACGTGTTCGCGCTAGAAAAGCAAACATCGGAAAGGTTTATCAGCCACAATCTCGTGTAGGGTGTCTCGAAGGTGAAAAGTATTTGTGAGTGTTGAGCCCCGCCTCACTACGAGGATGAGCATGACTAACCTCAGGGTAGCGCAGTTACCTACATGCCCAGCCATGTCCTATCCAGGCTCAGCCAGGCTTGCATTGACGACACACACGTACGCGACCTGTGTATCTTACTAATCGCCTAATCCATTTTGCTGCGTCTTGTCTTCAGCTTTCCACACAGAGAACCTGGACTTCATACGGGTACTAGTATCCGTCAGAGGTCCGTCCTAGATACTAGCTAGGTAGGTAATCCTCCAACTTCACCTCCTAGCTTCCTCCCCAGAGGGAGTTCTCCCAGCCACCGTCGTAGCAAGCATTGCGAAACGTCACAGAAAACCCCTTGAGCAATAACAAAACCGCACTATTGACAACGGCTAGGCGCGGCAACGACGGGTGATGATGCGACAGCCGGAAAACACGATACGATACCTAGATAAAAGGAGGCTGATGCGACGAACTCAGGGGTGGTTAGGTAGGTAGTGTAGTACCGGGGGAGGTGTGAAACGGGATTAATGAAACAGTTTTTCCTTGAAATTGGGAAACAAGGAAGAAAAAGAAAAACTTCGTTAAAGATTTCGGGTCTTTGTCACCGTGGTGAGTGCCGTGATCGTCGACCGGGGTGTTCCCAAGCAACGGGGCTCTGGGGTCGATCGGTGCTCCGTCCTCATCTTGAACAGTGGAGCTGCGACGGAGAATAACTCGTCCTTTGATATTGCAACGCAATTTCGAATTCTCCCGAGACCGAACCCTTGGTCTTTTCGTCGCTGAATTACTAAAGTACGCTAAAGGATGTTACAAGGGATACATAAACGTACGGACTGGTACCAGCAGATTCACTACGTTTGTGGACAGCTTTTGGAACTTGTCATGACCATTAACCCTCAGATCAACGCTTTGGAGGACTGGGACCGTTTGGATGAATGAATGATAAACGTGAAGAAAAACGCACAACCACTTTTAGTCCAGTCTATGCTGCAAGAGGTGCTCCCCGTATTACGTGATGCTAATTTACATGAACCTCGTAAAAAAAGGAGCGCGAACAACCCTTAAACTCCATTGTGAACAAGTGCAAAGAGACAACCTCTTAAGCACCCTCACGTCTCCACTTAGGAACATACTTGCCGGGAGCACCGCTCGCCTTCAAGGGCTCCGCAGGAGGGACGTCCTTGTCATTCTCGAGACGACCGGATCCAGCCCCCTCGACAGTAGGGCGAGGGGCGGCAGCCCTGAGAGGAGGAGCGCTCCTCTCGGGGACGGCCGCAGGGGTGCTACCTCCAGAGGCGGCCTTGGCAGCCTCTCTGTCGCGCCAGCTGGGGCGGTTGCCGGTAAGGGGCAGGCGGGGAGGAGCAGCAGCTTCTGTCCTCTCCGCAGGGGGAGCAGCGGCACGAGGTCTCTCAGCAACGGGCTCGGCGGCAGCAGGCGCGGGAGCGGCGGTCTCTCCAGAGGCAGCCTTGGCGGCCTCGCGCTCTCTCCAGCTGGGACGGTTGCCAGCGAGGGCAATGCGGGGAGGAGCAGCAGCCTCGGTACGCTCCGCAGCCGCGGGGGGTCTGTAGGCAGAAGGGGTCGCGGCGAGCTTCTCCTTCTCGGCCTTGCGCCTGGCCATGGCCTCCTCCTCGCGCTGTTGCTGGCGGGCAGCAATCTCGCGCAGCTTCTCGCGCTCCTTCTCCTTCTCCTCCTTGAGACGCTGGAGCTCCTCCCTGCGAGCCTCCAGACGCTTCTTCTCTTCCTCCTTCTCCCTGGCGGCGCGCTCCTCAGCCTCGCGGAGTTGACGCTCACGCTCCTCACGCTCGCGCTTCTCACGGATCTTCTTCTCGCGGGCCTCCTTGCGGCGGGCGTTGATCTGCTTCTCCATCTCACGCTCGGCATCACGACGGCGCTTCTCGAACTCATCACGGCGACGCTCGTGCAGGTCAGACCTGAACGACTCGTAGTGGGGCATGAGGCGAGTAAGACGGTGCTTGAGCTCAACATCAGCCTTGTGCGTAAGCTCAGCCTCCTTGAGAGTCTGGGCCTTGGTACGCTCGTAGGCAGCGAGATCGCGCTCGCGCTGCTTGGCGTAGTCTTCGGGGAGCTTCTTAGCCTCCTCCTTCCTGAAGGCACGCTCGAGATGATCAAGACGCTTGCCGGTAATACGGAGCTTCTCGGAGACGGTGTTCTTTTCACGCTCGAGTTGCTGGAGCTTGATCATGCGGATCTTGTTGCTGTCAAGGGTCTCGATGTCCTCACCCTGGAGTTCTTCGAGCTTCATGTCCTTGAGCAGGGCTTCAACCTCCTTCCTCTTGATCTGCTCACGCTCGTTGGCAAGACGCTTCGCCTCGCGGAGCTTCTGCTCCTCGGCAAGACGGGCGGCCTCAGCCTGCTGGAGGGCCTGCTCCTGGAGCAGCTTCTTGCGGGCATTCTCCTTCTCCTTCTGGGCCTGAGCCTCAGAAGCCTTGTCCTTGCGCTTCTGAATGATCTCCTTGCGAGCAAGGACCTCCTGGTGCTCCTTCTCGGCTCCAGCCTTGGCACGAGCAAGGGCCTCATCACGAGCCTTGATGCGAGCCTCGTTAAAGCTAGGATCAATGTAGCGGCAGGTGGTGTAGAGGGCCTCAGCGAGGCGAGTGAGCTGAGAGCGCACAATCTGGGAGGGAGTGCTCTGGAGACGCTGGACAGAGCCAGTCTCGCTCTCGGCAGAGCCGGCAGAAGAACCGGCGTGGACAGCCTTGGCGGAAGAGAAGACATCAGCGTCGAAGCTAAGAACGCCAGTGGCGTGGTCCATGCGGATGGCAAGATCACCCTTCTTGTTGCCGTTCATGATGAACTTCTCAATGGTGCCGCGGGTGACCTGGAAAGGCTCGGGGAACTGAGCCAAGCTCTCGACGAACTCAAGGTCGACAGTCTCATACACCTGCGAAAGCTGCTGGAACAGGCGGGTGAGAATGACCTGCTGAAGAGGAAGGATGTACTTCTGCATCTCGGCATCGGCGCCAATCTCGGCAAGAATGGGGGAGATCTTTTGGCAAATGGAAAGAGGGTGGAAGTCGACCTCGAGGATGTTGTAAAGATCGCGAATCTGAGGCTGAGCGCGGCGGAGGAGCGACTTGGAAAGGGCATCACGGAAGAGACCAGCACGGGTAGGGGCCTGGGCCATGCCGAGCAAGTGGGTCAAACGAGAGTTCTTGTTCTTGCGGGCCTCGTCAAAGTCGACCATGGCACCGCGAGAGCGCGAGGTGCTGATGACGGGGATGGAGAGGGCGGAGAGAATGACGAAGGTGGCAGCCCTCTGGAGATCAGCATCGCTGCAAGCCGGGTTATCAGCCTTCTTGCTGTGGCCAGAAGCAATGAGAGCAGCAGACTGGCGCAAGAGGTTGTAGTAACGGGCCCAAGCAGCGGCGTGGAAGAGGTAGTTCTCGCCAACGAGGAAGATACGGGTGAGCTTCTCGTAGTAGTTGGCCATCATGACGTTCTTGGCGGGACGCTTGCTGAGGCTGAGGAGGGTGTGGATATCCTCAACACTGCGGAAAGCCTCCTGCCAGAGCTCGAGCTCGACAGCGACGTTGAGCTGCTGGAAACGGGTCTCAAGGTGACGCTGAAGAGTATCGGGGTCGTTCAGGTTGATAGCGTGCATCTGAGCCGAGTACTTGGCGGCGGTCTGGACATGGTTGCGGAGAAGCTCGCAAAGGCGGCGGAACTCGGTCTTGCGGGTGTACTTGAAGCAAAAGTCGAAAGCCTGCATGGCGGTGCTCTGGTAGAGAACCTCGAGGCGGGCATTGTTCCTGAGAATATCAAGAACAGTGCGGTAAGCCTCCCAAAGGAACTTCAGCCAAGGAGTGACGATAGCGCGGTCGGTACGGTCGCGAGACTGCTCACCGGAAACGGTAGCGAGCAGGATAGACTCGGGGGTCTCGCTGGCCTCGAGATCGTCGATGTTGGAGGTGGTGGCCTCGATGCTGGACTGGACCTCGTCGGCCTTGGCCTGGGCAGCGGTGACCTTCTCGGCGGCGAGCTCGATGAACTTCTTGAGAACCAACTCGATGGTGGCGACGTTGGTGTTCTGGGCGATGTTCTTGTACTGGTAGAGGGCGTCCTTGGCGAGCTTGCCCTTCTTCTGCTCGACGGAGAGCTCGACGAGGAGGAGCATGACGGGCTCCAGGGAGGCGATGGGGACATTGCGGGAGCGCTTCGAGGTGATGTGCTCGTGGAGCAGGGTCAAGGCGGCGGAGGCCTGGTTGACCCCGATGAGCTCGTGGGCGCGCTTGAGAACATTCTCAGGCTTCTGGTGAGGTGGGGGAGGCTGTTGATGGTCAGTAACGGTCACCAAGGGTCACAACACTCGACGACATTTGGAGGTGAGCGGGACAGGCGGGGAGCGGGGGTGGTCGAGGGTCGAGGGTCGAGGGGGGGTGAGGGCAGGGTGGGCGGTGATGAGGTAGGTGACGATGCAAAAGGAGGGGCAGAAGATAATATGAACTCGAAGCCATAACCATAAGGCTAGGCTGTGTTCCCAACTTACCATGATGGGCGACTCCTCTGCACTTGGCTAATCTAGAGGAGATATGGATAAAGTGGTGTTAGGGACGCGGCGCGCAAAGCAGCACGTAGATATGCTGGAGACTTTGGCTGAGGCTGCGCTGTCCAGGACGATTTTTTCGCCTCGTGGAGAAGTTCAGTTGCTAGGGTAGTCAGGCTCGATTTTGCTGAGGAGCACTTTGTGGGCTGGGATGATGCGGGACAGTCACGTGATGCAGCTTATAGAACCCGGTGCTGCGAGAACAACTCAGAGGCGGGAAGTGCAAGCTGTTTGGTCACACTCCTGTGGCAGTTGGGATTGATGGACATGATGATGCGATTGTTTTCTTGATATTGAATCAATCTGAAGTGAGGCTATTTTGCACAATGGTAGAGGGTTAGAATGTCGCAAAGGACAAGTGGGATGTTCTGCCATCTTTGCGACTGGTGCTGTCCAGTGTGGAAAGTGTGTGCGTGCGGCTGCCTTTTCTTTGTTCGTGCGCGAGTTCCCAGCCCGCTGGCGACGTTCTTTTCTGCCCGGCCACGGACCCCCGCCTTGCGTGACGGACCGTCGGCAGTCTTGCCAAGCTTCCTAACGGCTGTCATCGAGCACGTTGCTCTTCGAGGCTTGGAACTTGAACTGAACCTTGGTGAACCTCAGTCGAACCTTGACAAAGTACCTCTATGCCCAATTACTGCATATATATCTTTGGGTACTGCTGCTTCAAACGTGAGAGTTTATGTTCAGTCTCTCCCTATAAGTGAATATATACCCGCAACTGCATAAGATAAGACTTCGAGATCTGTATAACATGCAGAAACAGGGGATTCTCCTCTGTATCCTCGTCGTCCCACCCAAAGCGTTCAAGCGTCCATTCGGAGCAAGTGGGCATCCACCCACTTGCGCCATTCCCAATACCGACCGGAGATGCCTGTTGGAGCCGGGGTGGTTCCGCAAACATCAAAGGGGGGACGATAAAGTGGGGGCGGGCTTGGCGGGACCCGTCGTGTTCCATTCTGGCTGCTGCATTTGCCATTTGCTGCAGCATTTAGTGTACAGTATGCACAGCACCGACAGCCCGTCCAAGAGGTCGGTTGGTCGGGCTAATCCTGCCGGTGTCCCTATCCAGAAGGAGCTGCCCATCTTCAACGGCTTTCATCTTCCTTTTTTCCCAGATCTTGACTTCCAGTCTTCCAGAAGCTTGCACAATGTCAATCACAATGGCACGGATGGGGCTGGATAATAGGGAGGCCGGACATCCTGAATGCGGAGCTTGCGGTGATACCTGCTATCTTGCCTTGATACTAACTCGACTGCACCCATTCCGTCTACGGTCGTAGTTAGTGTTGAGTAATCTAACAAAACCTTGCTAAGCGACCCCCTGGTCCGTCTCATTTGCACCGGGCCCTTTTTTCCTCGTCGCCTTGGGTTGCTTTGGCCGCCCAGAAGAGGAGTGCAGCACCGAAGCGAACCAGCATTGCAGCAGTGCAAGTGCAGGTAAAAGCGCAGCACTGCAGCAGGCCAAGCAGGGGGAACTGGGGCATTGCACGGACTGCACCCACCTACCGAACCGTTCCCTTCAGGTTCTGTTGCGCTGCTACTGGCTCGATACAGGCTGCGCACTGACCACCGTCGCGGTCCGGGGCCCGCCAGTGCCTGCACTGAAGGAATGAAGGAACTTCCATCCAGATATGGGCGCCCCTTCTCTTCCTGTTAGGAATCGTCAATCGTGTGTCGGTCCAAAGCATTGGCATCGTTGTCCGCATTCCTCCATCTCTTCAATCAACTTTGGACAAGTCCATTATACGGCCGATAATCAATCGAATGCGCCTTCTCCGACCCTTCGCTTACAACCATCAACTGTCGACCTGACCTTTTCCTGCTGCGTGCCAGGAGGTTGCCACTTACCAAGAGTGTCCGGTACGTATTCGCGATTCCTGATCGTTCCATCTCAGCTTGCCGCAATTTCCAGTTGCTCCATCGCGGCCGTCGCCCTTCAGCTTCACGTTTGGCACCTCCGTCCGTCCCATTCGTAGCCGCCCATTCGCAAGCCGTTAGTAGCAAGGACAAAGGACCGCGGGAGAGGAGCCCGAACTTCAAACTATTTTTCCATCTCGCCCCGACTCGAGCAAGCACCAGCGCGACCCCGACGACCGACTGGAGTGATTGAATGGCGATTGAACGACGGCATCTGAACAACACGACTGACACGACATGTTTGAGCAGCTTAATTCCTATCGTTAAAGACCCACAGCGCCGCCGACCCCGAATTCCACTTGCGACCCATCTTCACCACAAAGCTTGTCCCACCAGTTCTCGGCTTTTGTCGCAGCACCATTGTCGCCCACGTCCCCGACGACACTCCAACACTCCTTTAATTCCTACCCCGGAGTCGAGGCTTCGACAAAATCCCCCAAAATGCCTCAGTACGCCTCTCGCGATGTCGGCGACCCGTCGCAAATCAAGAAGAACAAGCAGAGCATGGCCGACCTAAAACTCCGTCGATTGACCGAACTCAACAACCGACTACGTGAAGATTTGGAAAGGGAGAGGATTCCGGTCAGCCAGGCGGCCAAGAGGTGAGAACTAGCATTCGTTGTTGCTCAGTCGTTCGGCACATTTGCCGGTCGCAATTCAATGAGGCTGACAGTCGTTTCTTTTTCTCCATACAGCATAATCGCCTACTGCAACAGCACACGAGACTACATGGTACCAAGTGTTTGGGGGCCGGTGCCCAAGTCCGAAGATCCGTACTTGCCACAACAGAGCAGCGGGTGCTGCGTCGTCATGTAAACTTCGGACATGGAAAAGCTATGACATCAATGCGGCGACAAAAGGGAAGGATATTCGAACTACTCGGTCAATCACGGGCGTTCAGTTTCAGCTTTCCAACACAGCGTTTCCTACGAAAGTCTATTGGTGGGCGGACACCGTCGTTCGCAAGCGGGATTGGAGCCGGACGGAGTTGGTTTGGAAGGCCGAGAACGTTATCGGAGATTATGAGCGATCAGATGGCCATCACCGGAAGGGAAAGAGGTCGACATTCTTGCGGCTCATCCTTTTCGCCGCCTTTATCACGATACGTCAAACCGGGGAGAAAGGTTTTGAGGAGTGAAGACACGACGGCTGGCCTGACCATAATGCTTATTCAAATACCCCCATCCGTTACTTCGGATCTCACGGCAGGCAGGCTCGGCAGACTCTTCAGCATGTAATACCTTTTTATTTTTCTACTTTTTTTTCCTTTCTTTTTCGCTTCTTATTCCCCGGTTGTACTCTTTTTTACTCGGCCTTTCTCGATTCCCTTTTTTTGTCTTTTACATGTGTATATCCTGCTTCATGAAGCGCTTTCCGCGCGGCTTCCTCTTCTGGGTCTGGAAAGGAAGGGGCTTACGACATGAGAAGTGAGGCAAATGAAATGCACTAGACTATTCTACTCAACTGATGATATTTGGATGAAATGCATCAAAATAGCTCCAGTTTCCTCATTAACAAGGTACCAGATCCGATGTCCTGGTGAGCTTCAGTGTGGGAATGTCAGTTTGTGAATGCTGCAGTACGGTCATGGAACGGACAATATAAATGTCTGTTAGTGCACTTACGATTGGCGAATCTCCAAACGATAGTAGGAAGCAAGGTAATCCACATTAGATCGTGCTCTCAATGGCAAGGTCGGGTGTTGATGAACTGGAGGCGAGATGACGCACAGGCGATTCGGGGTGCGGAACCCGTCGGATGGAGCTGACTACAGCTCCGGGATTTGACTGTTTCGTGTGTGGACTTTTCCTCCATCACATGAACTCCCACTTACACGCCACCACCAGGAACCGACCAGAGTGACGGAAACACGCAAAGGCCACAACAATCTAGAGGCCTCCGTCTACGAAATTATATATATATCTCTCTCGTTGTTGATATAGCATTGCCCAGTACACACAAAGATGACGGACCAAACTCCTACTACTACCAGTGCCTCGACTCCAACTTTACTACCTCGCGTCACCATCCGCTTTTGTACGCAGTGCAAGTGGATGCTGAGGGCAGCTTATGTGAGTTTGACATTTTCTCTTAGACGCGATTAGTGGTTTTAAGATGTTCCAAGTCTCACTACTATCACTTATTCCCCTCTTTCTTATCGAGTTCTTTTTTCGCTTCCTTACTTTCGCTTCATCCTTCCCTGTACCCGTACCAGTCATCATCCACACCTCATCTCTCTACCACTCATTCATATCACCCATTACGCCCCATGAAATGATCACAGAACTCAAATACTAATTCCAACCAAAAAAAATACAGTACGCCCAAGAACTCCTCTCAACCTTCTCCACCTCCCTCGGCGAAGTCGCTCTCCAGCCCTCAACAGGCGGCACTTTTGTCGTGGACATTACTTACGCTGCCACTACCACCTCTACCTCTACTTCTGCCCAAAATTCCACTACTATGGAGGGTCAAACCCCCAGTGTTCAGCAAAAGACAATCTGGGACCGCAAAACAGACGGCGGCTTCCCCGAGACCAAGGAGCTCAAGAGGCGTGTGAGAGACGTGATTCAGCCAGAGAGAAATTTGGGGCATGTTGATCGGGATTATCATTCCAAGAAGCCCTCCTCTACTTCGCCGGAGGCTGCTGCTGAGATGGGAGCGGCCAAGGCTACGGAGGCTGCCCCTGCCCCTGCCCCGCAAAGTACCTCTAACAAGACGACGGAGTGTGCGGATTGCGATAATTGGATGACGGAGGAGACTTATAAGGGGGATTTTGAGGGGGGGCATGCTGGTGGGAGTGGGAGTGGGAGTGGGCAGCAGCAGAGCAAGGGTGAGACGGCGGGGGAGAGCGGAGAGAGCGAGAAGAGGACGACGGCTGATTCGAACTGGATGACTGAGGAGACTTATAAGGATTTGGAGGGGGGACAGTGAATGGGGGGAACGAATGTGGAAATGAATGAATGGATGGATGAATGGAAGACGGGGAGAGAGGATGAATGTCTGGTCTGGTTAGATGGCTGTGGTTTGGCTGGGTTGGGTTAGGTTAGGTTGGGTTAGGTTAGGTTGGGTTAGGACACTCTCCCCTCTTTGCATGAATACGAATATTGATTGGACCTTCTTCCAAACGTTCGATCAATTGTGTCTAAATGGCCAAAGCCTGGTTGGTAGTGAGTTATACTACTGCGTATATGTGATGACGATTCACATCGAGGATAGAATCAGGCTTGCGGCTGCTTTCTCTGGGAAGCCCTGGTGGCGAGTGAGTTCATGGGGAACGTCGAGAGCATGACTGGAGTCTGGGAGGAATGATATGGATGTATGAGGGAAGAAAAAACAGATGATGATCCTTTCACACGAGTATTATGCCTAGAACAGGGCAGATGAACCAGCTCGGCCATGTACCGGTGTCGGTTAGGAATACTATAGACCTTACATATATGCTCCTAGGTAGATACCGCCAAGTTCACAACGCAACTGTAGAAAGGGAAGATGAAGCAGTGATATCGGTTCACCACTGCATCACCCCTTCCCTTCAGACTTCGACTTGTACAAAGATTGTATTACTCAAGTGCGGTTATCAATATGCTTGTGTCGACACTCGGCAACTACAAAGATCTTGGAGCGATATGTACTACTAAAGCAAGATGTAGAGAAGAACAGCTATATGAGGCAATGTTGTTGGCAATAATATTTGTGAGAGCTCATGAACATGAGAGTATAATCAGTACACCTTAACTTCATATTTCCCCTTATCTGTATTCAGATAGATACATGACAAAAAAACAAACAGCACGCAACGAAGAAAACACAAACGGTAACGGAATCATAGAGATAAGACGAGTCGATCACTTGGAAAAGACATGAAACGAAAAGAAACTTTAAGCATAAAGTACGAAAACAAAACAGTAAAAGAAGGAAGATACGTAGACATCAGAGATATCTTCAGCCCTTGCCCAAACCCAACCCGAATCAATACTCCAGCCCCCTTCTCTTTCGTCCCTCTATCATCCGACCTTCCGACCTTCCGACCTTCCGACGAGCACGCTACGCTTCCCCTTCATGTTATTCGTCCCACCCATACATAGAGGTATGTTCAACGCACCATACAACTTAATCGACTTATTGGCTTCAACATCCCTTTCCCTATCCCGCCCCATCGTAACGTATACTCGTACTAATAAATATACAAATAATTCAACCACAGAACAACTCATATCTTAGGACCACTTTTGGCTCTCAAGTCACCGTAAACCACCACCTATTCAATTCCGTACAACGAGCCTAATCAATCAACCGACAACAAAAAGTCCCACGCGCTCCTATCCGTTAATCCGCCTGCCTCCTCTTTTTCGACCACAGCAACCTTTTCGCCCCATGAGAACAAGACGCAACTGTCCCAAAAAGCCGAGCCTGCCAAGCCGTTCTGTCTTCTCCACACTTATGTCTTAAACTTGATATCGTACTTCTTTTTCCCGTCCTGGTCTGTCCAATGCTGTTTGCTCTTGTATCCATCAGGGTGTTCTCACAATGGCAGAAAGGGACCAGGGCGCAGAGACAACCGCGGCCTTTCATCCCATCCTCTTCCTTCGGTTGCCATCCAAACGTTCCGTCCCACCCGTTTAATATGTTCGTAGCTTTACCTCTGCGATCGTGGCCTAGCCTTTTCCAGCATCCGGAAATATAAATGCCTAGGTTATGAGAGCTGTGGAGTGAGTGAGGTAGGTGAGGGCGGAAGGATTCTTCGACCGGGCCGATGAGCTCCCAGATCAAGACGAAGTCATGTCTGGACGCTGCTGCAATGTGGATGCCCCTCAAAATCGGACCGTAGATGGAAGAGAGCGGAGTGGCGAAACACAGCATATCGTAGTCAGAAGTGCTGGAGCGGATGCAAACGGACAAATTCTCGATACACTCTCTCATGAGGAATGACATATGCTTTGGGTAAAAAGCGAAACAAAACAACTAGTTTCCCCCCAAGACACACACTGCTTATCTATACCTTTCCTAGCAGGAGTAGTGACCAGACAAGAAAAAGAAAAGGTCGTTCGTTATTCATCCCCCCGAAATATAAAAAGATTCCCTTCCCTTCCTACCCTCCCGAGTTGTGTGGATACCGGACAGACGGAGAGACAGGACGGGTAGACGTGGCTTTCGTTTCGTTGGCGCGACAGGAGGGGCGAAGACCTCCCGAAAAGAAGTGGTCAGAATGGACGGCAGACGGGATGATGGTTGGGGGCCCTGGCGATCAAGAAACACGGAGGCGGTAGACAAGCTGGCGGTAAGATACTCATGTTTGTTGCGGGGGCGAAAGTATCAGGCGTTTATCGGCGGCCGAACCTAAAAAAAAACGGGGTTGTTCGTAAAAAAACTCTTCACTTGTGCTTCCTGGGGGTAATAATTTTGCTACTGCCTCCTTTGAGACTGGGAACGTACTTCTGTTTCTTCTCTGCGGGCTTGAGAATCTGCAAAGGGTGTTAGCAAGAGTGCAATGGTCTCGGGGCTTGGCAGGACAAGGAAAACGTACCTGGAAAGAGCAGAGCAAACTTTCGTCGACGCTCATCATAGCACCAGCGTTGTCGAATTCGCCGCAGTAGTTGGGGGCACTAAACAAAGTAACGAGCTGGCGCTTCGAGAAGAACTCGTATCCGTCCTCGACAACCTGGTGAGCACGGCAGATCAAATCCATGTCGTGTTTTTGAAGGAAGCGAGAAACGACATCCGGACCGAAGGTGAAGGAAACACCACGATCGTTTTCGCTCCAACCGGTAATGTCCTTATCGGGATCCGACCACAGGAGATCGCAAAGAAGACCGCAGTCAGGAATCTGGTATTTTTGTTAGCTTCTCAGGTTACGGCAATTTGCCTGAGCAAGCGGGAAACCCGTGCATGTATGGTGTAACGTACGTCAGTTGGTCGCATGACTCGGCGGATCTGCTCCATCGAGTTGAGATCCGGGCTCAAGCCACCGTGCATTGTGAAAATCTTCTCGTCGATGATGGCAGCGATCGGTAGGCAGTTGAAGCAGTCGGTGAAGGTCTTCCAAAGCTTGATGTTGTACCTGCGCTTGCACTCGTCGTAGAAACCATAGATACGGTTGATGGACGCGCACTCGTGGTTGCCACGAAGGATGAAGAAGTTCTCGGGGTACTTGATCTTGTAGGCGAGGAGCAGGCAGATGGTCTCGAGGGACTGCTTGCCACGATCGACGTAATCACCTAGGAAGAGGTAGTTGGCCTCGGGAGGGAAGCCACCGTACTCGAAGAGACGGAGGAGATCATAGTATTGACCGTGGATATCGCCGCAAATCTAGCAAGGTGGGGCACGACGTCAGCCGCAGAAGGGGCAGTATGGCGCACGACGAGGCCATGTAAAGGGATAACAATAAGGATATAATGCTTACCTTGATGGGAGCCTCGAGCTCAAGCAGGATGGGCTGAGAAATGAAGATTTCACGGGCCTTGGTGCAGAGATAGCGAATCTCGGCTTCCAGCAGCTGCACCTGCTTACCAGGCCGGCTGCCCCGCACTTCCAAGAGGCGGTCGATTATAGAGTCGAGATCGACTTCGGTATGGTCCGCCATTGCAAAATCCTCACCAACCGGAAAGATACCGCGCACAGGTTTTCGAAGTCACGGTAACGACCGACAGACCCCTACTAGTCGGATGGGACGGTCCTAAAAGAGCGGCACGCGTAAGGAGTAGAAAACTGGGGAAGATGCACTTCTGCAAGCTAGATGATTGATGAAAACGTTAGTACGTTGCCTATGACGACGCAAATTTTGATTGGGGTTTGCGGCACGCGATCGCGATGGCGGGAAAGTGAAGGAGGAGCGACGACCGGGCAGAGACTGGGAAGCGGCAATGTAACGGCAGTTGATTCAACTTACGCTCAGAAGCGATCCCAGCAAAAAGCGATTGTTGGAGTTTTTCGGAGAGGCGAACGCGTTCTCCTTGGGGATACAGCAAGCGGTAAAGTATTTTCTTGAGATAGGTATTCTTTCGGATACCGAATGTTGTATTTTTGTTTTAGTAAATCGTCACCGGGTTTGGCGGAGGTGCGAACGGTCTAGAGCAAGCGCAAGCAAATCTAGCGCAGCGTCGATCGGAGTTGCGAAGAAATCGGTCCGGTAGTACGCGGCGACAAGAGGGTTAGCAATGATGGAAAAAGGAGACGGGTCCAGAAGTCTCTGATCGTCCTTTGTGAGGTAACGTGGTTTTTTTTGTCGCCCGAACGGGCTGGGGCAAAACGCCGTGTCGTCGTCGAAAACCTGAGTCGAGAAGGTGTAGAAGGGGAGTTCAAGTGGTCCTGAGACTGCGGGATGGAGAGGCTGTCACTGCCACTGCCAAAACCACGGTCGGGGAAAACTGGTCGATGGACTGCCCGGGAGAGTGCAAAGTGCTGCAGTGAGGTGCAGTGCAGAGCGCTGGGCCGGTCGGAGGGTCGCTGGAAAAAGCTGCGTCTAATTGAGCGACAAAGGCCAAAAGACAGAGATGCCGAGAGATGATGCCTATGATGCTAGGACTTCTATCGCCAGGGGTGGGGTTGGAAATGCGCGTTCTTGTGGTTAAAGACGTCGCCCTGTTTTGGTTGGGATAGAAAGCGTCGGGAGAAAAAATCAACGTCGGTGGTGGTTGCTTGGAGACTTTTGGAGGAGAGGGACGAGCGCAGACACTTCCACTTGGCTGCCCGCTGCTGGGGGGTCCGGCCGAGGGATGGGCTAAGAGACTGGCGACTGGCGACTATTAGTTGGGCTATCTATTGGCTTGGGGCCACTGGGCCGATGGAGCAGCAAGATTCGCACGCACGCAACGCAACGCAACGCAACGGAACGCACAGGGCTCCAGACTACCTACTAGCAGAGCAGTGGGCAGGCAGGCAGGCTGGCAGGAAGGTCCAGGTCCAGGTTCGCGTTCATTTAAGGTCAGGTATCAATGAAACATCCGACGCGATGGCAGGCAAGAACAACCCTCACTCTAACTAAACATACTATAGCTGGAGGACGACCACAACAAGGACAAACTCAGATTGAAGTGAGCTTGGCGCCCGTTCTGAATCTCCGTCAGATCCTGGCCGAGCCCTCTTGCCCTTTCCAGTTGGGCCCTTCCCAACTTCCGTTGGCTCGAGAAAAATTGCATGCACTCGCCTCTGGGGGAAGCAGGTATGATGATGGGTCGGTCGATGTTGCTCACTAACGCGACTGGGTAGGAGTTGCGCTGCCTTCCCCCGCAGTTACGAGCAATTCTGTTAGTGAGAGCCCAGAACACCGGACCCTCCTTGGCGGGCCTAGGCCTGGGATTGGTTCGCCTAAGCCGCTCGCGATCCCGATGGATGGTGGATGTCACCTGGAACTTCCATCTCTTCCAACCCTCCAACTTCCTCCTCCCTGACTCTGAGTGTAGAGGTAGTGTGTAATACTTGCATGGTATGTACACGGTAACAGCAAAGACGGGAATGCCTTCTTGGTCGCCTTGTTGTTACTTTACACTAATATTCCGGCCGATTCTAGGGTTTGTCTTTTTGCTCGTTTCCCCCACCATCAGCATCAGGTTCCGCAGACGCAAAGATAGGCAGCCTGGCTCCCTGGCCTATGTCAGGCACAAGCACCTGGTATGCATGATTACAACAGCTCGAAACAAAGGGGTATAAAGACAGGTCGACAGGCAATCTGAGCTTCGAGCGACTCAGCCGCCGACGTGTATCCGCAAGAGCAGTGACAGGGGAGCTCGGCAGCAAATTGGCAAAGCCTCAGTCAGGCTGTCGAGAATCTTGGGGATCTCGGGGATCTACTCCTCTGCGGTCATAGGTGATGCTTAGCTGCATATCAAAACCTGAGATTCTGGTAACTCAAGGATGCCAGTTTCCGTCGAAAAGGAGGCCCTTTGGCAAAATTACCGGGTTGCTGAGAATTCGGTGCCTTGTCCACGTCGAACATAAGTTTCTTTGAACCACCATCACCACAACACCAGGGAGAACCTTTGATAGGTCCAAGTTGGGTAAGATCTTGGTCGGTTACGGCAAACGATACGTTGAGAAGAGAAATCACCATCATAATGGCATCAGAGCATGGGAACTTGCACCTTTTATCCCTTGGAGTCGTGGTTGGTCGCATTGGGTTGTCACCACGACGAGACACATCACACACACGAAACCAACGACTAGGCGCCACTAAGATATGTCTGAACATAAACCTTGGGTAACCTTCAGCTTGCACCTTGGCGCCAACGACGTCTGACCTACGACCTGGATCTCGGGGACTATAAATGTTTCGGCAATGTGTCGAGGTCTCCCTTGTCACTTTTAACCTCGTTGCCGCTCTCCTCAACTGTCCGGGTTACAACTCCGTTTCGTGACATGGGACGGCTCCTGATTTGCTCGGACAGGTCTCCCTTTTGTCTTGCTTGCTATGTCTGGGCATTCGTTCAGCCCAGAGTTTCTCAACATCAAACGCCTTCCAACGGCTGGCTTCCCGCAGTCTTCCAACCGCAGCTCATCATCCCAAGTGCATAGCCTGCCCCACCAAACAGTTCCAATTTGACGACCTCGTCAAACACGGCATCCGTCATCCGCTTCTGGAATCCAAGAGACTCGAGGCTTCAAGTGTTCCTTTCTGCTCTGCTGCTACAGCGGGGATCGACCCATCTGCCTTGCCATCGAGCTTGAATCAATGGGGGCCACCCAAAGCTCTATTCCGTCTTCCATTTTCGAGGATTAAAGTATCTTTTGTCTGCCACCCCGTCAGCATCCTCCCCTCTTAATTACCGGTCAAGACGGACTTTATACACACTGCATTCCAACGACTTGACCGGAACAGCTCTTTTGTCGTTCGTGTTGCCCCCCACAAGGCCTAGACTGCCCAGAGTGGCATGGCTTACTTTGTTCGGGTTACCACGGAAGGCGGGGCAGCCCCTCCATTAGGCGCCCCCCCTCCATCCCGTCCATTTCCCCCCCTCCAGCTCGAGACCCTCTCCTCCGCAATATGGAGCGCGCCCTCTCCCCCTCCTCAAAGCAGCCCCTCCTCCATCATCAACTGAACTGTGACCGGCACCGGGAGCCTGCTCAAAAAAAAGGTTCAAAAAGGGACGCTGTCCTACCACCACCACCCCTTGACTCGATTCCATGCCCCTCCATCCTATGCCTATGCTGTCATTGTGCGCAAGTTCCGATTTCCATTTGTCCAAATTCATTGCATTTCACTGCCCATCGCCCGTTG